GAAGTGTTTTGACATACTAATATTTGCCCATATTTGGAAATATGCTATCATCACGAGTATTTGCGCTCTGAAGACAGGTATTTATTTGCTGCCGACGACGCCAAGACGTCAGGTTGTCAATGAACGACTCATTGACTGATAAATAACACTCGAAGTGTATAATGATCTTTTCTAACAAAGATTTATGCAGCGAATTCAGTTTTAAGTTGATCTATGGTGATATATATCATTTCATAGCATTAGTGGCAGTATATTGATATTGAGAAATGATAAACGTACGCATATGTTAAAATCTGCTGCCAAAAAAAAAAAAACAATTCTGTAAACAACATATACTGTGATAAACTAACGTTGTTTTCAGGTGATATTTGAAGTTAAGACGTTAATGGGAAATCATTTCAATGTCGTTCTGTTTTTTTTCAAAGAGTGTTACGATGAGAGACAGGATATCGTCTTCCTCCTGGACATGTCTACGAGTGTTGGGTTTGATAACTTCGATAGAATGATCGAATTTCTTGAGACATTTTTATTGCATGAGAGTATTGACAGTGGAGACGTTAAGATAAGTGTAGCAGGATATAGCAGTGAAGCAAGAGTGGAGTTTCATTTCAATTCATATAACACAACGTCAGAACTGTATTATTTAATAAGTAATATAGATTATATGCTTGGAAATACAAACACTGCTGGGGGTCTCCAACTTGTTCGAACAAACATGTTTACTATTAAAAATGGCGATAGACCAGACGCAGAAAACATTCTTATTATCATAACAGACGGTGTATCAAATATCAATTCTCAAGATACAAAACCAGAGGCTAGACTGCTGAGATCGGCAGGAGTAACAATATTTGCAGTTGGGGTAGGTTTAACGGAGACCGACGAGCTTCAGGAGATAGTGTCACAGCCATTTGAGGACTACTTGCTACTAGCTGATGATTTCTCTGAACTTGAAGGTCTTCAGGACAGTATATTTATTTCATCATGCTCTGAACCAACACCAGCGACTTCTTTTGGTAGTATTTCACCAAAGCACTGGTATATCCCTTTGGGTACTAACTTGTGATATTGGCATTCTTGACCTAGGTGTAATTAACTCTATTTTGTCACATATACACTACCTTGCGAATTATGTCTGTTTACGAAATAGTCACACTCTGACCTAATGCACCGGAATTTAGACGTAACACACTTACAACGTGGGTATTACACTTTAGACTGTAGTAGCAGCTAGTCCCTAATATCGTAACTTTTTACTTTGTTTCTAGACTCGTATTTGTATAGTTTTAACTACATTCGTGTTTCCGTATCACTACAAATTATTTTGTGAGTAAGATTGGTGTTTTCCGAGTATTCACATCTATATAGCACTTGGTTCTTCTTACTCACGTCTGACAATTGTATGGTTGAAGATATGTTTGTATGTGATAACAACGCCCTGATACTTTCCTGACTGGTGTTTGGTTTCCTATTATTAATACCGTTGCATAGTATTTTGATTGAAACTAATATCACTTACCTTTGCTATGTGTGCATTATCTAATTTGAAGCACACTTTCAGTGTTTTGTTAACGACATTTTGAGACTAATCTGATATCCATGTTTTCCATTTTCTATATGATGGTCATAAGCAGATAATGTATATATGAAACGTTTATCAGTACTGATAATGTCGGAGTATTGCAATTTGCAATGGCATCTCCCGCCAATTTGTTTCGCTCTGAATTAGAATTCAATTCATTATCGAACGGATGTTTTCAATAGGAAGTCCTACATATGATTTATATTTTGTTATAACACGATATTATTGTTTTATTTGTTTTATATATTTTTTTCATTTCAGCGGCTCAGTTTCACCGTATTACAACGTATATATCGCGGAGATCGCGTCGTTTAGTTATAAACACAAAATAGTGCAAAAAGCTTACATGTTTATTATCAAATTTATATAATACATATATATGTATATTAATCGCTGAGAAAGCTTTGATACCTATATGGATGTAATCAATATAATTTGAGTTACAGCCTACCAACGTATTCTTCGTTAAGTTTGTCCTATCTGATATATAGTTATATCACTACAATTACGGTAAATTGTTTCCTAGATAAATGTTTACTGATATGTTCATATAGTTGTCTTAAATTGTATTTTTTACCTGTGTATTTACTCATTTATCTGTCTATCAATTATTATTGTTGATAATATCTTTATACTGTAAACATTCCCATTCTGTCGTAGTCAGAGCTAATATTTTCGCAAATAAGCGCAAAGATAAATTGGAGCAGCCACAATCATTACAGTTAGAATTATACGAAAACTGCATTATTAGCGCAATCATATTTTAGCCAAGTATTTTCAGCGCGAAATCGCAAAACTAAGATTTAAGCTAAAGTATTTATATGTACAGTACATTTAGCGATACATTATGGTTTTGTTTTCATTAGCATCAATGGTGTCGTATTCATCAATTAAGTATTGTTTTGTATTATAATTATCTTACATTTTAACAATAAAACTACCAGACTCATATTTTATGTTTCAACCATTACAGCAACAACAATTCTGCCAACTCAGGCTCCAACTCGTCGAACCGGTGAGCCTCTCTTATCATGAGAATTTCTCTTACGTAAAATTGATTCATATATCTTTGTTTCATACTCAATTATATTACGTAGTAAAGAACTTGGCGGGAATTGTACATGTAATGTTATGTAATAATCTCATTTCGTTTCTGTATGACTAAATTCTTTCATTGGTGCATATATGTAGTATATTAATAAAAATTCCATTTCATACTGAATACTAATTGAAATCAAGTCAATAATCATGAAACGAAATTAATTTCAACCTTGTAACGTTATACATATCGTGGCAGTGACAATCACATTAAATTTCTTTCTTAAAGGCTGTGGTCAAGGCAGGCAAGACATCGTGTTTATGTTGGAATCATCAACCCGCGTTGGTCGCTACGGTTTCAGAAGGATGCTTAACTTTATGAAGGATTTTTTGTACAACTATGATTTTGATGGCGGACAAGTCCGAGTTGGTGTAGTAACATTTGGAACTGACGTCACCATTGTCTTTTTTCTCGACACATTTACGAGACGTCAAATACTGTATGAGGCTATTGATAACATACGGTATACTAGAGGGAACACTAATACGGCTGGTGCTCTACAGGCTATGCATCTCGCCATGTTTAATGAACAAAATGGCGATAGACCGGAAGTTGAGAATATAGCCATACTGATAACTGCCGGCTTGTCCAATGTTAATCCTGATCGCACGCAAGCGGAAGCTGAAGACGCAAGGAATGCCGGTATCACAATATATGCCATTGGAATAGGACTATCGGATACTTCTGAAATCAGAAGCATATCTAGTAAACCGTCATATAGTCACATGTTCCTGGTTCAGAATTTCGCAGAGCTGCCTGACACCCAAGTGGAACTATATGAAGCGTCATGCCCTGGTAACGTAGAAAACACTCCAACTGCAAGGGATCTGTCGGTTGTTCTACCTAAACTAATGCAATTAAAATGGTGCTGGTGCCAGAGAGTTTTGCATGATGTTATTTTTTTATAGCCAGGTGAAAAGTATTTTCCTTAGTACAGAATGTTCCGTGCTTTAAATCTTCCATCATATCGGAAATCAAAGTATTGGTTTTGGGATTCAACTTACTGAAAATGGGGCTATGGGTTATACTCTAATATGTAGCGCAGGTAAAGGTCAATATGCTAAAGATCAGGTGATGGTTCCTTAAATATTCCATACATATCAGCCTTCTTACTCGAATACAATGGTATTCACTAGTTGACACTACATATCTTATCAACATTTTTGTATCAACGAAATCATGTTTCCTGTCAATACTTTTGACGGCACATCGATCAGAACTTCTGATTCATTACTAACTTAAGTGTATTATCTCTTACTTTCAGGACTTTAAATTACTCTTTATTTCAGCCTTATACAAAACTTCATTTCAGTTGTATATTTTTTAAAGCCAACAAAACATTTTTATTTCAGAATAATACGGGTGTATTTTAAATGTCTGATTTCAGCAGAATGTGTTGATATATAAAATGCAAAATCATGTTAATATATCATCGACTGTTTTTTTTCAGAGTGTTCTGTTGCTAAATCAGGAACATTTCACGAAATAAAATAGATACCACCTCTTTGTATGTGTTGTGATTTTTTAAAACTATTTTGTAGTTGCTTTAGTAAAAGGTCTGACGTGTCAACCTTCTGTTGGCGTGAATGTATACAAGTATCATGTTACTGCTTAGTAAAGGCTTGGTGTATAGACATTGAGGTACTCAGCACTAGATCTCTACACATTGGATACCAATAATGTTGTGAGTATTTGCACAGCTTTGATGACCTGTACACTATATGTCTATATTGATAAGGATTACTTTACAGGATAAGTTTGATCAATGTGTTGTTATTTACTTATTAACATGTTGATGATTATGTATACTGTGTTCCTTTATGTAAATAATGCGAGTTTTACAAAGAACGTTTTTGTTTTATCTTATCGAATCAATAAAAATGATATGATTCATACAAAATATCGCAATTTTACTAAATTTTCACTAAATTAGTGTCAAATACTGTGAGAGAGTGTGTGTAATTGTTTGTAGTTTTGTTCATGATAAGCAATCTTAAATTGAAATGATGCATGTTTCTAAAATTTATTCATTCTTTCATTTCAGCTGATTCTTTCGAACCAAACAATAAACAAGGTATACTTCATTTGTATCTGAAAAAGATAAATCCTACTTTTGCTCTAAATACCTAAATTGTTCGTATACTCATTCTAATCAAATACGAATAAGACTAATTTCTTGACGCCGGAAAACAGATGAAAGCATAGCTGGGGAGTGGAAAAGGATTTTGCTTATCTCATTTACAGATCCAATCCAGATTAAAGAAATGAACATATTGGTATTTTCTGTTGAAATTATCAAACTGCATGCTTATTTTCTAGGGAGCTGTCAATCTGGCAAGGTCGACTTGGTTATAGTTCTTGATTCTTCGACCAGTGTCGGAAACGATAACTTCCAGTTAATGAAAAACTTTGTGAAAGAGTTGGTAAGCAAGGCAGATATTGATTCGGGGAACGTCCGTGTTGGAGTACTATTATACAGTTCCTCAGTGAGCGTTCAGTTTCAGTTGAATGAGTTCCAGAATAAAGGAAACATTTTAGCGGCCATTGATGATATCATTTACATATATGGAAGTACGAACACTGCTGACGGTTTACAGACGATGTGGAGTGAAATGTTCACACAAGCTAATGGTGATAGGCAAGGTGTGGACGATGTTGCTATAGTGATAACTGATGGTTTGTCCAATATCAACTCAGGTCGCACTATACCGGAAGCAATCAATGCGAAAAACAAGGGTATTCATATATATACGGTTGGCATTGGACTCGGAGATACAACGGAAGTAGACGCCATAGCAACAGCTCCAGCCTCAGATAACAGCTTCAACGTGGACAGTTTTGCAGAATTAGTTAACCTGCATGAGCAAATTTTCTACTCGTTTTGTCCAGGTACAACATTATCATGACATACCTAACACCTGTGTTGTTTTTACTGATTCCAGATGCCTTTTATCCATATCCGCCTGCCGTGATATTTACGTAGTGACCCTGTCGGTAAAGAAAAAGAAATAAATATGTTAGAGAAGTAAGAATGTTTTAAGCATCCAAAATTGAAATAGCAATTAATAAATAATACAAACGTGAAAAAAAATCTAAAGCAGTGATTTTTTTATTTGTTTCAGTCGACGAGGTCGAAGGTATGATATAACTGACATTTGTCACCAGTTCATGTAATAATATCTAATACCTGTCGACCTGTTTGTAATTAACATTATCACTCTATGTTAATTTATATTAATTAGCACATCTATAATTGTCATAAGTCCTAAGCACCGTACTAATCATCATGCAGGATCCCTATACTTGATAGGTTGCACCAAGTAAAACAAGCTGTGTTACTCATTCTAATACCAATATGTGTGTTTTAAAGTGTTTCGCTGTAATAACAGTTGTATGTTATACTTAAGATGTAACAAATGAACTTTTTTTCTGTCTTAATAACAATGCTGCCTCACACGTCACATCTGTTTGTAGATAACAGGACATGTAAATGGCACATGCTTTAATATTTTAGCAGGAAGACATTAAACCGTTTTCATCTTTTCTGTATTTTTCCGTACGGAAGCGTTTTCCAGCGTGTCCGTGAGTTTATACCTGTATGTTCCCGTGTCACGTGTTTGTGTGTCCAGAAATATTTGACGTAAGTGTTCAATGTTATTAACGCATGAACCTAATGACACCTGTCAAGTGTGTTTCCCCTGATTCATTGAATATATTCATACCTGTTTATCATGTCCTGGTGTGAAAAATTGTTGTTATTGTCTTTTAGCAATATTTCATATTACCTATTGTTCAATATGTTAATTAATGCAATCCATTATTTAATTACGTCGCTATCTGACGGTGAATTTGGTATATGCTTTTATCATTTCATTGATATTAAATAACATCTAAACATTAAATATTTCGAGGTAAACGTTTCGTATTTCAGTTGAAATAAACGAAATGACCATATTGTTTATAATAGCAACGGTTAATACTTCTGATTGTTTTTCACAGCCACACCTATTGCTATCACCTTACCGCCACCTGTATCAGGTAAACTGACAATAGCCATTTGATTATGTTTAGTTAGCATGTTTACTCTTGTTTTATCAGAAATTACATGCACTGTTTTAATTGTTTGTTTTAATGAAGATAGAACGAAAAGCATCGACCGAAAAATGTTAAATGCACATCATTTAAGGAACGTCACTCCATAACGTGTTGGTCTTAACATGAAGAAGACCGTGAATTAGTAGAACTTATTATTCTGCATATTATTTTGTTTTTCAGTATTAATTTAATTAAATTTGATTGATAAATCGTCATCAAGTTTTTTTTTATCATATCTAATATAAAACAAAACAAATATTTTCAAAAGTATTATCAAACATAACAAAACATATTTACCAACAAAAGACTGGAATAACAGTAGTTTGTTTTGTTTAGGTTGTGCCTTGTCAAAGGTCGATCTCATCATCGTCATTGACGCTTCCACCAGTGTGGGACAGGGAAACTTCGACTTGATGCTCCAATTCTGTAAGGATTTCCTCAGAAACGCCGACATTGACTCTGGAAATGTACGTGTCGGTGCTTTGATCTACAGTTCCACAGTAGAAATTCAGTTCAATCTGAATACGTTTTCAACCATAGCAGACATTAACCTAGCTATTGATGAAATTCCCTACATCTACGGAAGTACGAACACCGCTGACGCACTGGAAACCATGAGAAGCATGTTTAACGCTGCTGACGGAGATCGGTCTGACGTTCCAAATATCGGTATCGTTATTACCGATGGTGTATCCAACATCAATTCCCGAAGAACCATCCCAGAGGCAGACCGGGCTAGGGGTGAGGATATCCATATCTACGCCATTGGCATTGGGCTGCAGGATACCACTGAGTTAGATGGTATTGCCAATAAACCCTCCGACGAAAACAGCTTCAATGTTCGAAGTTTCACAGAACTTGAAGCACTCAGTGAAAAAGTGTTCTCTTCATTATGTCCAAGTAAGTATGACATATATTTTCCATTTCATCATCGCTATTTAATTCATTACTAACACTGCCATCTATTTCTTAATACTTACATATGTACGAACATCTCTAATAATAACCCAATAAGTATTTATTTAAATCAATTTACCTCAATGTTTCGTTCGTCTGACATTATCATAACCTGTACATTTATTGATTTTATTGTATATCTCCTATGTTTGTCGTATATGGCGTTATGTCACAATGTGCCGTTATGTCACTATGTGGTTTTTCAAAAAAGTCACTCTTTCTTAGACACTTGTTCTCGTAAATAAACGCTCAATAGGTTATTTAAGAGCGAGAATAAATCTGGAACGAAATAAAGGATATTTCTTGAAAGAGTGAATATTCAAATTAGCTTTGAACATTCAGAAAAGGGAAGTTTATGTGGAAATCCACATACTGTTATGGAGACGATGATTTAACTTACGGCATTGTTTTAGACTTCAAGTTGTTGATGTACAACACATTTAGTAATATGTTATACGTGGTTGTGTATGTTTTCTGTATATCTAAGTATGTGTGTTACCTGTACATTTAATCATTTCCTTACACACCTGTCTGTGTTTGTGCTGCACCAGAAGTTTCACTTGTCACGTCTAAACCTACTCCTGCACATACAACTTCACCACCGACTAAAGAAAGAGGTAAAAACGTTTTTGCAAAGCAAAGCCCTAATAATGTCCAAAATTTAGAATCAAAATTAAACCGGTCACATGAATGCATGAGAAAAAAAGCTGATATTGATATCTTGATGTCTTCTCAATGTGCCTTGGACGTTTTGTTTTAATAAGAAAGAAATATCGCACATATGTATACCTTGTAGGCTTGGTAAGTGTATTGTCAAGGAAGAACGTTATTGTTGTAATGATTTTTACTTTTTCCTTAAATAATCATCACGTACATACAGTAAATCTGATTCTCTGAATTAATAAATAGTTTTAGTTATGCCGAATTTCGTTCACTAATTCAAAACCTAGTTAGAGTAGAAACAAAGTTAGTTACACGAATCAGTATCATAATGGTGTATTCCTATCGCAAAAGTCAAACAAATAGACATGAAATTGCTATGTTTTAGTTACGGAAGCACCCACACCTCCTCCACGAGCTTTCGACCTAGTGATCGTTTTGGACTCGTCAGTGACTAGAGAGCAATGGCGCTGGATTCAGAGATATGCGTCCACAGTAGTGCAACAGCTTAGCATAGACAACGAGAAGTTCCGAGTGGGTGCCCTTCGATACAGTAGCAATCAGGACGTCCAGTTTCATCTAGGGGATTACTTTACCCAAAACGAAGTCTTCCAAGCTGTTCGTCGCATTCGGTACCAGCCAGGAGAAACCAATACAGCTGAAGCCCTAGAGTACGTTAGGACCCAGATGTTTAGACCTAATAAAGGCGACAGAGAATTCGCTAGAAACTTCATCCTTCTGCTAACCGGAAGTGACGAAAGCACAGACAGGTATGAGGCGTTCCGTGCAGCAGAGCGAAACGAAGACGACGGTGCTTACATATTCACTGTAGGAGTAGGACTTCGAGACCACAGCGAGCTTGACGAAGTGTCTTCCCATTCCCTTGACAATTACCAGAAACTATTCCTGATTTCAGATCGACCAAGCAATATTGCTGATGATCTGACTTTCCTCGATTCATGTAAGTGTACTCTCGAGATTAAGTGAAACATACCTTTAAGAGTGTCTTTCTCCATAAAGGGAACCAAACAGTGTTGATTTCTATACACTCAAACTTGCACTAGCTGCAAATATTTTTGATGAAGATAATGGGGTCATAGTGAAATATTCTATTAATTTGTACAATATGATGCTGAACGCATTTTACGCTCTGTAGTTTGTCTGTTGGTTCCATTGCGTTATACTTGTTCTCATTTGAGAACGAACACTACTTACTCACACTGTCCTCTTATTTCATGTAAGATGTCATTGATGAAGCAGAAAACGCTTAATCTTAATGAACACCTTGTCGTATTCTCCTTGTACTTTCTCCGGAGTCTCCACGGGTTTTTTTGTATATTTACATATTTTGCCATAGATTAATTGATTTTGAGTTTCGTTTATCATTATGTTCACATATTTGTATTTTTGTTTTTGTTTTTGTTTTTTTTGCTATATATTTCGTAGTCATAGACTTATACAATAAATATACATATACATATGCATAAACAATAAGCAAACAAGTTAATATCATCTTGTTACACAAATTCGAATCAGATACAGTAGGGTCATATAATGAACTACATTGTTGTCGCGCCTTGTACGACGCATCAGTGATAACAAAGGCCTAGATTCTGAAATCCGTGGAATAAGAGAAATACAAATTGATCGAAAGCCTAGATTGGGAGGTACACTAGTACCGTCATTAATTGAATTCTACAATATTCGTAAATACAGAGAAACGTCAGGTATATGTTGATATTCTGAAAACATATCAATATTTGAATAAGTTTAAACATAGCATGTTCAAAAGTGATAAGTTTGTTTACAATGTATAGTCACCTATCTGATATCAACAGGGAAACATCTACGGTATTCTAGATAAAGTAAAAACTCATTATTATATTTACTTATCTTTAAAAAAAAACACTTTGTAATACACACTAAATCGAATCTAAATATATAGATTTCGTTACCTGTGAGTAGTGGTCATCTGTATAGAATGATCATATCTATACCCAATAATACAATTGGTATGATTCAAGAAATCATTTTTTTTTTATTGTGTACCTGTCTATTAACATATATGAATGGTCTAGATAAGATCTCAAGTATGATAATCTGGATCACCAATCTGAAGATCCAGATCAGACCTATGATATTCAAGGTTGTTATTTAGAAGGATTACGCTTGAAAGTTCCTGTTGAAATACCAGGTGACAAATATTACTCTCGAAAATTGCAAAAAAAGACACCAAGTGATTGGCACCGTTAAAAACAAATTGAAATTAAGAAAAAAATACAGAAAAAAAGATTCAAATCCAAAATACAGCTTCCCTTATCTGCAGGACAATCAATGCACGATACATACAATTTCTAAATATGGATATGAAATGCTCATTATTTATATTTAGGTTCTGATATATGTTATTTTTTTTCTAATATATGTATATTTTATAATACCAGTACCGGATTCGCCTCCAGAGGGATTCCGTGGCCGTCCTTATCCTCCTCCTAGTAAGTATCTGTCTGTTTGATGGACATTTTTGATTAAAAGTGCGAAATAATATCATCTCTCCATAACTATCTAAATATAGTATAACATTTAATTATTTGAAAAAATGAATTTCTTTGATATTAAATAGATGAATATCTACGCACTTACCTAATCGTCACATTTCCCCACGCTTCTATATTTCATCGTTGTCACGCGCTCTTCATAACTTAATTATCGCTGGCGCTTATTTCTTCAATATATTGAAGAACTACTGACCTCTTCCGAGTTTTGATGAAATAAATCCCTCTATTATATATATTTCTATATTCTATATCTTATATTATATTTCATTTTTGTCATAATTAAAATGACTTTTAGGGTCACTTCATGTTTTAATGCTATTAATCAACTAAAAAAAACTAAGTGAAAGCAGGGACAGGAATAACAGGTATAAGAGATGAAAATTATGTTTCCTAAGATTGAATAGGAATATAATGACTAACCCTAATTGTCAGTTATTTTGACAAAACGTGTAGTTTTGAAAATGTTTTAACTCCAAGAGCTATTCTGTTAATGAATTTCATTTTATAGTTTCACAGTTGCGATAAAAAGTGCGTTTTTACATCCTTACACTTTAACTACAATACGCTGTTTATAATTATCTTTCAGCTACGACGCCGATACCAATCACCTTGCCTCCACCTGTTAGTGGTGAGTACACTGTCGTCTCAATCAAATTGCTATTTATAGAAGACTATATTACATATTCATCGTTGTCTTTTCATTAGATTAAATACATTTTTCCGTGTATATTTCGTTAATGTATAAGTTGACAATTATTGACTTTCATTACATGTAAAGTACGTCAGTACTTATTTTTGCAGGTTATGGTAGCTATTAAATACCGTCTATTGGGACGTTTTGCGCGTTCCGAATTTTTTGCGAGTTCAGCGACCTTACAAAGTTTCAAAAATTCTAAATTAATAATAGTAATACATCTATGGAGTTGACGTACCAACATGAACACTTTCTAGCAGTGAACAATTTTGTAATACATAAATACTTGGTATGTAAATCTCTTCTCAAGAGTGACTGATCAGTTAGTTTCTAATAAGCTATGTCTATTCTGAAGTTTTTAAAGTATTCAAGAGAGGCCTTCCCAAATTTATGGAACGATCATATCGCAAAAATCTAAAGTAAGCAAGAATTGTAAATGAATCGTTTTGGAGATTTTCGCAAAAATTGCACTGCGCAAAAATATTCCGGTATATGGTTTATAAGTTAAATAACACAAGCTATTATTTTAATTCACAAAAAATACTTAGGCTTGTTAACATTTAAACATGAATGTAACCAATACCTGAATGAAATGAGAGGGAATAATAAAGCTTTATATATGCATGATGCCAGACTAGTTTCAAAATTATTACATTTACAGATTGTGCTTTGTCAAAAGTGGATCTGATCATTATCATTGACGCCTCCACAAGTGTCGGTGCAGAAAACTACAATAAAATGCTGGCTTTCTGTAAGGATTTCCTCAAGAACGCCGACATTGACTCTGGAAACGTACGTGTCGGTGCTTTGATCTACAGTTCCACAGTAGAAATTCAGTTTAACTTGAATTCTTATTCAACAAAGGCTGAAATATACCAGGCTATCGATGAAATTCCCTATATCTATGGAAGTACAAACACGGCTGATGCGCTGATGACGATGAGGAACATGTTCAATGCTGCCGATGGAGACCGTGCTGACGTTCCCAACATCTGTATCATCTTAACAGACGGTGTATCCAACATCAACTCCCGGAGGACCATTCCGGAAGCGGACCGGGCCAGGGATGCAGACATACATGTGTATGCTATTGGTATCGGTCTGAAAGACACGAAGGAGTTAGACGGTATCGCTAACAAACCCTCATCGGAAAACAGCTTCAACGTGCAGACGTTTGACGAGTTGAACGTTCTCAGTGACCAAGTCTTCTCTTCTCTCTGCCCAGGTTAGTCACTAAAACAACTTTCTCCCGCCCCCTCTTATTATCAAACCAATAACAATTATCACAACTTATGTTATTTTTATCACTTACTTCGTGTAAAATCTTTGGTTGCCATAGTGGAAATATCAAATTCGTACAGTACTCACCACATATGTATGTAACATTTTACATTGACAGTTATGCACATTTACTTTGAAAAATCAATACAGAAGGATTACTGAAGACGATTCCGAAGTTTTCAGTCATTTTGTAACTGAAATTAACACTTTCCTCGCCCACATGTAACATTTCTGGGAATATTTCTTAGAAATATATGGCTGCCTCTCATGGAAATGCCATTTTTTGTATTTCTAAGATAATGATTTACCCGTACATAAACAATAATCCGCCTTTTAAATCATCTTATAAGCAAAGATATCTTCTATTCACCAGTGTCACGGAATTATAAATGTTTCTATTAGTCTCCAGTATATGATGTCCTCTTATATTCGCAAGAACATCATCTGATTTTTTATCTAGATTATTTATGACTATCTCCCATTTTATCTTTTCCCCTTGTTCATTCATATTAAAATTTGCCTTAGTATATGAGCTTGTGTCCAATTAGTACAGACATATATTTCTTTCAGATTTTCATTCACTTCAAACATTTTTATTGGGTATTCATTTTCGCGCTATCTTTACTGACCGCGAATATAGCAAAATTAATTCTCCGCGAATAATACAAACTATATAGTGCTTCTTTAATAACTATCAGAAGTTCGCGAATGTGGCAAATTCAAAAGTGGCGGAACTGATTATATTCTAGTTTTCCTTTGTAGTTCATCATTGTCATATTGGTTAATTCAATTACTTAAACACATACATGTCCTTATACGTTTTTTATTTTGTATGTATTATTATGTTATTTGTAATATTGAAATATGTTTTGAGTCACTGTGTCGTGTGATTGTGTGGTGTTTGTTGTAACGTAACCAACAGGTTTATCAAGTACAGATCCCCCGATCATTACGACTCCTACCACGACAACTGAAAGAGGTAAACCTAGCATTGGTCCGATAATCTGGATACCTTCTACTAACAAATATCTCGATTTAGCAATAATCGCATCGCTAATTATTACTTATTCTGAAGATTTCAGAGAAGTCATGTTCATGAAGATATATATATAAAAACAATTGACATTAGTGCGTTGTTGAACATAGCTTCAAGATTATATAACACTGTTATTAGATAATTAGATAGCATAAATAGTTGAATACGGAACTACTTGAGACATTTGGAATGAACGAAAACACATAATCTTTGAAAATATAAATGTTACTTCATGCAATATGTATACAAATGATATGTTGAATAGATATTTGAGTACGTAATTATAAATAAGATATTCTACAAAAGAAATTTAGACCAAAACTTCAGATGCTGTTTTTCATTTTATTATTTCATTTTTCTGTATTTATATATTAATATGATTACATAAAATATATTTTACATAATGATATATTGTTCAAAATGTTAACATCATATTATGAAATAAAACAGCTTTGTTTAATTGTGAGATAAATTATAGGTAATGTGCTTAATACATGTGAAAACATGAAATGTATATAATTATAAGGTATTCGTGTGATTTTCAATGTGTTTACGTGACCTACGTCTGTTTATTTTCTAACTGCATGTTTGTTAAGTAAGGAAGCATGCATTTCCATGTTTGTTTCCCATCTGTGATCATTAGACATCAGAATCAAACAGTATCGATTGGTGTTAGGGATTTTTGTTCCATGTTCTTTCCTTTTTCTGGAAATGATTTTTACTGCAGAATGTTGCATGAATTTTGCTGTTCCATGCAAACGCGTGGTTTTTGTTTGTTTGTATTTAAGATTTTCCTTGTAAATGCTGTCTTCGTTGATTCATGTTCTGTCAATCGTAAGTGTACCAACGTGTATTATTTGCAAGATCTTATCTTGTTAAAGAAAACACATGAAAATGTTGAGGCATAACACATATAGTTAGGTTTAATGGAATTTCGTTGATAAAACTAATTGTATATATTTACACGATTTAGCATCAACACTGTCTCTCCCTGTGCTAATTATACATTTACCTGATATAGTGATTATTCAGTTATTGTTATTTTATCGACAACATGCTAATTTCGCCCTCAGTCATTGTTATATGTGCAGTATTGTTTTAAAACTGTAGATAGTATAACACATAGATAAAACAGCAATTTTCGAAAAGTAGGTCACGGCGACCTAGGTAGTATTGTTCTTTCTGAATTGAGGGTTTATATATTGTATACTTGTAAACTTCTTGGCATATATGAAGCATTATATGACACCGAACAATTGATTGTGAATTCCCTCATATTCACAGGGTTTTTTTCTCAGCAAACTTAATCTCCGAACTGTTCTAAAATGTAATTAAACACCTGTCCCCGGCGAAGCAAGAATTAATATTCCTTTTCAATATAATTCATTTTACTTTTCATACATTAAGTAATCTAATCAAGTCTGGAATAACAGATGTTGTAGTCCTTCACAAAAACGCAGTTTTGAAGTAAGATATTACGATATAATTAAACCTCTTATCAACTTTCTGACTCGAAATGTTATGTACTATTTCTCTAAAGAATTGATTTTATAATTATATACTCAACATAAGCGAAATAAACATTTTTAAACACTGTAATATTTATTTAGTAAACTTTTACTCGTTATATGTTTGCATCTTAATACCATATCTTTATATGTAAAATAATGTTAAAATTTGTTATATTATGTCATCATGATAAACTGCCTCACAAATTCCATTGTGGTATGATAATGTTAAACAAATGTTAAGTATCAAAAATATAAAAGTATTAAGATGGCGACAATTTTGAAAACTTTTCACAGGTACTTCAAGAACTTCTGGGTACAACAGTTGGGATTTGAATTAAAAAAAACTTAAGCTACAATATGGTCACCTGTATATGAATTGACAAAAGTTTACTGTGTTAATTGTGTTCCAAAAAATCAGAAATAATTGTTTTAGGAAAACATGTTACAATGAAAACAAACATTAAAAACGTTAAGAAATAGAAGGTTTCTATCTTTTAAAACAACGATATTAAGGAAAGGGGTGATATTTCATTATTGAATTCGTCTCTATATATATTTTCAATGAATAATGTTATCAATACTTTGAATATATAGTTTTTATGTAATACATATGTTGCTTTTGTAGTGACCGATGCCCCGACTCCTCCTCCACGCGCCTTCGACCTCGTCATTGTCCTTGACTCTTCGGTCAGTCCAGCACAGTGGCAGTGGATACGACAATATGCTAAGATGGTCGCTGGACAGCTTAGCATTGACAATGAAAAATTCCGAGTAGGCCTTCTACGATATAGTACCAACCAGGCCGCCCAATTCCAGCTGGACGATTACTTAACCAGGGATGGTGTTGTGTCTGCTATTGACAATGTCCAGTACCAGCCCGGGGAGACCAATACTGTAGGCGCTTTAGATTATGTTAGAAAGGAGATGTTCAAACCAGATAATGGTGACAGAGATTTTGCAAGAAATTTTATTCTTTTGATCACTGGAAATGACAACAGCACTGATAGGTATGGGGCATTCCGTGCCGCAGAGAAAAATGAAGACGACGGAAACTATTTGTTCACTGTTGGGGTTGGACTCCAGGATCCTAGCGAACTGGCCGAGGTATCTTCACATCCTCTGGAGGAATACCAGCGTCTTTTCTTGATATCAGACCGACCAGAGGACATCGATGACGAGTTAGCAATGCTAGAAGCACGTAAGTGTATACAGTCGAACCTCAATATCTCGAAGCAAACGGGAACATTGGAAACCTTGAGTTATCCGAGTATTCGATTGAAGTGAGATTGGTGCGGTTATTCTTTTTTGTGATATTTTAAAACTTTATGTGTCTTATTGCAGTACCAGAAAATCCACCGGACGGATTCCGCTTGCGACCATATCCTCCACCTTGTAAGATGATTTTCTTTCTCTTCTCTTAAAGTATTTTAAATAGAACTGTCTCCATCTTGTGGAACAGAAACCATTACACTCTTATTTCAACTTGTAGTTTTATTTCCGATTATTCCTGGTTATACAAAATAAGCCTGGGGATGGGAGGGAATTGTATTGATATTTCCTATCAACTAAGGAGCACTACGTAGGTAATGCATTTTCAAAACATATTAAACAATTAACGTACAAACAAGACTGAAAATGACGGGGATGCGTTACCCTTACTTTATGCTCGTCAGTAAATATAATAAATTGTCCATACATTTTGTTATAATATTCTTTTTCTTCTTTTTAGCTACCACACCTATACCGATCACGCTACCGCCACCAGTGTCAGGTAAATAAATACATTCCATTAAAAGTATAGGTCGGGCGTTATATTAACAATACTTTGTTACTCTTTCATACAAACAACGATTAACATCACATCTTTTTATTCTAAAAATATCGTTTCGTGGGCCTCGTCAATATGATCATGGTGGTATTGACGATTTCTGATAAAAATAAACCATCTATATCTTTTTGTTGATGAAATGCATATCCATGAGTAGATCAAAACGAAGACATTGACAAAAGGTTTTTCTTAAGCAGCAATTATGAAAATTGACTTTTACAATTACAATAAACATAATAATGACAAGGTAACGCACAAACACATCTCAATCACCACTCACACAAAAGAAACCTTCCCATCGCTCGTGTTCCTGATCTACTTGCCTTATCCCATATCTCACAATTCACGTAATTCTCATCAAGATTATTCTAAATATACTCAGTAATAATCTAGATGATTCTAATTATTTGCTTATCAAGTGAGGATCTTCTGAATTTATAACATGTGTATGATGATTTACAGATTCCAATTTCACTGCATATTCTGTTCGTTAAATGTTGTATTTCACATGTGCTACAGGTAATTCATTTCAACTTATACATTGCTTTGCATTCAAATTCTCACAAAATGCTGTCATTGCAGATTGTGCACTGTCTAAGGTTGACTTGATCATTATCATTGATGCCTCCACCAGTGTAGGGCAGGAAAACTTCGAGAAAATGCTGGCTTTCTGTAAGGATTTCCTCAGGAACGCCGACATTGACTCTGGAAACGTACGTGTCGGTGCTTTGATCTACAGTTCCGGGGTAGAAATTCAATTCAATCTCAATACGTTTTCAACAAAAGCTGATGTAAACCAGGCTATCGATGAAATTCCCTATATCTATGGAAGTACCAACACAGCTGACGCCTTGCTGACGATGAGGAACATGTTCAATGCTGCCGACGGAGACCGTGCTGACGTTCCCAACATCTGTATCATCTTAACAGACGGTGTATCCAATATCAACTCCCGGAGAACCATTCCGGAAGCGGACCGGGCCAGGGATGCAGACATACATGTATATGCCATCGGTATCGGCCTGAAAGACACGAAGGAGTTAGACGGTATCGCTAACAAACCCTCATCGGAAAACAGCTTCAACGTTCAGACGTTTGACGAGCTGAACGCTCTCAGTGACCAAGTATTCTCGTCTTTATGTCCAGGTATTTATTGAGAATTTTTTTAAAATACTTTATCGATATCAACTATTTTTTCACGGCACAAGTGTGTTCCTCACAGCTTAAATTTGTTCAATGTATGACTTATCACACATCTTTATATGTTTTACGTGTCGTCTTTTTGTCAGGTATATATCTTTGTGTTTTCCCTTTCCATGAAAGTAATGCACTTCGCACTTTGCACCATTGATATGCACTTGATCCTGTTTTGTGTTAATACATGTTATTTGTTTTAATCTTATACTTTATGTCATGGCGATCAATTATATACAATATTTGTCATGAAAATGACATTTGTTAATGTATTCGTTGACGTGTTTTTTTGTAATGTTTTGTCTGTCTTCATGTCTGTGTACTGAATGCAGGTTTTAAACGTGAAGAACAGTTTCCAAGTTCTACAGCAACACCTTTACCAAGAGGTAATACTTACATGTGTATAATTGTGCAAAAATCTATAAGATGCTCAATTTTGAAATATGTCCTATATGATGGAATGGTTAAATATATGAAATTAGCACCGCCCCTTCATTAATGGATTATCGAAAGTATAATTAATCATATTTTGATCATAGTTGATATGATACAACAAATACATATACAACGTCTAAAATGTTATACCAAAAAACTCGTCTTACAGTTGTTGTCAACAAACACTGTTTGTCACTAAATGATATAAATAGCACTGCCGTAATCTGTGTTCTCTATCACAACAATATCTTATTATTTGAGATTTTTCCTTTCTCGTCCTTTGTTTGTTTTCTTCTTTACTCTTACTATGAACGTCATTGTAACTTATCTTGTTTTAGTTTTGTAACACTTTTAAAATGTTTAATGATACGAGAAATTCGTTTATCAATCAACACCATTTCCAGACCACTGAAATTCAGTTATCCAATTGCTTTATTTTTGGTGTTTTATTTTTATGTAAAGCACAAGATAAAATATGTTATAATAAATTTTGTTCTCTTGAAGAGTAGGAACATTGTTCACCTTAATTGTTTCCTTTTGTAATTAATATCAATGTGAATTTCAGTTACCGATGCTCCAACCACCACCACTACAACGACTACACCAGCACCTACACCTCCTCCCAGAGCCTTTGATCTTATCATGGTGTTAGATTCTTCGGTGACACCAGAGAAGTTCGAATGGATCCGGAACTATGCCAAAATGGTCGCTGGTCGACTAAGTATTGACAATGAGAAGTTCCGAGTAGGTCTCCTTAGGTACAGTACTGATCAGGCCGCCCAATTCCAGCTGGACGATTACTTGACAAAGGATGGTGTTGTGGCTGCCATGGACGATATCCAGTATCAGCCAGGGGAGACCAACACCGCGGCTGCTTTAGATTATGTGAGAACGGAGATGTTCAGACCTGACAATGGCGACAGAGATTTTGCAAGAAACTTTATTCTCTTGATTACCGGAAATGACGAAAGCACTGATAGGTACGAAGCATTCCGGGCTGCAGAGAAAAATGAAAATGACGGTAATTACTTATTCACGGTTGGAGTCGGACTCCGAGACCACAGTGAACTGGACGAGGTGTCGTCACATCCACTGGAGGAATACCAACGTCTGTTCCTTATATCTGACCGACCAGAGGATATCGACGACGAACTGGCAATGTTAGAAGCATGTAAGTGATGCGTTCATATCCTGATTTAATTGAAATTTTTATTAATGAAATATCTTCTCATCGTCGTTTGAGGTATGTGTGCAATGATTGCGATATCACAATTTGATTTCTCAATAAAAATTGTTTAGTTCAGTGTGGGAATTATGTCTTAGTTTCCTTTGAAAATATCAATACCTTTCCGTCATTAGTTAATTGATATTCTAATTTCATTTTAGTACCTGAGGATCCTCCAGATGGTTTCCGCGGACGACCATATCCTCCTCCAAGTAAGACTATGTTTTTGGTTTATCCACATTGATAACAAAATGATGCATAACACGAGATATAGCTATTGAATACATGAAAAGTATAACATTCTTAATGTCGCCACCATGCATAACTTTGGCTATTGTTCTAGATCGTCCAGCTAACATGCGTGATTTTCCAGCTAAAGACTATCCACGAAAATATTATTAAGTATGAGTATTTTTGTATCCTTACAGCAACGACCCCTCTGCCGATAACTTTACCACCGCCTGTGTCTGGTATGTCACGTAGAATCATCAATTTGTTTCAATAGTACTTTTGCAAATAAACTAACGATTAAAAAACACTGATATCATTCAATTTTGGGACCAAACTACAACCACCAAAGTTGTTTTTTCAGTCAGTATCTTATATGGTTGTTATATACAATATATATATTAAAATCAGTTTTCACTCAACAATCCTATTGATTCGTTCAAAATTTTAAGTATAAAACGCCGTAATTCAAAGAGATATTATGGGAAAAGGTTATAGGATATGATTTTTACATATATATCTATTTCATTTTATTTCCTATGCAGATTGCGCTTTGTCTAAGGTCGATCTGATTATCATCATCGATGCCTCCACCAGTGTAGGACAAGGAAACTTCGAGAAAATGCTGGCTTTCTGTAAGGATTTCCTCAGGAACGCCGACATTGACTCTGGTAACGTACGTGTCGGTGCTTTGATCTACAGTTCCGGGGTAGAAATTCAATTCAATCTCAATACGTTTTCAACAAAGGCTGATGTAAACCAGGCTATCGATGAAATTCCCTATATCTATGGAAGTACCAACACAGCTGACGCCTTGCTGACGATGAGGAACATGTTCAATGCTGCTGACGGAGACCGTGCTGACGTTCCCAACATCTGTATCATCTTAACAGACGGTGTATCCAATATCAACTCCCGGAGAACCATTCCGGAAGCGGACCGGGCCAGGGATGCAGACATACATGTATATGCCATCGGTATCGGCCTGAAAGACACGAAGGAGTTAGACGGTATCGCTAACAAACCCTCATCGGAAAACAGCTTCAACGTTCAGACGTTTGACGAGCTGAACGCTCTCAGTGACCAAGTATTCTCGTCTTTATGTCCAGGTATTTATTGAGAATTTTTTTTAAATACTTTATCAATATCAACTATTCTATCACGGCACAAGTGTGTTCCTCACAGCTTAAATTTGTTCAATGTATGATTTATCACACATCTTTATATGTTTTACGTGTCGTCTTTTTGTCAGGTATATATCTTTGTGTTTTCTCTTTCCATGAAAGTAATGCACTTCGCACTTTGCACCATTGATATGCACTTGATCCTGTTTTGTGTTAATACATGTTATTTGTTTTAATCTTATACTTTATGTCATGGCGATCAATTATATACAATATTTGTCATGAAAATGACATTTGTTAATGTATTCGTTGACGTGTTTTTTGTAATGTTTTGTCTGTCTTCATGTCTGTGTACTGAATGCAGGTTTTAAACGTGAAGAACAGTTTCCAAGTTCTACAGCAACACCTTTACCAAGAGGTAATACTTACATGTGTAAAATTGTGAAAATTTTTTAAAATGCTCAATTTTGAAATATTTTCTATATGATGGAATGGTTAAATATATGAAATTAGCACTGCCCCTTCGTTAATGGATTATCGAAAGTATAATTAATCATATTTTGATCATAGTTGATATGATACAACAAATACATATACAACGTCTAAAATGTTATACCAAAAAACTCGTCTTACAGTTGTTGTCAACAAACACTGTTTGTCACTAAATGATAAAAATAGCACTGCCGTAATCTGTGTTCTCTATCACAACAATATCTTATTATTTGAGATTTTTCCTTTCTCGTCCTTTGTTTGTTTGTTTTCTTCTTTACTCTTACTATGAACGTCATTGTAACTTATCTTGTTTTAGTTTTGTAACACTTTTAAAATGTTTAATGATACGAGAAATTCGTTTATCAATCAACACCATTTCCAGACCACTGAAATTCAGTTATCCAATTGCTTTGTTTTTGGTGTTTTATTTTTATGTAAAGCACAAGATAAAATATGTTATAATAAATTTTATACTCTTGAAGAGTAGGAGCATTGTTCACCTTAATTGTTTCCTTTTGTAATTAATATCAATGTGAATTTCAGTTACCGATGCTCCAACCACCACCACTACAACGACTACACCAGCACCTACACCTCCTCCCAGAGCCTTTGATCTTATCATGGTGTTAGATTCTTCGGTGACACCAGAGAAGTTCGAATGGATCCGGAACTATGCCAAAATGGTCGCTGGTCGACTAAGTATTGACAATGAGAAGTTCCGAGTAGGTCTCCTTAGGTACAGTACTGATCAGGCCGCCCAATTCCAGCTGGACGATTACTTGACAAAGGATGGCGTTGTGGCTGCCATGGACGATATCCAGTATCGGCCAGGGGAGACCAACACCGCGGCTGCTTTAGATTATGTGAGAACGGAGATGTTCAGACCTGACAATGGCGACAGAGATTTTGCAAGAAACTTTATTCTCTTGATTACCGGAAATGACGAAAGCACTGATAGGTACGAAGCATTCCGGGCTGCAGAGAAAAATGAAAATGACGGTAATTACTTATTCACGGTTGGAGTCGGACTCCGAGACCACAGTGAACTGGACGAGGTGTCGTCACATCCACTGGAGGAATACCAACGTCTATTCCTTATATCTGACCGACCAGAGGATATCGACGACGAACTGGCAATGTTAGAAGCATGTAAGTGATGCGTTCATATCCTGATTTAATTGAAATTTTTATTAATGAAATATCTTCTCATCGTCGTTTGAGGTATGTGTGCAATGACTGCAATATCACAATTTGATTTTTCATTAAAAATTGTTTAGTTCAGTGTGGGAATTATGTCTTAGTTTCCTTTGAAAATATCAATACCTTTCCGTCATTAGTTAATTGATATTCTAATTTCATTTTAGTACCTGAGGATCCTCCAGATGGTTTCCGCGGACGACCATATCCTCCTCCAAGTAAGACTATGTTTTTGGTTTATCCACATTGATATCAAAATCATGCATAACACGAGATATAGCTATTGAATACATGAAAAGTATAACATTCTTAATGTCGCCACCATGCACAACTTGGGGTATTGTTCTACATCGTCCAGCTAACATGCGTGAATTTCCAGCTAAAGACTATCCACGAAAATATGATTCAGCGAATAAGTTTTCAGTTGTAATCCTTATGTTTATACAAGTGATGTCAACAAATGTCTCTTTTCTCGAAATGAAGTTATAAGTAATTTTGTATCCTTACAGCAACGACCCCTCTGCCGATAACTTTACCACCGCCTGTGTCTGGTATGTCACGTAGAATCATCAATTTGTTTCAATAGTACTTTTGCAAATAAACTAGCGATTAAAAAACACTGATATCATTCAATTTTGGGACCAAACTACAACCACCAAAGTTGTTTTTTCAGTCAGTATCTTATATGGTTGTTATATACAATATATATATTAAAATCAGTTTTCACTCAACAATTCTATTGATTCGTTCAAAATTTTAAGTATAAAACGCCGTAATTCAAAGAGATATTATGGGAAAAGGTTATAGGATATGATTTTTACATATATATCTATTTCATTTTATTTCCTATGCAGATTGCGCTTTGTCTAAGGTCGATCTGATTATCATCATCGATGCCTCCACCAGTGTAGGACAAGGAAACTTCGATAAAATGCTGGCTTTCTGTAAGGATTTCCTCAGGAACGCCGACATTGACTCTGGTAACGTACGTGTCGGTGCTTTGATCTACAGTTCCGGGGTAGAAATTCAATTCAATCTCAATACGTTTTCAACAAAAGCTGATGTAAACCAGGCTATCGATGAAATTCCCTATATCTATGGAAGTACCAACACAGCTGACGCCTTGCTGACGATGAGGAACATGTTCAATGCTGCTGACGGAGACCGTGCTGACGTTCCCAACATCTGTATCATCTTAACAGACGGTGTATCCAATATCAACTCCCGGAGAACCATTCCGGAAGCGGACCGGGCCAGGGATGCAGACATACATGTATATGCCATCGGTATCGGCCTGAAAGACACGAAGGAGTTAGACGGTATCGCTAACAAACCCTCATCGGAAAACAGCTTCAACGTTCAGACGTTTGACGAGCTGAACGCTCTCAGTGACCAAGTATTCTCGTCTTTATGTCCAGGTATTTATTGAGAATTTTTTAAAAATACTTTATCGATATCAACTATTCTATCACGGCACAAGTGTGTTCCTCACAGCTTAAATTTGTTCAATGTATGATTTATCACACATCTTTATATGTTTTACGTGTCGTCTTTTTGTCAGGTATATATCTTTGTGTTTTCTCTTTCCATGAAAGTAATGCACTTCGCACTTTGCACCATTGATATGCACTTGATCCTGTTTTGTGTTAATACATGTTATTTGTTTTAATCTTATACTTTATGTAATGGCGATCAATTATATACAATATTTGTCATGAAAATGACATTTGTTAATGTATTCGTTGACGTGTTTTTTGTAATGTTTTGTCTGTCTTCATGTCTGTGTACTGAATGCAGGTTTTAAACGTGAAGAACAGTTTCCAAGTTCTACAGCAACACCTTTACCAAGAGGTAATACTTACATGTGTAAAATTGTGAAAATTTTTTAAAATGCTCAATTTTGAAATATTTTCTATATGATGGAATGGTTAAATATATGAAATTAGCACTGCCCCTTCATTAATGGATTATCGAAAGTATAATTAATCATATTTTGATCATAGTTGATATGATACAACAAATACATATACAACGTCTAAAATGTTATACCAAAAAACTCGTCTTACAGTTGTTGTCAACAAACACTGTTTGTCACTAAATGATAAAAATAGCACTGCCGTAATCTGTGTTCTCTATCACAACAATATCTTATTATTTGAGATTTTTCCTTTCTCGTCCTTTGTTTGTTTGTTTGTTTTCTTCTTTACTCTTACTATGAACGTCATTGTAACTTATCTTGTTTTAGTTTTGTAACACTTTTAAAATGTTTAATGATACGAGAAATTCGTTTATCAATCAACACCATTTCCAGACCACTGAAATTCAGTTATCCAATTGCTTTGTTTTTGGTGTTTTATTTTTATGTAAAGCACAAGATAAAATATGTTATAATAAATTTTATACTCTTGAAGAGTAGGAGCATTGTTCACCTTAATTGTTTCCTTTTGTAATTAATATCAATGTGAATTTCAGTTACCGATGCTCCAACCACCACCACTACAACGACTACACCAGCACCTACACCTCCTCCCAGAGCCTTTGATCTTATCATGGTGTTAGATTCTTCGGTGACACCAGAGAAGTTCGAATGGATCCGGAACTATGCCAAAATGGTCGCTGGTCGACTAAGTATTGACAATGAGAAGTTCCGAGTAGGTCTCCTTAGGTACAGTACTGATCAGGCCGCCCAATTCCAGCTGGACGATTACTTGACAAAGGATGGCGTTGTGGCTGCCATGGACGATATCCAGTATCGGCCAGGGGAGACCAACACCGCGGCTGCTTTAGATTATGTGAGAACGGAGATGTTCAGACCTGACAATGGCGACAGAGATTTTGCAAGAAACTTTATTCTCTTGATTACCGGAAATGACGAAAGCACTGATAGGTACGAAGCATTCCGGGCTGCAGAGAAAAATGAAAATGACGGTAATTACTTATTCACGGTTGGAGTCGGACTCCGAGACCACAGTGAACTGGACGAGGTGTCGTCACATCCACTGGAGGAATACCAACGTCTATTCCTTATATCTGACCGACCAGAGGATATCGACGACGAACTGGCAATGTTAGAAGCATGTAAGTGATGCGTTCATATCCTGATTTAATTGAAATTTTTATTAATGAAATATCTTCTCATCGTCGTTTGAGGTATGTGTGCAATGACTGCAATATCACAATTTGATTTTTCATTAAAAATTGTTTAGTTCAGTGTGGGAATTATGTCTTAGTTTCCTTTGAAAATATCAATACCTTTCCGTCATTAGTTAATTGATATTCTAATTTCATTTTAGTACCTGAGGATCCTCCAGATGGTTTCCGCGGACGACCATATCCTCCTCCAAGTAAGACTATGTTTTTGGTTTATCCACATTGATATCAAAATCATGCATAACACGATATATAGCTATTGAATACATGAAAAGTATAACATTCTTAATGTCGCCACCATGCACAACTTGGGGTATTGTTCTACATCGTCCAGCTAACATGCGTGAATTTCCAGCTAAAGACTATCCACGAAAATATGATTCAGCGAATAAGTTTTCAGTTGTAATCCTTATGTTTATACAAGTGATGTCAACAAATGTCTCTTTTCTCGAAATGAAGTTATAAGTAATTTTGTATCCTTACAGCAACGACCCCTCTGCCGATAACTTTACCACCGCCTGTGTCTGGTATGTCACGTAGAATCATCAATTTGTTTCAATAGTACTTTTGCAAATAAACTAGCGATTAAAAAACACTGATATCATTCAATTTTGGGACCAAACTACAACCACCAAAGTTGTTTTTTCAGTCAGTATCTTATATGGTTGTTATATACAATATATATATTAAAATCAGTTTTCACTCAACAATTCTATTGATTCGTTCAAAATTTTAAGTATAAAACGCCGTAATTCAAAGAGATATTATGGGAAAAGGTTATAGGATATGATTTTTACATATATATCTATTTCATTTTATTTCCTATGCAGATTGCGCTTTGTCTAAGGTCGATCTGATTATCATCATCGATGCCTCCACCAGTGTAGGACAAGGAAACTTCGATAAAATGCTGGCTTTCTGTAAGGATTTCCTCAGGAACGCCGACATTGACTCTGGTAACGTACGTGTCGGTGCTTTGATCTACAGTTCCGGGGTAGAAATTCAATTCAATCTCAATACGTTTTCAACAAAAGCTGATGTAAACCAGGCTATCGATGAAATTCCCTATATCTATGGAAGTACCAACACAGCTGACGCCTTGCTGACGATGAGGAACATGTTCAATGCTGCTGATGGAGACCGTGCTGACGTTCCCAACATCTGTATCATCTTAACAGACGGTGTATCCAATATCAACTCCCGGAGAACCATTCCGGAAGCGGACCGGGCCAGGGATGCAGACATACATGTATATGCCATCGGTATCGGCCTGAAAGACACGAAGGAGTTAGACGGTATCGCTAACAAACCCTCATCGGAAAACAGCTTCAACGTTCAGACGTTTGACGAGCTGAACGCTCTCAGTGACCAAGTATTCTCGTCTTTATGTCCAGGTATTTATTGAGAATTTTTTTAAAATACTTTATCGATATCAACTATTCTATCACGGCACAAGTGTGTTCCTCACAGCTTAAATTTGTTCAATGTATGATCCATCACACATCTTTATATGTTTTACGTGTCGTCTTTTTGTCAGGTATATATCTTTGTGTTTTCTCTTTCCATGAAAGTAATGCACTTCGCACTTTGCACCATTGATATGCACTTGATCCTGTTTTGTGTTAATACATGTTATTTGTTTTAATCTTATACTTTATGTCATGGCGATCAATTATATACAATATTTGTCATGAAAATGACATTTGTTAATGTATTCGTTGACGTGTTTTTTGTAATGTTTTGTCTGTCTTCATGTCTGTGTACTGAATGCAGGTTTTAAACGTGAAGAACAGTTTCCAAGTTCTACAGCAACACCTTTACCAAGAGGTAATACTTACATGTGTAAAATTGTGAAAATTTTTTAAAATGCTCAATTTTGAAATATTTTCTATATGATGGAATGGTTAAATATATGAAATTAGCACTGCCCCTTCGTTTATGGATTATCGAAAGTATAATTAATCATATTTTGATCATAGTTGATATGATACAACAAATACATATACAACGTCTAAAATGTTATACCAAAAAACTCGTCTTACAGTTGTTGTCAACAAACACTGTTTGTCACTAAATGATAAAAATAGCACTGCCGTAATCTGTGTTCTCTATCACAACAATATCTTATTATTTGAGATTTTTCCTTTCTCGTCCTTTGTTTGTTTGTTTTCTTCTTTACTCTTACTATGAACGTCATTGTAACTTATCTTGTTTTAGTTTTGTAACACTTTTAAAATGTTTAATGATACGAGAAATTCGTTTATCAATCAACACCATTTCCAGACCACTGAAATTCAGTTATCCAATTGCTTTGTTTTTGGTGTTTTATTTTTATGTAAAGCACAAGATAAAATATGTTATAATAAATTTTATACTCTTGAAGAGTAGGAGCATTGTTCACCTTAATTGTTTCCTTTTGTAATTAATATCAATGTGAATTTCAGTTACCGATGCTCCAACCACCACCACTACAACGACTACACCAGCACCTACACCTCCTCCCAGAGCCTTTGATCTTATCATGGTGTTAGATTCTTCGGTGACACCAGAGAAGTTCGAATGGATCCGGAACTATGCCAAAATGGTCGCTGGTCGACTAAGTATTGACAATGAGAAGTTCCGAGTAGGTCTCCTTAGGTACAGTACTGATCAGGCCGCCCAATTCCAGCTGGACGATTACTTGACAAAGGATGGCGTTGTGGCTGCCATGGACGATATCCAGTATCAGCCAGGGGAGACCAACACCGCGGCTGCTTTAGATTATGTGAGAACGGAGATGTTCAGACCTGACAATGGCGACAGAGATTTTGCAAGAAACTTTATTCTCTTGATTACCGGAAATGACGAAAGCACTGATAGGTACGAAGCATTCCGGGCTGCAGAGAAAAATGAAAATGACGGTAATTACTTATTCACGGTTGGAGTCGGACTCCGAGACCACAGTGAACTGGACGAGGTGTCGTCACATCCACTGGAGGAATACCAACGTCTATTCCTTATATCTGACCGACCAGAGGATATCGACGACGAACTGAATGTTAGAAGCATGTAAGTGATGCGTTCATATCCTGATTTAATTGAAATTTTTATTAATGAAATATCTTCTCATCGTCGTTTGAGGTATGTGTGCAATGACTGCAATATCACAATTTGATTTTTCATTAAAAATTGTTTAGTTCAGTGTGGGAATTATGTCTTAGTTTCCTTTGAAAATATCAATACCTTTCCGTCATTAGTTAATTGATATTCTAATTTCATTTTAGTACCTGAGGATCCTCCAGATGGTTTCCGCGGACGACCATATCCTCCTCCAAGTAAGACTATGTTTTTGGTTTATCCACATTGATATCAAAATCATGCATAACACGAGATATAGCTATTGAATACATGAAAAGTATAACATTCTTAATGTCGCCACCATGCACAACTTGGGGTATTGTTCTACATCGTCCAGCTAACATGCGTGAATTTCCAGCTAAAGACTATCCACGAAAATATGATTCAGCGAATAAGTTTTCAGTTGTAATCCTTATGTTTATACAAGTGATGTCAACAAATGTCTCTTTTCTCGAAATGAAGTTATAAGTAATTTTGTATCCTTACAGCAACGACCCCTCTGCCGATAACTTTACCACCGCCTGTGTCTGGTATGTCACGTAGAATCATCAATTTGTTTCAATAGTACTTTTGCAAATAAACTAGCGATTAAAAAACACTGATATCATTCAATTTTGGGACCAAACTACAACCACCAAAGTTGTTTTTTCAGTCAGTATCTTATATGGTTGTTATATACAATATATATATTAAAATCAGTTTTCACTCAACAATTCTATTGATTCGTTCAAAATTTTAAGTATAAAACGCCGTAATTCAAAGAGATATTATGGGAAAAGGTTATAGGATATGATTTTTACATATATATCTATTTCATTTTATTTCCTATGCAGATTGCGCTTTGTCTAAGGTCGATCTGATTATCATCATCGATGCCTCCACCAGTGTAGGACAAGGAAACTTCGATAAAATGCTGGCTTTCTGTAAGGATTTCCTCAGGAACGCCGACATTGACTCTGGTAACGTACGTGTCGGTGCTTTGATCTACAGTTCCGGGGTAGAAATTCAATTCAATCTCAATACGTTTTCAACAAAAGCTGATGTAAACCAGGCTATCGATGAAATTCCCTATATCTATGGAAGTACCAACACAGCTGACGCCTTGCTGACGATGAGGAACATGTTCAATGCTGCTGATGGAGACCGTGCTGACGTTCCCAACATCTGTATCATCTTAACAGACGGTGTATCCAATATCAACTCCCGGAGAACCATTCCGGAAGCGGACCGGGCCAGGGATGCAGACATACATGTATATGCCATCGGTATCGGCCTGAAAGACACGAAGGAGTTAGACGGTATCGCTAACAAACCCTCATCGGAAAACAGCTTCAACGTTCAGACGTTTGACGAGCTGAACGCTCTCAGTGACCAAGTATTCTCGTCTTTATGTCCAGGTATTTATTGAGAATTTTTTTAAAATACTTTATCGATATCAACTATTCTATCACGGCACAAGTGTGTTCCTCACAGCTTAAATTTGTTCAATGTATGATTTATCACACATCTTTATATGTTTTACGTGTCGTCTTTTTGTCAGGTATATATCTTTGTGTTTTCTCTTTCCATGAAAGTAATGCACTTCGCACTTTGCACCATTGATATGCACTTGATCCTGTTTTGTGTTAATACATGTTATTTGTTTTAATCTTATACTTTATGTCATGGCGATCAATTATATACAATATTTGTCATGAAAATGACATTTGTTAATGTATTCGTTGACGTGTTTTTTGTAATGTTTTGTCTGTCTTCATGTCTGTGTACTGAATGCAGGTTTTAAACGTGAAGAACAGTTTCCAAGTTCTACAGCAACACCTTTACCAAGAGGTAATACTTACATGTGTAAAATTGTGAAAATTTTTTAAAATGCTCAATTTTGAAATATTTTCTATATGATGGAATGGTTAAATATATGAAATTAGCACTGCCCCTTCATTAATGGATTATCGAAAGTATAATTAATCATATTTTGATCATAGTTGATATGATACAACAAATACATATACAACGTCTAAAATGTTATACCAAAAAACTCGTCTTACAGTTGTTGTCAACAAACACTGTTTGTCACTAAATGATAAAAATAGCACTGCCGTAATCTGTGTTCTCTATCACAACAATATCTTATTATTTGAGATTTTTCCTTTCTCGTCCTTTGTTTGTTTGTTTTCTTCTTTACTCTTACTATGAACGTCATTGTAACTTATCTTGTTTTAGTTTTGTAACACTTTTAAAATGTTTAATGATACGAGAAATTCGTTTATCAATCAACACCATTTCCAGACCACTGAAATTCAGTTATCCAATTGCTTTGTTTTTGGTGTTTTATTTTTATGTAAAGCACAAGATAAAATATGTTATAATAAATTTTATACTCTTGAAGAGTAGGAGCATTGTTCACCTTAATTGTTTCCTTTTGTAATTAATATCAATGTGAATTTCAGTTACCGATGCTCCAACCACCACCACTACAACGACTACACCAGCACCTACACCTCCTCCCAGAGCCTTTGATCTTATCATGGTGTTAGATTCTTCGGTGACACCAGAGAAGTTCGAATGGATCCGGAACTATGCCAAAATGGTCGCTGGTCGACTAAGTATTGACAATGAGAAGTTCCGAGTAGGTCTCCTTAGGTACAGTACTGATCAGGCCGCCCAATTCCAGCTGGACGATTACTTGACAAAGGATGGCGTTGTGGCTGCCATGGACGATATCCAGTATCGGCCAGGGGAGACCAACACCGCGGCTGCTTTAGATTATGTGAGAACGGAGATGTTCAGACCTGACAATGGCGACAGAGATTTTGCAAGAAACTTTATTCTCTTGATTACCGGAAATGACGAAAGCACTGATAGGTACGAAGCATTCCGGGCTGCAGAGAAAAATGAAAATGACGGTAATTACTTATTCACGGTTGGAGTCGGACTCCGAGACCACAGTGAACTGGACGAGGTGTCGTCACATCCACTGGAGGAATACCAACGTCTATTCCTTATATCTGACCGACCAGAGGATATCGACGACGAACTGGCAATGTTAGAAGCATGTAAGTGATGCGTTCATATCCTGATTTAATTGAAATTTTTATTAATGAAATATCTTCTCATCGTCGTTTGAGGTATGTGTGCAATGACTGCAATATCACAATTTGATTTTTCATTAAAAATTGTTTAGTTCAGTGTGGGAATTATGTCTTAGTTTCCTTTGAAAATATCAATACCTTTCCGTCATTAGTTAATTGATATTCTAATTTCATTTTAGTACCTGAGGATCCTCCAGATGGTTTCCGCGGACGACCATATCCTCCTCCAAGTAAGACTATGTTTTTGGTTTATCCACATTGATATCAAAATCATGCATAACACGATATATAGCTATTGAATACATGAAAAGTATAACATTCTTAATGTCGCCACTATGCACAACTTGGGGTATTGTTCTACATCGTCCAGCTAACATGCGTGAATTTCCAGCTAAAGACTATCCACGAAAATATGATTCAGCGAATAAGTTTTCAGTTGTAATCCTTATGTTTATACAAGTGATGTCAACAAATGTCTCTTTTCTCGAAATGAAGTTATAAGTAATTTTGTATCCTTACAGCAACGACCCCTCTGCCGATAACTTTACCACCGCCTGTGTCTGGTATGTCACGTAGAATCATCAATTTGTTTCAATAGTACTTTTGCAAATAAACTAGCGATTAAAAAACACTGATATCATTCAATTTTGGGACCAAACTACAACCACCAAAGTTGTTTTTTCAGTCAGTATCTTATATGGTTGTTATATACAATATATATATTAAAATCAGTTTTCACTCAACAATTCTATTGATTCGTTCAAAATTTTAAGTATAAAACGCCGTAATTCAAAGAGATATTATGGGAAAAGGTTATAGGATATGATTTTTACATATATATCTATTTCATTTTATTTCCTATGCAGATTGCGCTTTGTCTAAGGTCGATCTGATTATCATCATCGATGCCTCCACCAGTGTAGGACAAGGAAACTTCGATAAAATGCTGGCTTTCTGTAAGGATTTCCTCAGGAACGCCGACATTGACTCTGGTAACGTACGTGTCGGTGCTTTGATCTACAGTTCCGGGGTAGAAATTCAATTCAATCTCAATACGTTTTCAACAAAAGCTGATGTAAACCAGGCTATCGATGAAATTCCCTATATCTATGGAAGTACCAACACAGCTGACGCCTTGCTGACGATGAGGAACATGTTCAATGCTGCTGATGGAGACCGTGCTGACGTTCCCAACATCTGTATCATCTTAACAGACGGTGTATCCAATATCAACTCCCGGAGAACCATTCCGGAAGCGGACCGGGCCAGGGATGCAGACATACATGTATATGCCATCGGTATCGGCCTGAAAGACACGAAGGAGTTAGACGGTATCGCTAACAAACCCTCATCGGAAAACAGCTTCAACGTTCAGACGTTTGACGAGCTGAACGCTCTCAGTGACCAAGTATTCTCGTCTTTATGTCCAGGTATTTATTGAGAATTTTTTAAAAATACTTTATCGATATCAACTATTCTATCACGGCACAAGTGTGTTCCTCACAGCTTAAATTTGTTCAATGTATGATTTATCACACATCTTTATATGTTTTACGTGTCGTCTTTTTGTCAGGTATATATCTTTGTGTTTTCTCTTTCCATGAAAGTAATGCACTTCGCACTTTGCACCATTGATATGCACTTGATCCTGTTTTGTGTTAATACATGTTATTTGTTTTAATCTTATACTTTATGTCATGGCGATCAATTATATACAATATTTGTCATGAAAATGACATTTGTTAATGTATTCGTTGACGTGTTTTTTGTAATGTTTTGTCTGTCTTCATGTCTGTGTACTGAATGCAGGTTTTAAACGTGAAGAACAGTTTCCAAGTTCTACAGCAACACCTTTACCAAGAGGTAATACTTACATGTGTAAAATTGTGAAATTTTTTTAAAATGCTCAATTTTGAAATATTTTCTATATGATGGAATGGTTAAATATATGAAATTAGCACTGCCCCTTCATTAATGGATTATCGAAAGTATAATTAATCATATTTTGATCATAGTTGATATGATACAACAAATACATATACAACGTCTAAAATGTTATACCAAAAAACTCGTCTTACAGTTGTTGTCAACAAACACTGTTTGTCACTAAATGATAAAAATAGCACTGCCGTAATCTGTGTTCTCTATCACAACAATATCTTATTATTTGAGATTTTTCCTTTCTCGTCCTTTGTTTGTTTGTTTTCTTCTTTACTCTTACTATGAACGTCATTGTAACTTATCTTGTTTTAGTTTTGTAACACTTTTAAAATGTTTAATGATACGAGAAATTCGTTTATCAATCAACACCATTTCCAGACCACTGAAATTCAGTTATCCAATTGCTTTGTTTTTGGTGTTTTATTTTTATGTAAAGCACAAGATAAAATATGTTATAATAAATTTTATACTCTTGAAGAGTAGGAGCATTGTTCACCTTAATTGTTTCCTTTTGTAATTAATATCAATGTGAATTTCAGTTACCGATGCTCCAACCACCACCACTACAACGACTACACCAGCACCTACACCTCCTCCCAGAGCCTTTGATCTTATCATGGTGTTAGATTCTTCGGTGACACCAGAGAAGTTCGAATGGATCCGGAACTATGCCAAAATGGTCGCTGGTCGACTAAGTATTGACAATGAGAAGTTCCGAGTAGGTCTCCTTAGGTACAGTACTGATCAGGCCGCCCAATTCCAGCTGGACGATTACTTGACAAAGGATGGCGTTGTGGCTGCCATGGACGATATCCAGTATCGGCCAGGGGAGACCAACACCGCGGCTGCTTTAGATTATGTGAGAACGGAGATGTTCAGACCTGACAATGGCGACAGAGATTTTGCAAGAAACTTTATTCTCTTGATTACCGGAAATGACGAAAGCACTGATAGGTACGAAGCATTCCGGGCTGCAGAGAAAAATGAAAATGACGGTAATTACTTATTCACGGTTGGAGTCGGACTCCGAGACCACAGTGAACTGGACGAGGTGTCGTCACATCCACTGGAGGAATACCAACGTCTATTCCTTATATCTGACCGACCAGAGGATATCGACGACGAACTGGCTATGTTAGAAGCATGTAAGTGATGCGTTCATATCCTGATTTAATTGAAATTTTTATTAATGAAATATCTTCTCATCGTCGTTTGAGGTATGTGTGCAATGACTGCAATATCACAATTTGATTTTTCATTAAAAATTGTTTAGTTCAGTGTGGGAATTATGTCTTAGTTTCCTTTGAAAATATCAATACCTTTCCGTCATTAGTTAATTGATATTCTAATTTCATTTTAGTACCTGAGGATCCTCCAGATGGTTTCCGCGGACGACCATATCCTCCTCCAAGTAAGACTATGTTTTTGGTTTATCCACATTGATATCAAAATCATGCATAACACGATATATAGCTATTGAATACATGAAAAGTATAACATTCTTAATGTCGCCACTATGCACAACTTGGGGTATTGTTCTACATCGTCCAGCTAACATGCGTGAATTTCCAGCTAAAGACTATCCACGAAAATATGATTCAGCGAATAAGTTTTCAGTTGTAATCCTTATGTTTATACAAGTGATGTCAACAAATGTCTCTTTTCTCGAAATGAAGTTATAAGTAATTTTGTATCCTTACAGCAACGACCCCTCTGCCGATAACTTTACCACCGCCTGTGTCTGGTATGTCACGTAGAATCATCAATTTGTTTCAATAGTACTTTTGCAAATAAACTAGCGATTAAAAAACACTGATATCATTCAATTTTGGGACCAAACTACAACCACCAAAGTTGTTTTTTCAGTCAGTATCTTATATGGTTGTTATATACAATATATATATTAAAATCAGTTTTCACTCAACAATTCTATTGATTCGTTCAAAATTTTAAGTATAAAACGCCGTAATTCAAAGAGATATTATGGGAAAAGGTTATAGGATATGATTTTTACATATATATCTATTTCATTTTATTTCCTATGCAGATTGCGCTTTGTCTAAGGTCGATCTGATTATCATCATCGATGCCTCCACCAGTGTAGGACAAGGAAACTTCGATAAAATGCTGGCTTTCTGTAAGGATTTCCTCAGGAACGCCGACATTGACTCTGGTAACGTACGTGTCGGTGCTTTGATCTACAGTTCCGGGGTAGAAATTCAATTCAATCTCAATACGTTTTCAACAAAAGCTGATGTAAACCAGGCTATCGATGAAATTCCCTATATCTATGGAAGTACCAACACAGCTGACGCCTTGCTGACGATGAGGAACATGTTCAATGCTGCTGATGGAGACCGTGCTGACGTTCCCAACATCTGTATCATCTTAACAGACGGTGTATCCAATATCAACTCCCGGAGAACCATTCCGGAAGCGGACCGGGCCAGGGATGCAGACATACATGTATATGCCATCGGTATCGGCCTGAAAGACACGAAGGAGTTAGATGGTATCGCTAACAAACCCTCATCGGAAAACAGCTTCAACGTTCAGACGTTTGACGAGCTGAACGCTCTCAGTGACCAAGTATTCTCGTCTTTATGTCCAGGTATTTATTGAGAATTTTTTTTAAATACTTTATCGATATCAACTATTCTATCACGGCACAAGTGTGTTCCTCACAGCTTAAATTTGTTCAATGTATGATTTATCACACATCTTTATGTTTTACGTGTCGTCTTTTTGTCAGGTATATATCTTTGTGTTTTCTCTTTCCATGAAAGTAATGCACTTCGCACTTTGCACCATTGATATGCACTTGATCCTGTTTTGTGTTAATACATGTTATTTGTTTTAATCTTATACTTTATGTCATGGCGATCAATTATATACAATATTTGTCATGAAAATGACATTTGTTAATGTATTCGTTGACGTGTTTTTTGTAATGTTTTGTCTGTCTTCATGTCTGTGTACTGAATGCAGGTTTTAAACGTGAAGAACAGTTTCCAAGTTCTACAGCAACACCTTTACCAAGAGGTAATACTTACATGTGTAAAATTGTGAAAATTTTTTAAAATGCTCAATTTTGAAATATTTTCTATATGATGGAATGGTTAAATATATGAAATTAGCACTGCCCCTTCGTTAATGGATTATCGAAAGTATAATTAATCATATTTTGATCATAGTTGATATGATACAACAAATACATATACAACGTCTAAAATGTTATACCAAAAAACTCGTCTTACAGTTGTTGTCAACAAACACTGTTTGTCACTAAATGATAAAAATAGCACTGCCGTAATCTGTGTTCTCTATCACAACAATATCTTATTATTTGAGATTTTTCCTTTCTCGTCCTTTGTTTGTTTGTTTTCTTCTTTACTCTTACTATGAACGTCATTGTAACTTATCTTGTTTTAGTTTTGTAACACTTTTAAAATGTTTAATGATACGAGAAATTCGTTTATCAATCAACACCATTTCCAGACCACTGAAATTCAGTTATCCAATTGCTTTGTTTTTGGTGTTTTATTTTTATGTAAAGCACAAGATAAAATATGTTATAATAAATTTTATACTCTTGAAGAGTAGGAGCATTGTTCACCTTAATTGTTTCCTTTTGTAATTAATATCAATGTGAATTTCAGTTACCGATGCTCCAACCACCACCACTACAACGACTACACCAGCACCTACACCTCCTCCCAGAGCCTTTGATCTTATCATGGTGTTAGATTCTTCGGTGACACCAGAGAAGTTCGAATGGATCCGGAACTATGCCAAAATGGTCGCTGGTCGACTAAGTATTGACAATGAGAAGTTCCGAGTAGGTCTCCTTAGGTACAGTACTGATCAGGCCGCCCAATTCCAGCTGGACGATTACTTGACAAAGGATGGCGTTGTGGCTGCCATGGACGATATCCAGTATCAGCCAGGGGAGACCAACACCGCGGCTGCTTTAGATTATGTGAGAACGGAGATGTTCAGACCTGACAATGGCGACAGAGATTTTGCAAGAAACTTTATTCTCTTGATTACCGGAAATGACGAAAGCACTGATAGGTACGAAGCATTCCGGGCTGCAGAGAAAAATGAAAATGACGGTAATTACTTATTCACGGTTGGAGTCGGACTCCGAGACCACAGTGAACTGGACGAGGTGTCGTCACATCCACTGGAGGAATACCAACGTCTATTCCTTATATCTGACCGACCAGAGGATATCGACGACGAACTGGCAATGTTAGAAGCATGTAAGTGATGCGTTCATATCCTGATTTAATTGAAATTTTTATTAATGAAATATCTTCTCATCGTCGTTTGAGGTATGTGTGCAATGACTGCAATATCACAATTTGATTTTTCATTAAAAATTGTTTAGTTCAGTGTGGGAATTATGTCTTAGTTTCCTTTGAAAATATCAATACCTTTCCGTCATTAGTTAATTGATATTCTAATTTCATTTTAGTACCTGAGGATCCTCCAGATGGTTTCCGCGGACGACCATATCCTCCTCCAAGTAAGACTATGTTTTTGGTTTATCCACATTGATATCAAAATCATGCATAACACGAGATATAGCTATTGAATACATGAAAAGTATAACATTCTTAATGTCGCCACCATGCACAACTTGGGGTATTGTTCTACATCGTCCAGCTAACATGCGTGAATTTCCAGCTAAAGACTATCCACGAAAATATGATTCAGCGAATAAGTTTTCAGTTGTAATCCTTATGTTTATACAAGTGATGTCAACAAATGTCTCTTTTCTCGAAATGAAGTTATAAGTAATTTTGTATCCTTACAGCAACGACCCCTCTGCCGATAACTTTACCACCGCCTGTGTCTGGTATGTCACGTAGAATCATCAATTTGTTTCAATAGTACTTTTGCAAATAAACTAGCGATTAAAAAACACTGATATCATTCAATTTTGGGACCAAACTACAACCACCAAAGTTGTTTTTTCAGTCAGTATCTTATATGGTTGTTATATACAATATATATATTAAAATCAGTTTTCACTCAACAATTCTATTGATTCGTTCAAAATTTTAAGTATAAAACGCCGTAATTCAAAGAGATATTATGGGAAAAGGTTATAGGATATGATTTTTACATATATATCTATTTCATTTTATTTCCTATGCAGATTGCGCTTTGTCTAAGGTCGATCTGATTATCATCATCGATGCCTCCACCAGTGTAGGACAAGGAAACTTCGATAAAATGCTGGCTTTCTGTAAGGATTTCCTCAGGAACGCCGACATTGACTCTGGTAACGTACGTGTCGGTGCTTTGATCTACAGTTCCGGGGTAGAAATTCAATTCAATCTCAATACGTTTTCAACAAAAGCTGATGTAAACCAGGCTATCGATGAAATTCCCTATATCTATGGAAGTACCAACACAGCTGACGCCTTGCTGACGATGAGGAACATGTTCAATGCTGCTGATGGAGACCGTGCTGACGTTCCCAACATCTGTATCATCTTAACAGACGGTGTATCCAATATCAACTCCCGGAGAACCATTCCGGAAGCGGACCGGGCCAGGGATGCAGACATACATGTATATGCCATCGGTATCGGCCTGAAAGACACGAAGGAGTTAGATGGTATCGCTAACAAACCCTCATCGGAAAACAGCTTCAACGTTCAGACGTTTGACGAGCTGAACGCTCTCAGTGACCAAGTATTCTCGTCTTTATGTCCAGGTATTTATTGAGAATTTTTTTTAAATACTTTATCGATATCAACTATTCTATCACGGCACAAGTGTGTTCCTCACAGCTTAAATTTGTTCAATGTATGATTTATCACACATCTTTATGTTTTACGTGTCGTCTTTTTGTCAGGTATATATCTTTGTGTTTTCTCTTTCCATGAAAGTAATGCACTTCGCACTTTGCACCATTGATATGCACTTGATCCTGTTTTGTGTTAATACATGTTATTTGTTTTAATCTTATACTTTATGTAATGGCGATCAATTATATACAATATTTGTCATGAAAATGACATTTGTTAATGTATTCGTTGACGTGTTTTTTGTAATGTTTTGTCTGTCTTCATGTCTGTGTACTGAATGCAGGTTTTAAACGTGAAGAACAGTTTCCAAGTTCTACAGCAACACCTTTACCAAGAGGTAATACTTACATGTGTAAAATTGTGAAAATTTTTTAAAATGCTCAATTTTGAAATATTTTCTATATGATGGAATGGTTAAATATATGAAATTAGCACTGCCCCTTCATTAATGGATTATCGAAAGTATAATTAATCATATTTTGATCATAGTTGATATGATACAACAAATACATATACAACGTCTAAAATGTTATACCAAAAAACTCGTCTTACAGTTGTTGTCAACAAACACTGTTTGTCACTAAATGATAAAAATAGCACTGCCGTAATCTGTGTTCTCTATCACAACAATATCTTATTATTTGAGATTTTTCCTTTCTCGTCCTTTGTTTGTTTGTTTTCTTCTTTACTCTTACTATGAACGTCATTGTAACTTATCTTGTTTTAGTTTTGTAACACTTTTAAAATGTTTAATGATACGAGAAATTCGTTTATCAATCAACACCATTTCCAGACCACTGAAATTCAGTTATCCAATTGCTTTGTTTTTGGTGTTTTATTTTTATGTAAAGCACAAGATAAAATATGTTATAATAAATTTTATACTCTTGAAGAGTAGGAGCATTGTTCACCTTAATTGTTTCCTTTTGTAATTAATATCAATGTGAATTTCAGTTACCGATGCTCCAACCACCACCACTACAACGACTACACCAGCACCTACACCTCCTCCCAGAGCCTTTGATCTTATCATGGTGTTAGATTCTTCGGTGACACCAGAGAAGTTCGAATGGATCCGGAACTATGCCAAAATGGTCGCTGGTCGACTAAGTATTGACAATGAGAAGTTCCGAGTAGGTCTCCTTAGGTACAGTACTGATCAGGCCGCCCAATTCCAGCTGGACGATTACTTGACAAAGGATGGCGTTGTGGCTGCCATGGACGATATCCAGTATCAGCCAGGGGAGACCAACACCGCGGCTGCTTTAGATTATGTGAGAACGGAGATGTTCAGACCTGACAATGGCGACAGAGATTTTGCAAGAAACTTTATTCTCTTGATTACCGGAAATGACGAAAGCACTGATAGGTACGAAGCATTCCGGGCTGCAGAGAAAAATGAAAATGACGGTAATTACTTATTCACGGTTGGAGTCGGACTCCGAGACCACAGTGAACTGGACGAGGTGTCGTCACATCCACTGGAGGAATACCAACGTCTATTCCTTATATCTGACCGACCAGAGGATATCGACGACGAACTGGCTATGTTAGAAGCATGTAAGTGATGCGTTCATATCCTGATTTAATTGAAATTTTTATTAATGAAATATCTTCTCATCGTCGTTTGAGGTATGTGTGCAATGACTGCAATATCACAATTTGATTTTTCATTAAAAATTGTTTAGTTCAGTGTGGGAATTATGTCTTAGTTTCCTTTGAAAATATCAATACCTTTCCGTCATTAGTTAATTGATATTCTAATTTCATTTTAGTACCTGAGGATCCTCCAGATGGTTTCCGCGGACGACCATATCCTCCTCCAAGTAAGACTATGTTTTTGGTTTATCCACATTGATATCAAAATGATGCATAACACGATATATAGCTATTGAATACATGAAAAGTATAACATTCTTAATGTCGCCACTATGCACAACTTGGGGTATTGTTCTACATCGTCCAGCTAACATGCGTGAATTTCCAGCTAAAGACTATCCACGAAAATATGATTCAGCGAATAAGTTTTCAGTTGTAATCCTTATGTTTATACAAGTGATGTCAACAAATGTCTCTTTTCTCGAAATGAAGTTATAAGTAATTTTGTATCCTTACAGCAACAACCCCTCTGCCGATAACTTTACCACCGCCTGTGTCTGGTATGTCACGTAGAATCATCAATTTGTTTCAATAGTACTTTTGCAAATAAACTAGCGATTAAAAAACACTGATATCATTCAATTTTGGGACCAAACTACAACCACCAAAGTTGTTTTTTCAGTCAGTATCTTATATGGTTGTTATATACAATATATATATTAAAATCAGTTTTCACTCAACAATTCTATTGATTCGTTCAAAATTTTCAGTATAAAACGCCGTAATTCAAAGAGATATTATGGGAAAAGGTTATAGGATATGATTTTTACATATATATCTATTTCATTTTATTTCCTATGCAGATTGCGCTTTGTCTAAGGTCGATCTGATTATCATCATCGATGCCTCCACCAGTGTAGGACAAGGAAACTTCGATAAAATGCTGGCTTTCTGTAAGGATTTCCTCAGGAACGCCGACATTGACTCTGGTAACGTACGTGTCGGTGCTTTGATCTACAGTTCCGGGGTAGAAATTCAATTCAATCTCAATACGTTTTCAACAAAAGCTGATGTAAACCAGGCTATCGATGAAATTCCCTATATCTATGGAAGTACCAACACAGCTGACGCCTTGCTGACGATGAGGAACATGTTCAATGCTGCTGATGGAGACCGTGCTGACGTTCCCAACATCTGTATCATCTTAACAGACGGTGTATCCAATATCAACTCCCGGAGAACCATTCCGGAAGCGGACCGGGCCAGGGATGCAGACATACATGTATATGCCATCGGTATCGGCCTGAAAGACACGAAGGAGTTAGATGGTATCGCTAACAAACCCTCATCGGAAAACAGTTTCAACGTTCAGACGTTTGATGAGCTGAACGCTCTCAGTGATCAAGTCTTCTCCTCTCTCTGCCCAGGTAAATTGCCGTTTTATTAACTTATTCCTGAAAATACACTTGCTATCTTATTTCCAAAACACCAACACGTCATCTACTTTTTCTCTCTCTGTCCTGTGTTTTGTTTGTAGTTGATGATGCACCGTTTTAATAACTCCAGATACCGTATTGCTAGTAATTTTCAAGGTCACCATTTTCGGATAGAATTTTAGGATCTCCCGAAATCTTTCCATCCTTGTTAGCGTATTCATTACTTTCAACGGGTAGCAAAATTATCATTGTATATTTCTCCGGCACATCCATAATGTTACTGTACGTTTTTGATAGAGGCGTCAGGTTTTGTACAGAAGACATACCTCAACTCTTCCAACATCATTCACTTCTTGTCATCATATTGATCACTTAAAATGGGTAAAACGTTTTTCTTGTAATATAATACCCTATCATCTGCTTCTTCAGTTATCATATGATATAATTGTGTTGATTCTTCTTTGAAAATATCATTTAGCCTTAGATCCGTAACCAGTGCCCGTAACACGAGTAAGCCCATTGTTTTCTATTATTATACAATGAATGTACGATCACTTCTTTTCGTCAGGATTTTGTTTCTTTTGGTTCCTCCTCCCGTTTTGCCCACAAACTGTTAGAATTAGTACACATGGCTTTATTTATGAATATTTATCCACGAAATCGAGTGATCACAAAATATTCATGATTCGGAAAACTACGAAACTCGGGCTTCACGAAGCACATTAGCTGTTCAAACTGAACTGATAGAAGATTACAATTATCTATACAAAAAAGAATAAAGAATCATTCCCGATAAAACACGGGCTTCCTCATTCCCCATTACAATCCACTTGTGAAAGAAATGTACCTCTAGGCAACGTTATAATTTGTTTGTACTCAAATGCACTTGTAATGTCATATGTGTGATGTTCTACTCACATAGGTTTATTTATGGTGTCATACTATGCTGTATTATTTCTTGTGATGTATCAAAATATTGTCACATTATCCGCACTTTCACGCATTTTGTATCGTTCTATATTGTAAAAACCACATTGTAATTTTGTCATATCAATATTACCGTTATATTTTTGTCTTTTTCTTTCTTACTTTTTTCTGTCTTTTTTTCCTTTCTAATGAAAGAAAAATATATCATTCAACGAGTAAATATATACACTTTGGCAAATAAGAGAATTAATTAATTTGGGTTAAAAGGCAGCAATTGCAATTATTTATTTTCTAGACGGAAATATAACGGTCGCTGCAGCACTCTGATCACTCTCAATATACATATATATATATATATATACTATATGCCACTGTCTCGTATTTTATGTGTATGTACTTGTTTTATATATGTCTAATGTGAATACGTGTTAGGTATAACAGAGCCCCAACCCACAACAACCACGACCGAAACCACCACTACAGTGCTGACTTCCACAGGTAAAGAGAAAATTCTTTTGAAAATTCCAGCATGTTTGGATGTATCCTAATTCGTCACATCTACTTCCAATAATGAATCAAAGCAAACACATTTTTTATCGTGATTAAATTGGTTAATTTGTGTAACTTTTATTATGTTATGATATAGAAACTGCCTCGGGACTTCCATGTGGTATCATAATGTCAAATGTATTTTGAAAGTATTCAGCAAAACGATGGTAACATTTTAAAAAAGAGACAAAATGATAGTGAGTTTGTGTCCTCATGTTATAATATCCCCTAACATATACCACGTCATCATCACTTCTATGTAAATCAACGACTGACAAAGGTTTAATTGACGTTGTTATTCTTCAATTAACAAACTAAAGTATGATTTATTTTATTTTCAATGTGTTTGAATCTTCACATAATATTAAGATGACGAAAACCATATGATAATTGATAATTTTAACTAAAACGTTTCGCGTCAATAATAGCTTCTAATTTCCGGCAGTTTTTACAAAAGACACAAGTGTGTAGCACCATTTAAAGCCATTCAGAATTAAATACAATTATGCGAATTAATGAACAACGTTCGAATGAAATGTCAAATCCGCGGTTAGGAAGTTAAACTTGGTCATGCAGGTTGCGGTAAACTCAATGACTACTTGTCAACCAGCAATGTGTATAACGTGATCTAATTATCTCGATAACTTTTCAGGAATGTCCCTTTAAACCTCTCTATTATTCATATTTGGGCGAGATATCATCAAATGTTGAGTTTGAATTTAGATTCTGTTGAAAATATCGGTTCCTTTTATTTTTCTTCCGTTACTGAAAACAACTTTGATAACGCGATATCATTCTGTATCTTGTAGCTATACATGTGTACGTTATAGATATGTTATTATTCTAGTGACCGATGCCCCGACTCCTCCTCCACGTGCCTTCGACCTCGTCATTGTCCTTGACTCTTCGGTCAGTCCAGCACAGTGGCAGTGGATACGACAATATGCTAAGATGGTCGCTGGACAGCTTAGCATTGACAATGAAAAATTCCGAGTAGGCCTTCTACGATATAGTACCAACCAGGCCGCCCAATTCCAGCTGGACGATTACTTAACCAAGGATGGTGTTGTGTCTGCTATTGACAATGTCCAGTACCAGCCCGGGGAGACCAATACTGTAGGCGCTTTAGATTATGTTAGAAAGGAGATGTTCAAACCAGATAATGGTGACAGAGATTTTGCAAGAAATTTTATTCTTTTGATCACTGGAAATGACAACAGCACTGATAGGTACGGGGCATTCCGTGCCGCAGAGAAAAATGAAGACGACGGAAACTATTTGTTCACTGTTGGGGTTGGACTCCAGGATCCTAGCGAACTGGCCGAGATCTCTTCACATCCTTTGGAGGAATACCAGCGTCTTTTCTTGATATCAGACCGACCAGAGGACATCGATGACGAGTTGACGATGCTTGACGCATGTAAGTAGATAAAGTCGATCCTCACTATCTCGAAATTAGCGGAAACGTTGGAAAAACTCGAGCTATCCGAGTATTCGATTGAAGTGAAATCGAATGTTTGGTGGGAAAATTACTCAGCGAATCTCTCGCTTTCTGTAAACCATCAAGCAATACATAGCATGAAAAGAAGTTTGCTTTAAAATTCAGAATGATATTTGTTATCTTATTGCAGTACCAGAAAATCCACCGGACGGATTCCGCCTGCGACCATATCCTCCACCTTGTAAGATGATTTTCTTTCTCTTCTCTTAAAGTATTTTAAATAGAAATGTTTCAATATTGTGCGAGAAGTAACATTGCACTCTAATTTCAACTTGTAGTTTTATTTCCGATATCAACTTTTGTGCAAGTATATTTCATTAAGTAGTGTTCCTGATTATACAAAATAAGACTGGGGATGGGAGGGAATTGTATTGATATTTCCTATCAACTAAGGAGCACTACGTAGGTAACGAATTTTCAAAACATATTAAACAATAAACCTACAAACAAGACTGAAAATGACGGGGATGCGTTACCCTTACTTTATGCTCGTCAGTAAATATATTAAATTGTCCATACATTTTGTTATAATATTCTTTTTCTTCTTTTCAGCTACCACACCTATACCGATCACGCTACCGCCACCAGTGTCAGGTAAATAAATACATTTCATTAAAAGTATAGGTCGGGCGTTATATTAACAATGCTTTGTTACTCTTTCATACAAACAACGATGTACACCACATCTTTTTATTAAAAAAATTCGTTTCGTGTGCCTCGTCAATATCAACATGGAGTTATTTACCTATCTAGGGAGGTCGCCGATTGCGAACGATTTCTGATAAGAATAAACCATCGATATATATTTTTGTTGATTAAATGCATATTCATGTGTTGAGAGAAACGAAGACGTTGAAAAAGAAACACAAACACACACATCTCACCCATCACTCACACCAAAGAAGCTTTTCCATCGCTTGTGTTTTTGATTTACTTGCCTTATCCCATATCTCACAATTCACGTAAGGCTCATCCAGATTATTTTAAATACACTCTGTAATAATTAACATGATTCTGATCTCTGCTTATGAAGTGAAGATCTTCTGAATTCATAACATATGTAAGATGAAATACAGATTCCAATTTCACCGCATATTCTGTTCCTTAACTGTTACATTTCACCTGCGGTACAGATCAGTAATTTCAACTTATACATTGCTTTGCATTCAAATTCTAAAGAAACGCTGTCATTACAGATTGTGCCCTGTCTAAGGTTGACTTGATCATCATCATCGATGCCTCCACCAGTGTAGGACAGGAAAACTACGATAAAATGCTGGCTTTTTGTAAGGATTTCCTCAAGAACGCCGACATTGACTCTGGAAACGTACGTGTCGGTGCCTTGATCTACAGTTCCGGGGTAGAAATTCAGTTTAACTTGAACTCCTATTCAACAAAGGCTGAAATATACCAGGCTATCGATGAAATTCCCTATATCTATGGAAGTACGAACACGGCTGATGCGCTGTTGACGATGAGGAACATGTTCAATGCTGCCGATGGAGACCGTGCTGACGTTCCCAACATCTGTATCATCTTAACAGACGGTGTATCCAACATCAACTCCCGGAGAACCATTCCGGAAGCGGACCGGGCCAGGGATGCAGACATACATGTGTATGCTATTGGTATCGGTCTGAAAGACACGAAGGAGTTAGACGGTATCGCTAACAAACCCTCATCGGAAAACAGCTTCAACGTGCAGACATTTGACGAGTTGAATGCTCTCAGTGACCAGGTCTTCTCTTCTCTCTGTCCAGGTATGTTCAGATTACTGATATACACAAATACAAAACACCAGAACGATAATATTAGTATGATAAAAGACAATCTGGTGGATGTTTCTTCCTTTGAAAATAATATTCATACATATCCGTTTCTATAGCGAACTACTACCTTGAGACATTGCACTGCTTTTGTCACGTATTAGGCACCACTTTATATGGATTCAATGTAATGTTCTTGATCAATCTGTATTTCCTCTACTGTTACGCTAATTTACATATTACACTGCACAACTCACTTTCGTTTACGCATTTTCTTTTCCCCGGATGCTTAAGTACTCGTTTGTGAATGTATATGTCTATATTGGGAATTTTCGTTCACATAATAGCAATTTATCAGAAACCCATATAAAAATCTGAATATAAATATACGTGGGCGTATGTTTTTGTTCCGGGGAATATGTTCGGTATATATGTATGCGACATTGTATTCAACTGTTACCTCTTCTAAAACTGTATGATGTTTCTTATTGTTCAACACCATATTGTGTATTAATCAGTGTGGTGTATAACACTGTATGTATCGTGTATTGCACATTGTTTTGTACTATTTTGTTATATATTACAATGTATCACGTATTTCCTGTATTATATATAGCACTGTGTATTGTGTATTACAAACTGTTATGTATCACATTGTAATATGTATTACACTTTATTGCACTGTCTGTGTCTGTATGTGTTAGGACGTATACCGACAGAAGAGCCAAGAACTACTGATACTCCGACAACTACTCTAAGAGGTAAACATGCAATTAACACGTGCATGTTTTATGGAAATGCATTTCCATTCTATTATATAGTTCTTTGAAGTCTTAATTATCATAACAAATCGGATTTGTTTTTGTTATGTTTTGTATTTGTTTTGTTTAGGGTTTATTTTTTGTTTTTTGTTTTTTCTTGGGTGGAGTGGGAAGGGGGAGGGGCGATGAATTTTAATTCTGAAAGTGCCTGGAACCGTAAGACCGTAAACAAAGTCCCTGTTTTATTGACACTTGCATTTTCTTTTTATCAAAACCAATGACTTTTGTTGGTAATGCTTAAAAATCACACAATATATAAAACTATTCGGTTAAGTATTGAAAGTTAAACTTACAGGTTTCGATTTAATAAAGTAATTATTTATATTTTAATTTGAACTGTTATGTTGATGATATTAGCGACATTACATCAGTTATTTTGAGTATATCTTAATAAATTAGATGCTCTGGAATATAGTATTATGTAACAAATGCAAACTTCAATACTATATCAACTTATACGTTAAAAAAATCAACTAAGGTTAATCATTCTTTTAACTATATGAATTATCTACTGAAATTCTACAGATTATAATATACCAAATGTTTTCGTGGTTGTAGTGACTCAACTCCCAGATCCAAGAGCGTTCGATCTTGTCATCGTCTTGGATTCGTCTGTTACACCAGAAAAGTTCGAATGGATTCGTAATTATGCGAAAATGGTGGCAGGTCAACTAAGTATTAACGATGGGAGGTTCCGAGTAGGTCTCCTTAGGTACAGTACTGATCAGGCCGCCCAATTCCAGCTGGACGATTACTTAACAAAGGATGGTGTTGTGGCTGCCATGGACGATATCCAGTATCAGCCAGGGGAGACCAACACCGCGGCTGCTTTAGATTATGTGAGAACGGAGATGTTCAGACCTGACAATGGCGACAGAGATTTTGCGAGAAACTTTATTCTCTTGATTACCGGAAATGACGAAAGCACTGATAGGTACGAAGCATTCCGGGCTGCAGAGAAAAATGAAAATGACGGTAATTACTTATTCACGGTTGGAGTCGGACTCCGAGACCACAGTGAACTGGACGAGGTGTCGTCACATCCACTGGAGGAATACCAACGTCTGTTCCTTATATCTGACCGACCGGAGGATATCGACGACGAGTTAGCGATGTTAGAAGCATGTGAGCTATATTTCCTATGATCCTTTTCTTGACATGTCATTTAATATCACGTATTGTAATGGCAATATGGTTTGCAAATTTATGTGAACATCAACTTTTCATATACCATCTCGCTTTAAAAAATCGGAGACTTGAAAATGGTTATAGATAATCATCAGTGCAAATTTGAATGTGCATAACAGTCACCTGCAAATTATCAAAGTATCAAAATGATAATAAAATATGTCATGAAAGAATGATTGATAAATAACATGTAAGGAAGGTAGGTAATTTGATTAATCAGTTCTTCTGTTGTTTTTGTGTTACATATATACATGTTTTTAGTTTGTTTTACTTGATAAACTTTTACTAACTATTTATTAAAGAATGATCTTTTGTTTTTGTGTTATATATATATTAGTTTAATTTACTTACTATCTATGAAATAATGATCAGTATGTTAATTTCCCACTATTTTTTGAAATTGCAATATAATTTGTTCCTTTCTTACAGTACCGGAACAGCCACCTGATGGGTTCCGTGGTAGACCCTACCCGCCACCAAGTAAGTAGGAACCGGTCATCAGGTCTTCAATACCTTAACAGAAATGTTTGAAGATAAGGGTTTCGAATAATTCTTAAATAACATTTTGGTTTTCTTTTTGTGGAATGGGCTGGGGGGAGGTTGTTTCCAAATGCAATAAATACATGATAAAAAAACAACAAGCAAACTAAGAGGTTTTGACCTCTGCAAACCTCGATTGAGTCTCATCAGATATAGATATAACATTCTTCATCTTCAGATTTTGTGTTTATAAAGATTGTAGAAAAGACACATGTGAATAAAGAATTCGATCACTGTTCTCTACAAATAGTGTCCGGTACAGAGAGAAAGGTTTAAAGGTATTTTAATACGACTTGAGTAATAGAAGAAATATATGTCATAATTAGCATATCAGTCTAATTCCAAACACTGTGTTATAACATATTAACTACCGGGTAAATGTAAAGAACCAAAAATAGTCGATTTAATCATGTATACAAACAACATAATTCACTCTTTAAGTTGAACATGTGTTCTTTTTTTTTTCGTTTCTATAGCTACCACTCCATTACCAATCACGCTCCCTCCCCCTTCAGGTAAGTAACATTAGTTGGTTTGATTGGGGGAATCATCGTTCATTCAGATGATACGGAAATAATGATGACATTGGGAAACACAGTTTCCTTTTGCGGTGTGACACTGGATATTTTTCGAACTCGTGTTGGTTCCGCTATTGTTTACGGTATCTGGTCATCGTTTGTATATCTGATAGTTTCTTCGTGTTTACAGTGTCTGATGGTCGTGAGTACAGTTCGTTAGTATGTTCGTTAGTATAACTATTGGTTCTGCTGTCGTTTACCGTGTCTGATGTTCGATAGTATACCTAATGGTCCTGCTGTCGTTTACAGTGTCTGATGTTCGTTAATATAACTATTGGTTTTGCTGTCGTTTACAGTGTCTAATGTTCATTAGTATAACTATTGGTTTGCCTGTCGTTTACAGTGTCTGATGTTCGTTAATATAACTATTAGTTTTGCTGTCGTTTACAGTGTCTGATGTTCGTTAGTATAACTATTGGTTCTGCTGTCGTTTACAGTGTCTGATGTTCGTTAGTATAACTATTGGTTTTGCTGTCGTTTACAGTGTCTGATGTTCGTTAGTATAACTATTGGTTTTGCTGTCGTTTACAGTGTCTGATGGTCGTTAATATAACTATTAGTTTTGCTGTCGTTTACAGTGTCTGATGTTCGATAGCATAACTATTAGTTTTGCTGTCGATAGTATAACTATTAGTTCCACAGATGTTTACCGTGTTTGACGTTCGTCTGTATACTTGATGTTTCCTTCGTAGTTTACCATGATCTCATTTTGAAACATGATCTTACTTTTTTGCATTGCATTTAAAATCTGTTTAATGAGAACAACATTTTTTTGATTGGATATTTCCTTGTATATATCCACGTTCGTTGATGGTTTTATCCAGCAACCGAACACACATCGATTTCTATTGTTTTTTTATCCTCCATATTTACGGATTCTAAAATGCAACTAAGAAGTATTACTTTTAAAAGGGATCGTGTAATTTATTAAGGGAATATTAACAAAGATTAACTTCACATTGATGGTGTATTCGAGGTTAAGTACCTTGATATCAGGAATTAAATTCTCGATTAAATAGTGCTTTCATTTCATATCGAACATTAGATCGACTAAAGCTTCCTATTGCGTGGGTATGATAACTTATTCTTATATCTAATGCGACTAAAGTAAATCCAGCGTCATATGAATTCTTCAATGAGTAATTATGAAATAGTCCAATTTGGACTACAAATATTTTTTTTATTTTGTGTAGACTGCGCCTTGTCCAAAGTCGATCTGGTCATCATCATCGATGCCTCCACCAGTGTAGGACAGGAAAACTACGATAAAATGCTGGCTTTCTGTAAGGATTTCCTCAAGAACGCCGACATTGACTCTGGAAACGTACGTGTCGGTGCCTTGATCTACAGTTCCGGGGTAGAAATTCAGTTTAACTTGAACTCCTATTCAACAAAGGCTGAAATATACCAGGCTATCGATGAAATTCCCTATATCTATGGAAGTACGAACACCGCTGATGCGCTGCTGACAATGAGGAACATGTTCAATGCTGCCGATGGAGACCGTGCTGACGTTCCCAACATCTGTATCATCTTAACAGACGGTGTATCCAACATCAACTCCCGGAGAACCATTCCGGAAGCGGACCGGGCCAGGGATGCAGACATACATGTGTATGCTATTGGTATCGGTCTGAAAGACACGAAGGAGTTAGACGGTATCGCTAACAAACCCTCATCGGAAAACAGCTTCAACGTGCAGACATTTGACGAGTTGAATGCTCTCAGTGACCAGGTCTTCTCTTCTCTCTGTCCAGGTATGTTCAGATTACTGATATACACAAATACAAAACACCAGAACGATAATATTAGTATGATAAAAGACAATCTGGTGGATGTTTCTTCCTTTGAAAATAATATTCATACATATCCGTTTCTATAGCGAACTACTACCTTGAGACATTGCACTGCTTTTGTCACGTATTAGGCACCACTTTATATGGATTCAATGTAATGTTCTTGATCAATCTGTATTTCCTCTACTGTTACGCTAATTTACATATTACACTGCACAAATCACTTTCGTTTACGCATTTTCTTTTCCCCGTATGTTTAAGTACTCGTTTGTGAATGTATATGTCTATGTTGGGAATTTTCGTTCACATAATAGCAATTGATCTGAAGCCCATATAAAAATCTAAATATAAATATATGTGGGCGTATATTTTTGTTCCGGGGAATATGTTCGGTATATATGTATGCGACATTGTATTCAACTGTTACCTCTTCTAAAACTGTATGATGTTTCTTATTGTTCAACACCATATTGTGTATTAATCAGTGTGGTGTATAACACTGTATGTATCGTGTATTGCACATTGTTTTGTACTATTTTGTTATATATCACAATGTATCACGTATTTCCTGTATTATATATAGCACTGTGTATTGTGTATCACAAACTGTTATGTATCACATTGTAATATGTATTACACTTTATTGCACTGTCTGTGTCTGTATGTGTTAGGACGTATACCGACAGAAGAGCCAAGAACTACTGATACTCCGACAACTACTCTAAGAGGTAAACATGCAATTAACACGTGCATGTTTTATGGAAATGCATTTCCATTCTATTATATAGTTCTTTGAAGTCTTAATTATTATAACAAATCGGATTTGTTTTTGTTATGTTTTGTATTTGTTTTGTTTAGGGTTTATTTTTTGTTTTTGTTTTTTCTTGGGTGGAGTGGGAAGGGGGAGGGGCTGTGAATTTTAATTCTGAAAGTGCCTGGAACGGAAATACTGTAAACAAAATCCCTGTTTTTGACGCTTGCATTTTTTTCATCAAAACAAATGACTTTTGTTGGTAATGCTTAAAAATCACACAATATATAACACCATTCGGTTAAGTATTGAACGTTAAACTTACAGGTTTCGATTTAATAAAGTAATTATTTATATTTTAATTTGAACTGTTATGTTGATGATATTAGCGACATTACATCAGTTATTTTGAGTATATCTTAATAAATTAGATGCTCTGGAATATGGTATTATGTAACAAATGCAAACTTCAATACTAGATCAACTTATACGTTAAAAAAATCAACTAAGGGTAATTATTTTTTGAACTATATGGATTATCTATTGATATTCTACAGATTGTGACAAAGCATTTACCATTTTTATAATATACCAAATGTTTTCGTGGTTGTAGTGACTCAACTCCCAGATCCAAGAGCGTTCGATCTTGTCATCGTCTTGGATTCGTCTGTTACACCAGAAAAGTTCGAATGGATTCGTAATTATGCGAAAATGGTGGCAGGTCAACTAAGTATTAACGATGGGAGGTTCCGAGTAGGTCTCCTTAGGTACAGTACTGATCAGGCCGCTCAATTCCAGCTGGACGATTACTTAACAAAGGATGGTGTTGTGGCTGCCATGGACGATATCCAGTATCAGCCAGGGGAGACCAACACCGCGGCTGCTTTAGATTATGTGAGAACGGAGATGTTCAGACCTGACAATGGCGACAGAGATTTTGCGAGAAACTTTATTCTCTTGATTACCGGAAATGACGAAAGCACTGATAGGTACGAAGCATTCCGGGCTGCAGAGAAAAATGAAAATGACGGTAATTACTTATTCACGGTTGGAGTAGGACTCCGAGACCACAGTGAACTGGACGAGGTGTCGTCACATCCACTGGAGGAATACCAACGTCTGTTCCTTATATCTGACCGACCGGAGGATATCGACGACGAGTTAGCGATGTTAGAAGCATGTGAGCTATATTTCCTATGATCCTTTTCTTGACATGTCATTTAATATCACGTATTGTAATGGCAATATGGTTTGCAAATTTATGTGAACATCAACTTTTCATATACCATCTCGCTTTAAAAAATCGGAGACTTGAAAATGGTTATAGATAATCATCAGTGCAAATTTGAATGTGCATAACAGTCACCTGAAAATTATCAAAGTATCAAAATGATAATAAAATATGTCATGAAAGAATGATTGATAAATAACATGTAAGGAAGGTAGGTAATTTGATTAATCAGTTCTTCTGTTGTTTTTGTGTTACATATATACATGTTTTTAGTTTGTTTTACTTGATAAACTTTTACTAACTATTTATTAAAGAATGATCTTTTGTTTTTGTGTTATATATATATTAGTTTAATTTACTTACTATCTATGAAATAATGATCAGTATGTTAATTTCCCACTATTTTTTGAAATTGCAATATAATTTGTTCCTTTCTTACAGTACCGGAACAGCCACCTGATGGGTTCCGTGGTAGACCCTACCCGCCACCAAGTAAGTAGGAACCGGTCATCAGGTCTTCAATACCTTAACAGAAATGTTTGAAGATAAGGGTTTCGAATAATTCTTAAATAACATTTTGGTTTTCTTTTTGTGGAATGGGCTGGGGGGAGGTTGTTTCCAAATGCAATAAATACATGATAAAAAAACAACAAGCAAACTAAGAGGTTTTGACCTCTGCAAACCTCGATTGAGTCTCATCAGATATAGATATAACATTCTTCATCTTCAGATTTTGTGTTTATAAAGATTGTAGAAAAGACACATGTGAATAAAGAATTCGATCACTGTTCTCTACAAATAGTGTCCGGTACAGAGAGAAAGGTTTAAAGGTATTTTAATACGACTTGAGTAATAGAAGAAATATATGTCATAATTAGCATATCAGTCTAATTCCAAACACTGTGTTATAACATATTAACTACCGGGTAAATGTAAAGAACCAAAAATAGTCGATTTAATCATGTATACAAACAACATAATTCACTGTTTAAGTTCAACCTGTGTTCTTTTTTTTCGTTTCTATAGCTACCACTCCATTACCAATCACGCTCCCTCCCCCTTCAGGTAAGTAACATTAGTTGGTTTGATTGGGGGAATCATCGTTCATTCAGATGATACGGAAATAATGATGACATTGGGAAACACAGTTTCCTTTTGCGGTGTGACACTGGACATTTTTCGAACTCGTGTTGGTTCCGCTATTGTTTACGGTATCTGGTCATCGTTTGTATATCTGATAGTTTCTTCGTGTTTACCGTGTCTGATGTTCGTTAGTATAACTATTGGTTCTGCTGTCGTTTACCGTGTCTGATGTTCGATAGTATACCTAATGGTCCTGCTGTCGTTTACAGTGTCTGATGTTCGTTAATATAACTATTGGTTTTGCTGTCGTTTACAGTGTTTGTTGTTCGATAGTATACCTATTAGTCCTGGTGTCGTTTACAGTGTCTGATGTTCGTTAATATAACTATTAGTTTTGCTGTCGTTTACAGTGTCTGATGTTCGTTAGTATAACTATTGGTTCTGCTGTCGTTTACAGTGTCTGATGTTCGTTAGTATAACTATTGGTTTTGCTGTCGTTTACAGTGTCTGATGTTCGATAGTATAACTATTGGTTTTGCTGTCGATAGTATACCTATTGGTCCTGCTGTCGTTTACAGTGTCTGATGTTCGATAGTACACCTATTGGTTCCACAGATGTTTACCGTGTTTGACGTTCGTCTGTATACTTGATGTTTCCTTCGTAGTTTACCATGATCTCATTTTGAAACATGATCTTACTTTTTTGCATTGCATTTAAAATCTGTTTAATGAGAACAACATTTTTTTGATTGGATATTTCCTTGTATATATCCACGTTCGTTGATGGTTTTATCCAGCAACCGAACACACATCGATTTCTATTGTTTTTTATCTTCCATTTTTACGGATTCTAAAATGCAACTAAGAAGTATTACTTTTAAAAGGGATCGTGTAATTTATTAAGGGAATATTAACAAAGATTAACTTCACATAGATGGTGTATTCGAGGTTAAATACCTTGATATCAGGAATTAAATTCTCGATTAAATAGTGCTTTCATTTCATATCGAACATTAGATCGGCTAAAGCTTCCTATTACGTGGGTATGATAACTTATTCTTACATCTAATGCGACTAAAGTATATCCAGTGTATTATTAGTATCGATTGCTTATATACACATGATATCAGTAATCATCAGTTCTACTAAATGGTTAATATAATTTGATATTTCAACTTATTATCTTCATATAAATTCTTTAATGAGTATTTATGAAATAGTCCAATTTGGACTACAAATATTTTTTTTATTTTGTGTAGACTGCGCCTTGTCCAAAGTCGATCTGGTCATCATCATCGATGCCTCCACCAGTGTAGGACAGGAAAACTACGATAAAATGCTGGCTTTCTGTAAGGATTTCCTCAAGAACGCCGACATTGACTCTGGAAACGTACGTGTCGGTGCCTTGATCTACAGTTCCGGGGTAGAAATTCAGTTTAACTTGAACTCCTATTCAACAAAGGCTGAAATATACCAGGCTATCGATGAAATTCCCTATATCTATGGAAGTACGAACACCGCTGATGCGCTGCTGACAATGAGGAACATGTTCAATGCTGCCGATGGAGACCGTGCTGACGTTCCCAACATCTGTATCATCTTAACAGACGGTGTATCCAACATCAACTCCCGGAGAACCATTCCGGAAGCGGACCGGGCCAGGGATGCAGACATACATGTGTATGCTATTGGTATCGGTCTGAAAGACACGAAGGAGTTAGACGGTATCGCTAACAAACCCTCATCGGAAAACAGCTTCAACGTGCAGACATTTGACGAGTTGAATGCTCTCAGTGACCAGGTCTTCTCTTCTCTCTGTCCAGGTATGTTCAGATTACTGGTATACACAAATACAAAACACCAGAACGATAATATTAGTATGATAAAAGACAATCTGGTGGAGGTTTTTCTTCCTTTGAAAATAATATTCATACATATCCGTTTCTATAGCGAACTACTACCTTGAGACATTGCACTGCTTTTGTCACGTATTAGGCACCACTTTATATGGATTCAATGTAATGTTGATCAATCTGTATTTCCTCTACTGTTACGCTAATTTACATATTACACTGCACAACTCACTTTCGTTTACGCATTTTCTTTTCCCCGGATACTCGTTTGTGAATGTATATGTCTATATTGGGAATTTTCGTTCACATAATAGCAATTTATCAGAAACCCATATAAAAATCTGAATATAAATATACGTGGGCGTATGTTTTTGTTCCGGGGAATATGTTCGGTATATATGTATGCGACATTGTATTCAACTGTTACCTCTTCTAAAACTGTATGATGTTTCTTATTGTACAATACCATATTGTGAATTAATTAATGTGGTGTATAACACTGTATGTATCGTGTATTGCACATTGTTTTGTACTATTTTGTTATATATTACAATGTATCACGTATTTCCTGTATTATATATAGCACTGTGTATTGTGTCTTACAAACTGTTATGTATTACATTGTAATATGTATTACACTTTATTGCACTGTCTGTGTCTGTATGTGTTAGGACGTATACCGACAGAAGAGCCAAGAACTACTGATACTCCGACAACTACTCTAAGAGGTAAACATGCAATTAACACGTGCATGTTTTATGGAAATGCATTTCCATTCTATTATATAGTTCTTTGAACTCTTCATCATCATAACAAATCGGATTTGTTTTTGTTATGTTTTGTCTTTATTTTGTTTGGGGGTTATTTTTTGTTTTTGTTTTTTTTTCTTTGGGGGTGAGGGGGGAGGGGCGATGAATTTTAATTCTGAAAGTGCCTGGAACGGAAATACTCTAAACAAAATCCCTGTTTTTGACGCTTGCATTTTTTTCATCAAAACAAATGACTTTTGTTGGTAATGCTTAAAAATCACACAATATATAACACCATTCGGTTAAGTATTGAACGTTAAACTTACAGGTTTCGATTTAATAAAGTAATTATTTATATTTTGATTTGAACTGTTATGTTGATGATATTAGCGACATTACGCCAGTTATTTTGAGTATATCTTAATAAATTAGATGCTCTGGAATATGGTATTATGTAACAAATGCAAACTTCAATACTAGAGCAACTTATACGTTAAAAAAATCAACTAAGGGTAATCATTTTTTTAACTATATGGATTATCTATTGATATTCTACAGATTGTGACAAAGCATTTACCATTTTTATAATATACCAAATGTTTTCGTGGTTGTAGTGACTCAACTCCCAGATCCAAGAGCGTTCGATCTTGTCATCGTCTTGGATTCGTCTGTTACACCAGAAAAGTTCGAATGGATTCGTAATTATGCGAAAATGGTGGCAGGTCAACTAAGTATTAACGATGGGAGGTTCCGAGTAGGTCTCCTTAGGTACAGTACTGATCAGGCCGCTCAATTCCAGCTGGACGATTACTTAACAAAGGATGGCGTTGTGGCTGCCATGGACGATATCCAGTATCAGCCAGGGGAGACCAACACCGCGGCTGCTTTAGATTATGTGAGAACGGAGATGTTCAGACCTGACAATGGCGACAGAGATTTTGCGAGAAACTTTATTCTCTTGATTACCGGAAATGACGAAAGCACTGATAGGTACGAAGCATTCCGGGCAGCAGAGAAAAATGAAAATGACGGTAATTACTTATTCACGGTTGGAGTAGGACTCCGAGACCACAGTGAACTGGACGAGGTGTCGTCACATCCACTGGAGGAATACCAACGTCTGTTCCTTATATCTGACCGACCGGAGGATATCGACGACGAGTTAGCGATGTTAGAAGCATGTAAGTGTTTGTGTTGTTGTTGTTGGGCGGGGAATGGGGGGAGGGGGGGGGGGGGGGGGTATCAAACCTAGGAAAGTGGGTGTTATCCGGTATGGAATTGTAGTTTTAATACACTGTTTGTTATGATATTAGTGAACCTGGGAGTATTTTATTTTATTTATAAATTTATTAGTTTTACATTACTTACAAACACAAGAGAGCATTTAACCACGTGCTAATTGTCGAATGATTGTTTATCTCTTAGTGTGTTACAACTTAGACAATATGTATCGATGTTGAGAAATTTGTGCTCACTGAGCTCATAGAAAGATCATTCCATCAAAAAATCTTATATTGAAGTCTAAATCAAGAATCGTTCTGATCATTTTGACTACTTTTCCTGCTTTTGATAGTGCCGGAGTTACCAACGCCAGGATTTAGACCGAGGCCATATTCTCCAGCATGTAAGTGTTACAAATTTAAACACCCACAAAATGCTAATACTGATTTTGTTGAAGTCTCTTTACTACAGTAGTCACATTATTTGGAGTTGTTTGGTAACTTGTGATGGAAAAATGGATTACCATGAGCGTAATAATGTTTGCTACTCATTTCAAGATAATACGGTGTGGTTTAGGTCTAGAAATTGATTAAGATCGAGATGACACAAATGTTTTGTCATTTTAATCAAAATCATTCCTTTTAACCGTAGGTGTAAAGACCTGGGAAATGACACCGATAGAACAAATTAAAGGAATAACAACAAACATCTCCGAAAACAAAAATATATTAAAAATGTTTACAACTCAGAAATTATCATTTGATTTAGACATATCAGTCTTAAAATCTTCAATCTTATTTCCCTCTCAGTAGAAGGCATGCTTTACATTTTTCATATTGCATTTATTCGGCAAGGGACACAACTCTTATGCTTTTCACTTTCCTTTATATTTCATGCCAAGAAATTACACGATTATGTCTACAATTAAACATCAGTGACATTTTAAACTGCATTTTTAATGCGAATCATGATCAATCCCATTTTCTTCACTAGTTTCTATGATAAGAAATATTAATTCCACTTATATTAAAACCACTATACCCGCCCTTATTCTGTTTCATCTACCGTGCCTCCAAAGTCCGGTAAGAAAAACATTTAACTATGAACACATTAACATATTTTACATATTTATCTCATATTTATACAGAAAAGCATTTTGAACTTGACTCAAACTTACTTATAGCACACAAAAAGTAATCGATTTTATTTATCTTCAGAACATACGGAAAACACCTAACTCGAACACTTACGGAAAACACATTTTATTATCTCGAACACATACAGATAAAACATTCATTTACCTTAAAAACATACGATGAACAGATTTTGTTAATTCGAATAACTTCCTTGAAAAAAGACATATATTTATAAATTCATTCACACATAGGAAACCAATAAACCAATTTTGTTAACTTGAACGCATTCAGACAACACCCATCCATACAGGGAACTTAAGATATTGCTACCAAATTGATAACATAAGCAATGGCATTTATTGACTGAACGTACTTTGGTAGTTCCTAGAAAATTCCTCATTCATCAGTTATTTTTGTGACCGTTCTTGTCAAATTTCTGATAAATCTTCTTTTGATTTGTTGAGTTGACATACATTTTTGTAAACGATTACAGATTGTGGTCTTTCCAAAGTAGATCTGATAATTATATTGGATTCTTCTACGAGTGTTGGTGAAGATAACTATGGCAAGATGCTTCAATTCTGCAAGGACTTCCTCGGAAATGCTGATCTTGATTCCGGGAGTGTTCGTGTGGGTATGCTCATATACAGCTCGAACGTGGAGATTCAGTTCAACTTGAATTCCTTCTCTTCATCTTCTGAAGTGTTTGCTGCTATTGATAAAATCCCTTATATTTACGGAAGTACTAATACTGCAGACGCTATACAGACAATGAGAAACATGTTCAATGCCGCAGATGGTGATCGAGAGGGAGTTCCGAATGTAGGTATTGTCATTACCGATGGCGTCTCAAACATTAATTCTCGTCGTACCATTCCGGAGGCAGATGGAGCAAGGGGTGACGGGATACATGTGTACTCCATTGGTATCGGTCTAACTGATACGACGGAAGTAGATGCAATAGCCAATCAACCGCCAGAGGCAAACAGCTTCAACGTGCAGAGTTTCGATGAATTAAAGGGTCTTGATAAAAAAATATTTTCCGCCTTCTGTCCAGGTAGGTCAGTTATATTATTCGACATATATCACAAATGTAAAGGATGAAAATTTTTCATTTCAGCTTCTATTGATCGACTGATCGATATTCATGTTTACTAATGTCACCTGTATGTAAATATACACTGCTTAATGTGTCTAATATCACATGTATATATAGATAGATAATCGCTTGCACTTTTATTTATATCTTACTTTCACATTATCGTTTGTGTCCATGATGTCACTGTAAACACTGCCTTTAAACAACACGCTATTCGGTTATATTATTATTGTAATGTAATGTTCTTGTAAAACTTATATCGTATTTCGTTGAAATGTTTGTCTGTCATGAATGCATTTGTGAACGCCATATGATAGGTGCCAGAGGTACAGAACCACCAACAACGGGACCTTCCCGAGAACAAGGTAAGCAAATAAATTATTTGAAGGTAATACTTATCATCCCGCTGCCTGTTTCAAATGTGAAAATGTTCACAAATATTGTTTGATGGTAAATCAAATGTTGATATGACATATTGTTGATATCATTTTCATGACATGAGTTTTGAATTTTTTGGTATGATGCAGTATGCCATTCGGAATGTTTGTGTATTGCAATTCTTCGTTAACTGCATATAACGTTTGAATAAAGCTGTCTTATATTCGTACGGCTGTAAGATACGACCTCATCATCTCTGGCTGGTTAGATACCAAATCAATTGTAAGCATGATACCAGCGAAGGTGAAATCTAGATAATACGAATGGACACTTAAAATCGGTGGTCGGAGCGAGCAGTGGTTTGATAAGTGAATCCAATCCTATGTATTTTATTTTTCAAGTGTGAATTGAAAGATGTTGATGTTTGTCAACAACTGTACAATGATCTAAAAAGTATTTACCTTTCGTTTGGAACAAATGCGGTGCATCACTTTTTGAGCATCTCTACAGGGTTCGTTTTGACTGTTCCGGTGAGCATTTCATGAAGTCTTGACTGAAAACATGGTACATAGTGTAAAATTACTGTCATTCCTCTTTATAATTACTTTAAGGTCGTTTTGACTGAAAGGAAAAGGACATAACATAGTCTTATATTACATGAACGTATCGAGTGTCGATGAACTGAACATATACAAATTCAAATTTACTTTTTTCTTGTAATAATGTTAAGGCATGATTTGAATCATAAATAGACGATATACTTGGTATATGAAAGTCTGCATACATTTCATCATGATCACCATTATTATTAAAATTAGGTAACTTTCTGCATGTCGAAAAATTAATTTTCCTTTTCCGAAGAAAATCTGCATGACATTATTCAAAAAGTTGTAAATCATCTTTAAGATTCCTGGAATTAATAAGCTGTCTATGATTTCGTACATTATTAAACATTAAGAGATTACATAGGTCATGCCATACTCGGATTCAAAAGAAATACTGTAATAAGAGCTGGGGGTATTAGAATGAAATTGTTTAAATAAATAAGAAGCCGCTTGTTAATGTAGTTTTACCTGGTATGTCTTCTTCACCTCATAAATATAGAGAAAATAAATTGCTTCCCATTTAGAGCTGTCACTTTGGTATTGTGTATAGATAAATAGTGTCTACGTCGACAATGAAGCAAAGCGATATGCCTACCGTGACATTACTTCTGCGCAAATTGAGAGATTTACAAACAGATATGTATAATTCGTGTTTATATATTTTTTTTTTTCTGAGAGTGAAAGTGCTTGAGGCACGGAGCACACAAATTGATCAATATCTCAGCTAACACAATATGATTTCTAACACGATATTTAACACTTAAGTAATATTTTATAGCGATAATTTGAGCTATTCATCAAGCAGATATGTTATCTGTTTAGCATCTAAACTTAACATGAAGAAATCTCATTCAGAATAACTGTAATACATTTAATCTTTCTGTTTAATCTCTTTAGTTCAAATATCCTGAGGCCAATGTGAGGGCTCAATTTTTTAATGTGTAGAAATTTAGAAAAAAAAATATGTTTATTAAGAATTGAGTTGCAAAAAAAAAATCAATTTATTTTAATTTGATACTAAAATTACATATACTGCCTTTAAACTGTGTTTCAAACGATCACTTTATCAACCTATTTGAGCTTAAAAAAGATAGATTCGAATTGCTACTAAAACCTATCTTACAGCAGTGATACGACTCAGCACTGGTAGTTTGCCTTCTTTGTACAAAACAGACTTAACCAGTGTGGTTACCACGTCTATTAAAGCCCTGTATTATTCAAGCTGTGTCTGAAGAAGTGGTATTGTAAAGCGCGGGTGCTACGTCTATTAAAGCCCTGTATTTAGACTTAGTATCGTACACCCCGTGTAGTGGTATTGTAGCGCGGGTGCTACGTCTATTAAAGCCCTGTATTTAGACTTAGTATCGTACACCCCGTTTACCACACTTATTCAAGCTGTGTCTGAAGGAGTGGTATTGTAGAGCGCGGGTACCACGTCTATTAAAGCCCTGTATTTAGAATTACCATTGTACAGCTCGTGTATCACACTTATTCAAGCTGTGTCTGAAGACGTGGTATTGTACAGCGCGGGTACCACGTCTATTAAAGCCCTGTATTTAGAATTAGCATCGTACACCCCGTTTACCACACTTATTCAAGCTGTGTCTGAAGAAGTGGTATTGTACAGCGCGGGTACCACGTCTATTAAAGCCCTGTATTTAGAATTAGCATCGTACACCCCGTTTACCACACTTCCTCAAGTTGTTTCTGAAGAAGTGGTATTGTACAGCGCGGGTACTACGTCTATTAAAGCCCTGTATTTAGAATTAGCATCGTACACCCCGTTTACCACACTTCCTCAAGTTGTTTCTGAAGAAGTGGTATTGTACAGCGCGGGTACTACGTCTATGAAAGCCCTGTATTAAGAACTAGCATTGTACAGCTCGTGTACCACACTTATTCAAGCTGTGTCTGAAGAAGTGGTATTGTACAGCTCGTGTATCCCGACAGTGAAATTCGTGCTGTGAGCAGTGGTTTTACATAGTTTGGGTACCACGCATTTGAAAGCCTAAATTTATCAATAAAAATATAGATTTGCACAAGTGATACTATTACAACGCAAGGATATTTCACACGGGGAAATCTAGCTTAAATCTATGTTGTATTGGATAGGAGCAAACAGTGGTATGATACAGTCCGAGTATTGCGCCCATGGATGTCTACAATTGTTATGCTACTCCTAACAAAACTCGCGGAGAACAGGTACTGGAAGGATTGATAGATAATTCCTCGTACAAAAGTAGGAATCGTTTATTAGTGTATTTGGTAATCTAGTCACATGCAGTCTATAAATGTTAACAGTCCGTGTGTATTACGTAAGATTTTTTTCTCATTTTCTACTGAATCTACAACGTGGATTAATACAGACGTACTGGATATTTTGATACTAACCTATCGCTGTTTTTTCTCCAATGAAAGACCACAGTTTCTTTGAATGATACCTGGCATTCGACATACTCTCGACATCGACAACAATGGCAATAATTAGCTAGATATATAAGATTGAATGAACGACAGAGGTCACAAAAGATCAGTATATAAACACCGGGAGCTAATTACGTAACTCAAGGGGAATCTGCCGTCAGCTGGGCAGACATAGTTCAGTAGTAATCACAGTAAATGACAAATGTAGATGGTGCATTTCCACTGCTCCTTCTATCTCTAGATCGGTGACGCGAGAGTCTCAGGCCACTATGTAGGTGTAGTTAGGTGATACGTATATTGTGCATGGATTCTACCTCCTCAAATGTGATAACTGTTTATATGTTGTGCATGAGATCTCTACTGCACCTATAAATTCCATGGATGAGGATGTAAATCTATTTCCACAAAACCGTCTTTTCTAAAAGAGAATTTCTCGTGTTTGAGTCCGGTGTTATTAAAGTGTTTGTGATTTCAGTTAGAATGGATGTATTCACTATTTAGAGCCCCAGATATATATGTCTCTCCTTATGGATTCCAGACACAAGCCATCCACACTGTGCTTACCGGCTTGACTAATGTATTCTGATATAAAAATCTATTGAGATAAATTATGTGACGATGCCGGTAACGTGTAATGCAGATGTTGGATTATGTATCTTCATCCGAGTTCACACTTTCCTTTCAGTCTCTACACCTGTACCATCAACACTACCACCGCCGACACAAGGTAAGATATGTGTAAATATTCATTCAGACAGGTTTTTAAGACACCGTGTAAATGAACTCACATGCTGATAATGTAAATAAATCTTGCTAGCGAACTGTAGATTTCTTTTTTTTTTCTTTGTTTTTTTTAATTCAACTGCAAAAGGGTCAAACAAATAAGGAATATGTTAATGTTAGAAAAAAACTTCATTTGTAGTCTTATACATTAGCATGTTCTTGATTGAGGCCGACAGGCATGTACAGACACATATAGACACACACAAAACAAACATATTGAGAGACAGAAAACAACTTTAATATTCGGGTTTATATTACATAACAAAATCCACTTATTTATCACATTTACCTGATACATATATACCTAAATAAAACGTTATCTATTTTGTACTTAAATTTCTGACTTGTGCATTTTAATTGGATTGTTAATCTTGAGGAGATATTCCAAAAAAGTGATACATTGTTAGAGCTGTTCTAAAACAGGCATATCAAAAGTATTACCAACTGTGTCAGGTTCCCGTTTAATTTTACTCGTAGTATGATAGTTTTTCAAGATTGTCATTAAGAAAGGGATACCGAACATCTGATAAATTACTAATGTGGAAGCTAGAAGAGATATACCGAATGTCAAACTAAGTAAAACTAAATTGATAGAGCGGAACTGAGTTAAATTTTCGATATGACATTTATAAATATATCTCTTTCTCTATTTTGCTGACACACCCATTTTAACATTTCTGATAGCAAAAGAGTTCCTGGGTCTAATATAAAGTGGTGTATTGATTGTTAGCTACACATATTATACATCTGATTATGTTGGGTTAGGATATCAGACACAGCTGTCGTTGCTCCAATGAAAATGATCTTACTCCACACCCATATCGTACCAACAAATTCTACCAAGAGCTAGGTACTAATTCACAACCAAATAGTAAGAACTTCCCAAGACAGGTATTTTTGTCAATAGACGGAGCGATGTATGTTAAAATCATACATGACACAAACTGAAGAATAACTATAATGATATTCATCACAGTATTCTGCACCATTGGTACCCCAGGGGTTTACGGTCACTTTCTCCTACCGCAGCCCTGCAACATGCCAGGACAAAATTGAAGGTTCCATGTGCGCCACCTTGTAGACAAGACGAAAAGATTAGTTTGATCATTTGATGTTTATCAAACGAATTTCGATGTCGCATAACGGTATATTGTAATGGTATTGAAGTTGGGTGTCGCTTCTTTGTAATCTTCAACAGGAGCGTATTAGCCTGTGGTTGGTCATTTGTGTTGCTGCAACCAATCAAATTACTCCGTTTGTGCTTTTAATTTGCCATTACATGTTCCTAGGGTGCAGAGATCGAAAGTGATTGTAACCCCATGTGTATCAAGGATGTGCATGCTGAAAATAATCCGTGTTGAATTTCACAAAACATTTCAGCTCATTCCTCATTCTATACATCAACACCCACTTTATTTGATACTGGAGTTATCTGCTCGTCACAAAACATCAAACATCACATTTATGGCCTGAGTGTTTTCAACAATGACATGTGTTTTATTTTGATCCGGTACTGAAACTCCTCCTTTATTAATTAACTAATTACTCTTTGCTTCGTGGTAACCGTAATTCTAAACTTATAAACAAGGACGAACTGATTATTGAATCCTGAAACCTTGCTTGCCTTCGACAGTTCAGTGGTAAACAAGGTTTCTGTTAGGTGTTAGGAAGTATCGATGTCGGGCTTATCTTGACGTTGAACAGGACTTAGTTGAATATACACAGACAGAGTGTAACTTAGCAAGGAAACACACTGAAAGAAGGCGCGTCATAGAGATGTTGTCAGGAAAACAATTACTTAGATGTAACGGTATATTGACGTCAGACATTAAAGCACTTCTTGCTGCTTGGTTCAAAAGAAATTGACGTCAACAGATCTATAACGAACAGTTTTGGGAAGTATAAGCCTATTGAAAAGGATATCTATTCAAACTTAATTGTCGCCCTTAATATCAAATCATACGTACTGATAACGGTGACTTTTTATTATTATTTTCTTAACGTAATCATACATTGGATGATATCCAGATTTTAAGAGGTACTGATGTGGTCCTGTCCATCTTGATAACACACAGCCATTTCAGGTAACACTGAAATACAGACAGACATACTGATGTGGTCCTGTCCATCTTGATAACACACAGCCATTTCAGGTAACACTGTAATACAGACAGACATATGGGGTGGTAGGATGGCGCAGTGGTAACACACTTGCCTTTCACCTAGCCGACCGGGGTTCGATTCCCGGAACGGACGTGAAAAGGTAAGAGGTTACGTGCCCGACCACGTGGGTTTTCCCCGGGTTCTCCGGTTTCCTCCCACAATAAGACCCCTCGCGCGCTTACATCCGGGCCAACAAGAGTGATTAGTATAAGTTGACATAACTTGTTTCGCAATTGTTGTAAAATAAATAAAATTATAATATAAGACAGGCATACTGATGTGGTCCTGTCCATCTTGATAACACACAGCCATTTCAGGTAACACTGTAATACAGACAGACATAATGATGCAGGTAACACTGTAATACAGACAGACATAATGATGTGGTCCTGTCCACCTTGATAACACAGAGACAGTTCAGGTCACACAGTATAACAAACAGACATACTCTTGTGGTCCTGTCCACCTTCATAACACGTTCAGCTAACACTATATAACAGACGTACTGGTGTGGTACTGTCCACCTTCCTATCACAGTCCGTTGAGGTTACAATACACATCAAACATTACCCTTGAATGGTTTAACAGCATGGTTGACTCTGTAACATAAACGCCTTAGATAGCCGGAGTAGTCATCCATACCTACTTACTTCCTCATTTGTCTGTAAGTAATTCGTATATAGTACAATATGTGCTTTTGGTTTCTTTTTCGCCCTCGCGTCAATCAGAGTTAAATAGATGGGTCTAAACTACAATAAAAATATCTCAGCTTAAGTTCACATTTAGTTTACTATTTGTTTTTGCTCTGATGTCAAGAGGGAGAAACGGACGACAGTTTCTCTATACACAAATATCAAGAGAGAAACGGACGACAGTTTCTCTGTACACAAATATCAAGAGAGAAACGGACGACAGTTTCTCTGTACACAAATACCAAGAGAGAAACGGACGACAGTTTCTCTGTACACAAATATCAAGAGAGAAACGGACGACAGTTTCTCTGTACACAAATATCAAATGAGAGAAACGGACGACAGTTTCTCTGTACACAAATATCAAAAGAGAGAAACGTACGACAGTTTCTCTGTACACAAATATCAAAAGAGAGAAACGTACGACAGTTTCTCTGTACACAAATATCAAAAGAGAGAAACGGACGACAGTTTCTCTGTACACAAATATCAAAAGAGAGAAACGGACGACAGTTTCTCTGTACACAAATATCAAAAGAGAGAAACGGACGACAGTTTCTCTGTACACAAATATCAAAAGAGAGAAACGGACGACAGTTTCCACATGAACAAATATTTGTTCATGTACAAATATCAAGGGAGCGAAACGAACGAAGTTTTGCATATATAGAAATGTCATGATGACACAATTGACGAAAGTTTCGCAGTTTACAGTAGTTCGTATAAAGCAAAAATGCCTTGATTTGGAAAATTGTCAGAATGAATTTGACAAATGTATATATGGGGATAGCAGTTCATAACAGCACGAGAACACAATCACTTTGATCCTGTTTAATATTCTTCTTGTTTTCCTGCTTAAGTATTCTACCTACATCACTCTTGTTAAATAAATACCGTTGTGTAACTGTGTCATATTTACCTAATACGGGATTATTTGTAATACAAAGCATTAACGTTTATTTTAGGCCTAAGTAAATAGCGTCGTTATCAATTCATACGAAACGTCTGGAATTTATTATTTTTTATATTTTTTTATCGACGTGGGGAGGTTAAGGTAAGGTTATGTTTGGATTAAAGGAGCTTTATATCGATACATTGTACATGAGAATTTCTCTGTTTTTATCAATCTTTGTAAGACGTTAACAGGTGATTGTAATCGTACACCGCAGAATTCTACTTCAACTTTAGGACAAACAATATAGAAAATTTCGATATTTTTTATCAACAGCCAGTGACTTTTCAAGTGAAATTTAAATGTTTGTTTAATTGTGTAATCTACATTTACAGCGAGTAACAAACATTTTGTAAATTCGAGATGATCAGAATGTAAAAGAAAATGTTACGGGTTTAAATTCTGTATTGTGAATGTGAATTGTAAACAGAGCTCGTGTATTGTCATCAGATATTCAGTATGAACAGGTCATGTTCTATACACCTGTCGTCTGGTCTGCATAGAATGAACAACCCAGAGTAAAATGAACTGATATCATATAGGAAATAGCTTCACACGCTCCAGGTGAAATCTGAGCCGGTTATCACATAAAAACACGACTGATACAAAGTAATCTGAATTTCAATTCCCTAGCTGATATAATTGTTCGAGATGGCCGCTACTCATTTCGTGTACATTGTGAATGAAAAGGTAGAAATATCTCAAGTAGCTTCCATTATTTTCTATATCCACCTGTGATGACAATATTTAAGGGTTGTATTTACTTATCTACTCAATCACCGTATAGCCAGTTATTTTCGCGGGGATAATATTTTCGCTGTTTCGCGGTACATTAAAATGATAACGAACTTTTAGTTCGTGAGATAATGAGCTACCTATGTATATAGTATGTCATTTTACATCCAGAAAGTGAATTGTATTTAGGTCAGTTATAATTCGATAGTTTTAAAAGAAAAACTCGAACATTTTGACTCGCAAAAAATACCACCTATTTATTTATTTTTGAAGACAATTATAATAAATGCACTTAGTTTGATTATTCTAACGGGATAACTTTATGTAAGTGTTTGATATTCTTTGGATTTCCAAATGCAAGGCAAGCATTTATCCTGCAAAGATCATTGATATAGAATATGTAAAAACATTATATATGAAAATAAAGTTGAATCTGACGATGTATATAACAATACCATCACTTATCTGTCGTTTCGTAGGACTCAATAAAAGTGTTACTTGTAATAAATAAACACTGAAATCATTTAATTTAGGTTAAAGAAGATGGGAAAAGGTTTTCTAAAAGTTAAGTGTTTTCTGCCCTACTGATGACACAACAACGTAACGTCTTAAGATGAAATACGGCATTGGAAAAAGTTTCTTTGTACGTGAATACTCCTATCAAGTTGAGTTATACTGCATTATTTCTGCATTGTTTCAGCGCCGTCATCATGCGGACTGTCAGATGTGGATTTAGTCTTCCTGGTGGATTCTTCCACAAGCGTTGGTGTGGAAAACTTTGGCAAAACTCTCAATTTCTTAAAATCCTTCGTCAAAGACGCCGATATAGATAGCGGGAGTGTACGGGTCGGTGTACTGTTATATAGCAGCGAAGTAAACGTCCAATTCCAACTAAACAGCTTTTCAACCAAAGCGGAAGTCAATGCTGCTATAGATGACATCGAATACCAGTATGGAAGCACAAACACGGCAGACGGTATTAAAGTTATGCGATCGGATATGTTTACGTATGGAAACGGAGACAGACCAGACGTGAAAAACGTGGCTATTATCATCACGGACGGCGTGTCGAACATCAACTCCCAGAGGACTATCCCTGAAGCTGTGCTGGCCAGGGACGAGGGAATTCATGTGTATGTTGTTGGTATCGGTCTTGTTGACACGAGGGAGTTAGAGGAAATGGCTTCAGAACCCCCAGAAGATAATGTTTTCAATGTTCAAAGTTTTGAAGATCTCCAGGGACTTGACGAACAAATATTTTCGTCGATATGTCCAGGTATTTATAGCTACAGACCTTACATTTTTATTTATGCAGATGTGAATTTATTTTATCTGATTTATGATCAAATCGCATTATTATCTCTTTTGTTCTCAGTAAAGGTTCTAAACTAAGTGCTTTGTTAGGTGGAAATATATTAACATAGAATGAATCCACAAAGTGTAGATTTCGAATGAATGATACTAACTTTGGAATGCTCAATCATGTGGTCCTATGAGGTTTAATCGTTGTGTTAAATGTTTGGAATGGATACGTTATCATGCACATGTTATACACTGGCACGCGTAAATGCGTTCTGTACACGTAAATCACTTTCTGTTGATGTGTCAGAATCGTGATCACATATTGTGACTGATAAATTGTATATTGTATATTATGCTAAATGTTTTAAATCAAATATATATGTGAGCAATCTCTCTCTCTCTCTCTCTCTCTCTCTCTCTCTCTCTCTCTCTCTTTGTGTGTGTATAAGTGTGTGTATGTGTGCGTGTGTGTTCAGTCTGTATGCGTGTGTTCTGTTTGTATGTGTGTTTGTGTGTTCTGTCTCTCTCTGTCTCTCTCTGTCTCTCTGTGTGTGGGGTGTGTGTGTGTGTGTGTGTGTGTGTGTGTGTGTGTGTGTGTGTGTGTGTTTAACATTTGCCACACGTGTAACGTCAATAATGTCCCGTACATATGAATTGTTCTGTGTGCTAATAGTGTCCACACGTGTACGTACTACTACTGCTACCACTACTACTACCACTACTGCTACCATGACAACAACTACGAGTCCGTCCACAACCACAACTATTGGTACATCAACTGCGATAGAAACAGGTAACGTGGTGAATGAGGTCAGAGGTCAGATCAAATGTGGGTTGCAGCTCACCACATTTTTTGTCTTCCCCTGTTGTGTATTTGTGTACAGGTGTTCTATGTTGATTGCATTCAGTCATGTTTATTGTTTTCTGTGTATTAATGTACAGGTGCCTCGTATGGTTTTCATTACGTCTGGAATGCTTACATCCTGACAAATCTGCCTATCTATAATACTACCTTACATATCGATTTACAATTTGAATGAACCATTGTAGACAGTAATATGTTTATTGCGTCCAAATTGTTTTCTTTGTGTAATAGAAATGTTTTCGAAAGGAACGTTAATGTTGCGTTTACGTCGCAAACTTCACGTGCATCATGTGACGTATTCTTGTAATAGCTTTATGCTTGAAACATATGTATAATACATACATGTTTTTTATGTTTATATTTTCTTTATATTGATTTATCAATATATATTTATAATATATATCAATGATTATTTAGAAAAATTGTATAAAATGCCATTGAGATTTCTTATCTATTGTATTAGTTTCCCTTAGTTACGCTTCATATCCCCTTAGCAACCATGTGTTGATCATGACTTTGCGATAATTAAACGTTTATTGGTAACATATGTTGTGTGTAAATGTTGGAACATTATGTCATCAAACTTAATTGCATCTGTACATGGATATTCCTCAAGTCCTATCCTTTCATTTCAGGAACAATGTTTAGTTTGAATGTTTAACATTTGTGTCGATTTACATATGATAACCCTTTGAATTATAGAAAGTGTTTTATCCGTCATCCGATTCATAGCACGCATGATTGATAACAAATGATGTTTTGTTTCCCTGTTTACATGTTTATGTTGGTGTATTAATCCACAGAAATGTTCCGAGGATATGAACCTCCTCTGCTTGGGACCGAATATCGGTTTTTTTTATGTATTACATCGCGGTTGGAAGTGTGCGCGTATTTTCGCAACCGAAGCGTGTTATTTTGGAATTGAATTGAATACGTTAATGCAGAGAAGATATTAGTGGAGACCAGGAAAGGATATTTAGATATATGTAGTTTCAACGTGATATATAGAATCAGTGTCTGGTTATATAAATTCTAGAAATTGTTTTAAAAAACTGCCCAAGTACAATGGCAATCATCATTGGAAATGAAAATTTTAAAAATATGAACTGTAATATTTTTCTTTTCAGGTAACTTTTATGTGAATTACATTCTTTTAAACAGGGTTTTACGATTTTCATGTTTATAACTTATATTTACCATATTCTATTGGTTAAATAATTCTTGTGTATATATATATATATATATCAAGTTCGAACGCCATTTTATGTCTTTTAGGACGGAGCTATCATGTATTGTATTTTGAAGGGGAGTTTCTGTATCATCACCTCGGTTAATGTTCTGTGTTTGTTTTGTCAATTATAACGATAACAAGGTTTGTTATTTGTTTTACATTAAGATCGATGTGCCGTTTCCACTACTTGTAAAAAATTTGTAATCATCCTTTGTCGTGTAAACTGTTTACCATCTCATCGATTTGTTCGTCTTTCTATGTTAAATGTATGCTTTACAAAAGCGTTGATACCATTCTATGTTGAATATACGAATCATTCCTCTGTGCCTAACATACCTCACCCGCAATAGTTAAACTGCACTTGTAACACATATACCGTTATAACAATTATACTGACTTACATAATAAAGTAAATGATATTCAGATAACTATGAATAATGGATCAATGTAATTGTGTGCATGAATTTTCACACCAAAAAAAGTTAAAACGATGTTTTTTAAATTGCTGAAATAAAGTTTAATCTTTTTTTCCATTGAATATCATATTTTCAAAATTGACATAAAATGTAGCAAAAATGTATATTTCATTCAAAATGATAATCTATCTTTACATTGATATGATATGACGAGTTTTCTTTGTCGTACCAGAACCGCCCATTCCAACTCCTACTCCGACAGCTAGTAAGTTTATATGTGACGTCACATGTATACAAGTACTACACCTCTGTATATAGCGAACCTTTATCAATAATATGTCTAATTGATAAAGTTCATGATGAAATAATTGATAACTTTTTTATTCATTTTGTAGTCAAACAAACATAAACTAAAACAAATTGAATTCGTTTATATATCTGTAATACCTATTTCCTTGTCTTTTTAGGTAAAATCGATATGCGTATATACTGGACCAATATTTTTAATTGTTTTCTTGGTAGAAAAGAATCAATATGAAAGTAGATTTTATGAATAATTTCGCAATAATTCAGGTGGATGTGGTCTTGCTCGTGTGGACATCGTCTTCGTCATCGACTCATCAACAAGTGTAGGTGTAGATAACTTCCAGAAACAGATCAACTTTGTCAAACAACTTCTGTCCAACACAGATATTGATTCGGGTGCTGTACGAGCTGGTATTCTCATCTACAGCACAGGTGTCGAGATTCAGTTTCAACTCAACTCCTTTAACACACGGGCCAGTATGTTCGAAGCTATTGACAACATTCAATATACATATGGCAGCACAAATACCGCTGATGGCCTCCGTACGATGAGACAGGAAATGTTCACCTCTGCAAATGGTGACCGACCTGACGTCATGAACATCGCTATCGTCATCACTGACGGCGTATCGAACATCAACTCCCGCCGAACAATACCGGAAGCTGAGTCAGCCCATGGGGACGGAATCTTTGTCTACACCGTTGGTATCGGACTGCTGGACACAACCGAACTTTTCGCAATTGCAACCCCGCCGGCCTCCAGCAACAGCTTCGTCGTTAACAGCTTTGACGAACTGGAAGGATTTGAGAAGAAAGTATTCAAGTCCCTATGTCCAGGTTAGTTTTATTTCAATCCATCATTACATCGACTAATTGTACACAATCTGATGTGTAATTGTTGACCATTGGTTTTTATTATGCTTCCCGAAGGCGAGTATATAGTCGCCACATTGTACATTCATTCCGCCGTCAATAAAAATTAAATATCGGTAGGGAGATAATTGGGCAATGTACAAAAAAAATTGCTCTCTTTTGTATAATTTAGGAGTTATTGCCCTTTCTTATTTTTCATATTTAATTTTTGTCAAAATTAGAACTTTTTGAACTAGCGTTCAGGGAGCATCCTTCATTTCTACAGATTGTTTTGTTTATTATGTAAACGCTTACGTTATCTCTTTGATATGTAAGTATCAGTTTGATGTCAATCAAACAGTACTTTCGTTTTGCACAACATATGCATGCTTGCACTTAACTTACTGACTGTTACGTGTAAATATTGAGATTTCTATATGTGAACATATATAGTGGCCATGATATACAATTAATTACTGTATGCTCTTATTATAATAAAAAACGAAACGTCAATTCCCAAAATTGACAACTGAATGCAGATTTCGTAATAGTCATTTCTTTACGTCAGATTTACTAGGTATATCTTTATTCACCCTTCAAACAGCATTGTATTTTTTCCAGCGAGAGCTGAAGACATATTTTGTATTAACAAAAGTATTAACTTTCCAGATCTGGCATTGTTTTTTTTTTTTTTTTTTTTTTTTTTGTTTGACAATCAAGCATAACTTCAGTATTAGAATACATATGTCGCCACGGTCCACTCACTTCCTTATCAAGTTAACCATACGTTGTTGTTGCTCTTTACAATCAAATATAAAAAATAGACATCACGTATTTCCCACGTTTGTTTACTATTATATGTAACAAAATTATTGGTGTGTTTGCTAATTGTTGAATCCATTGTTTCAGTATACGTATATTGTGGAGTACCTATATATGTATCTACTTATGTACTTACAATACATGACGCTATTCCTTGGGATGTTGATACTGTCTATCATCTATCAACATCAAGCAAAAATAGGTGTGACACAAAATGTTTAGTTGTTTTATCAAGTTAGTACAAATAATGCAACATTGCATCATTCCAGTTGTAAACCAAGATTCAGAAAGACATTTAAATTCAATTCATTGCCTGTTTATCGTGATCTTTTTTGTGATATTCAGTTCTTCATGTCTGTTATGTTGTTTTGTCTTCGTGCTGAGTTCGTTCTTTTCTAGTCAAAAACTTGTACAAATAACTTCCTATCTTAACGGATAACAAAATTCGAACAAAGTCATTTTACTAGGTCAGTGGACTTTAGATATTAGCTTGTTCTTGTTCTACATCATATCGCTTCATTGCCTCGTTTTCGGAAACCTGATATCGATTTCAATATCGTTCATTATTAATAGATAGATAATATATAATAAAAGACATTTCCCTCTCGATGTAAACGTTTTATCGAATTTGATACGCATTTCTATGTTCAAGATCTATCTTTCTTATCAGTGATGATTTTAATCACGTCATCAATTTTGAAAATTGTTTTTTTCATACATTTTTGGCAAATATTTGATAATTTAGAAAAAATATGTAGATAAGATTTTTTTGGTTTTCACTGAAAGTGGCGATCTACATCTCCAGGCATTTCCTTGTGTTATAAAATCTTTTTTTTTTTTTTTTTAATATAATTATATATAAAACCAAACACACAAAATCATAGTGAAAAAATTAAAGTGCAAAAATCACAGAACAAGTTTTAGAAAATGTCTACATACATGAGATCGTTTACTTTGAGAATTCGAATTAAATCCAATGCGTTTCTCTTAAGTAACAAGTCTGCTCTTTATCGTTCATTTAGCAGAGCGAACGCTTCCTACGAGAAGATCAACAACCACAGGTACATGTTGTGCTTTTCTACACAATATCAGTACAATAGTACCCGGCCATTTATACAATCTAGCCTTCCGATGATGTGATGAATTTTAGAACAAAGCAAACGAATCGATGAAGTGTCAAAAACTTAATCAATTTCTTTCTAAGAAATCTATTTAAATTTTGTTACTGTTGTATGGCTTTAACATGAAGCTTGGCGAAATGTTCGTTGATGGTCAATTAATTTTATCATAAACATGTTAAACTCATTTAGACGTTACAATATGATTAAACTACTAGACAGTATTAGATAAATATCACATTCTTTAACAAACGAATTATGCAGTATTTCTGTGGTAATATGGTTTTCATTGAATTTTATCATTAGCCACCCTATATGATTCATAATATTTAATAGTATTTTGTTTCACTTCATCTCTGTGTGTCCGTCTTTCAATGTGCGTGTCACATCTGTGTTGAATGTGTTCAGCGAAAGCAACCACGCCCACACCAACCACACCCAAACCAACCACGCCCCAACCAACTGCTGCACCAACAAGAGCGCCTACTACTACAGGTATATCAATCACAGCTGCAAGACTGCGCGTACTTCAGTCACGCGGTGTTCAATCATTATTAACTGTACCGCGCACTTTATTACTTATAGTTTTTTATGCGTTCGCTTACCTATCTGGTAACTTCATTTTTCATGCATCTTCTTTACCAATCTGTCTTCATAAAATAACATCAGAATACAGCATTGTACCACAAATGATAACGAAATCAACTGGGGGTAATTAAGAAGTAATTTTTAGTGTTATTTTTGTATATGTTACTGTTTATATATATTTCTGTATACGTAGTTATCTTTCATCTTTGTAGATAATTGTAAGATCCAGTGTATTCTGTTGTTCTTTGTAGAGTTTGTATCGATAAGACTGTCACTGTAATGTGTAAGCTTTAGGGTCACTCTCTCAACAACATACAAATGCATTAATTAATTGTTTGTTCGACACTGTCGAAACCACCAAAGACAAATCTGAAATGCAAAAAAAGCGGGTAACTAAAAACGGATTTTCTCAAATTAAACTTTTCACGATTTCTGATAATACGTTTTGTAAAATATGAAAACTAATTATCAGACCATGACTACCGCTCAGGTTGTTGTCATAAAGTCGTCAGTCATGTTTATAATTAACTCATGAAAGCTCTTCTAATTCTGTCTACACCAGACATTCTTTCTAAGTATATTGCAATTAGAACATATATAACATTTGCTGTAAATGCCAGTTTGAAAAGTTATCTCATCACGCATTATAATACATAAATGAATAATGAAAACTGTCTACAAAATTTTGTAATTTTAGCTCATTTGTGCAATTTTATTCTTGTAATATTCAGATTGTTTTCATGTAAAGAAAATAAAAAAGATGCTTTGACGCTTATCTAAACATGAAGTTTCTTATGATACATGTTTGTCAATCAATAATGATGTCACTTATCTTTATTTACAATCGCTAAATGTCGTGTTGAAAGCTTAAAGAAAAATACCAGATTTACGGTGATTCCTATTGTTATATTCTGATTAAATACCGAAAACAATATAAATTAACTTTTAAAAATATTAATCAGAACTTTTCAATAATATGTTTACCAAACCGAGTACCAATATTTATTTTGATTTGAAATTATCAAAATCAATCCTGTTTTATGGGTAAACGCAAAATATTTCTGTATGTTATTTTATGTTAGATGTGTTTTGCATCAAGTCGGACCTCGGTATCTCGAATTCGGCGGGACAATGGGAAAGCTTCAAGATAACCGAATATTCAATCTAAGTGAGTTCGAATGTTTTGTGTAAAGCTAGGCAGGGACCTACGAAATGTTTATTGTTGAACGAGGTCTTCGAGTAATACAAGTTCGAGATAACGAGGTTCGGATGCATTAAAAATTGCATTGACATTAATGTTTTATATCTTTTTAATTATTCAATATTTCACTGATTGTTTTGTTTCCACTTTGCACCCACGGCACTGTGATGTCCTTTTGTGTGTCCTTCACTGCCTGTGATGTCATTTGTGTCATTAAATGAACAAACAGCACGTCCACGGTATCCTCCGACTCGCCCATCTAAATATCCGATGTCGACGCGACGACCCCATTATCCTACCAGACGCCCTACACTTCCGTCGGAACGTTCTACCGCTCGACCATCTGTTTCTTCAACGGATGGTGACAGAGGTACCAGGCTAAGATCAAATTTCTCCTGGATTTCATGTTTCTATAAAATAATTTCTAACATGTCCGAAACATTAATCAATGAAATAGCCGTCCTGTTATTTTTTTTATTAACTGTTGCTCCTTGAGGGTTGCAATGCAGATAAAACTGTCTATATATTCTATAATGTGATAAAAAGCTAGGACTTTGACAGTGTCACGCTTCTCGTTTGATGCCCAATAGGTTGCCTATTGGTTCCGGTGTTGTATACCTTGTTCTCATTTGAGAACGTAATATTACTTACTTGGATTGACCAAGATTTACATGGCGGGTGTCGTCGATGAAGCAGAAGACGCTTACGTATCTGAAGCACATGGTCAAATTCTTCTTTTAATCTTTCTTTTGTTCATATTTTGCCCTAGTTTTATGTAATTAGAGTTCGGATTATGATTGTGTTGACCTGTTGATATTTTCTCGATGTTCTGAATAATAAACAACAACAGAAAAACAGCGACGGCTATAAAATTATTATATATTCAAATTAGATAAACAAGCAGAAAGATTTCATCGTGCTTCTTTGATGGCAGTAAAAGATGCTAGAATCTTTATGATTTGCTTTCATTGTTCAGAAATTCTTCAAAATAGATGCGCGTTTTTTTTATACAAGTATCACAACATGACCGGAGTGTATTTGTTTTGTTTTTATTCATCAGCACAACCGTTGTTACTCACTTTTTAAGAAAAAAAGTATGTTTAAATACCGAACAAATATTTACTCAAATTCATTTAATTGGAAATTGACCAAATATTGGTAAAAGTGAATAACGTATGGTTAATGAATGTATGCTTGGCACTGTATAATCACTAAGTGTTTTCTTTGTACTAAATTGTCTTGTTTTTTTCTGACACTGTTTATTTGTCCTCCACGTACTGTGACGTCATATGTGTCTTTGAAGGAACGCCAGTACCTACAGAACGTCCTACAGATGCTAGTATAACCAGACGTCCTAATGAGGAGAGCAGAGGTATCCGACCACGTGATCAAATAAATATCAACTTTTGTTTAACTGAAGATAGACTAGTCATGGGAAAATATATAATTTTATTGTTGCAATATTGCACCAGAGATAAAATGATATTAAATCTTCTCTGATATATATATATTTATTTAAACGTCTATTTTATACAGCGTAAGACCTATGAAATAATATTAGTTTAAATTTCTATAATTCATATATACAAACCTTAACAGAAATCACAATGCTGGTAGTTTACGTACTCTGTAATATCAAAACAACCTTCTACACATCGGTTGCAAAGATTTTGGTGAGATTTGTATAAATGAATTTGTATAAACCTGTGTGAAACGATTAAATCATTTCATTATGAGTCATTCATAACAACTACTAAATGTTGCCTAGTTGTCCGTTTTTTCAAAATAAGAATCGGTAAAATGTCTGAAATTTCGCGGGGGTTTATCTTCGCGTCAATACGCATGAAAAGTCAATCGGAATTCAAATTCCTCGCTATCATTAATACTTAAATAATTCTGGATGGCATCCATTTTGACTCGGCTACCTATATCGGATTCTTGCAGAGTCCATGTCTTTAACAGTTCATCATTCGCACATTTAAAGTAATTTCTTGATCAGCCTTCGTGAATAATATTTCTGAACACCACGAAATAAAGTTTCCGCGAAGTCAAAGAGATAAACAGTACAAAGAAACTGAAGACAGAGGAACAGCTGGCGCAACATCGTGTTAATTTTCGCCTAGACTTTGTTGAAGTCTTTGTTATTAATTTTAGAATAATTTTCGCTATGGATTCGGTGATCACATTTCGCTACACATTTCTCGCTAGGCTTTACACATCATCATATATCTCGCTAGACCGATCGGGCGATAATACTGAGGTAAACACTGTTGGAGTATGTTATTTTGATAGAGCCAATCTAGATGTTAAAATAGAGTGTCCCGAGGTAATTATCAAATGAGATAATAGTAAAAATTCTACCTGTTTTATGATGTTATAAATATAGATACTTTCTAAATTACGTGGCAAATAGATGATCATCATGTTACGTGTTTCAGCCTCATGTAAATAAGTACATGTGTGCATTAATGATGAAAATAATGTTGTATGATTGCGTGAGGATATAATCACCCATGGCCACCTGCAGGAAGCATATTCGTGGAACTTTTATAAATATCTCGTTTTAGTGTTTATTAACTGTAACCTGTATCGGATATCTCTTCATTTTCACTACAGAATATCAGAAATAGTTCTGCAGGTCAATGAATGTATGGTTTTAATTTACTTTTCCAGACTTGGGAATATAATACAAGTTTCCCGAAATGTTCATTATCTGATATCCTACATTGATCTCTAAACTGCAAAAACAGTTTAGGATAAAGATGTTTTATGACTTAATCTTTGATAATATTGCTCAGCGTCATATCTTATAAAACGGTATTCATATCTTAATATACACCCATACTTTAATTAAATGGTATTGTCTGTTTAATTTTGAATGTTTCCATATAGTACATCACATCCCATATCTATAATACATAAATGTGTGTGTGAATTAATGCATTACCCTTTAGCAGTGACGTTATCCTATTCTAATAAATTAACTTTAAAATCCTAATAGTCTAAAAATCATTTGATAGGTTCTCTGAATTTTTCTTATATATCATATATAGAATGACAGTGTATTTTTTTCCGACAGGCACTTTCATATGTATATAATTGGTTGTCATTATGTGTAAAAGTGTCATTCATTTTTTTACGAGGGGGTTTGGGGGGGGGGGGGGTGGGATTCGATGTCGTATACCTTGTTCAAATTTGAGAACGTGACATCACTTACTTGGAATGAGCAATATTTACATGACGGGTGTCGTCCATGAAGCAGATGAATAGAATATATTTTTGATGACGTGAATATATCTTATGTACACGTTTTTGATGACGTGAATAGATCTTATGTACACGTCCTTGATGACGTGAATAGATCTTATGTACACGTCCTTGATGACGTGAATATATCTTATGTACACGTTTTTTGATGACGTGAATATATCTTATATACAGGTTTTTTGATGACGTGAATATATTTTTGTACACGTTTTTTGATTGCATGGAGAGATCTGTTGTACATGTTGTCTGATGACGTACAGTACATCCGATATACAAATTCTCATATGACACTCAATAATCAGTTGTGCACATTACCTGGGAAAGGTATATCGCCGCTTTTATATTTGTATGCATATCACTGTACAAAAAGAAATGATATTTTTTTTTCTGTATCACCATCCTATAAAGCATGTTTTACAAAAATGTCAGACTCGTATATCATAAAAGTTTCTACATACCTCTCATATCATTTTAATGTATTTTCTTTCAGAATCAACTTTACCACCGAGAAGTAAGTATAAACCTTTCATCACATACACCTTGTATATATCTATATCTTGGTAAACAATGTTCACGCTCCAAAACACAGCAAAGCTTAAGTTTATTACCTGTACATGTGTTCGTAAACTGACTGTTTCGAAGAGTTCGGTTGAAAAACGGGGCTATAATAATGATATATGTGAATGCCATTAGCAGACAGTCCTTCAGTGGTTCTGTACCACGTTATACGATAATATACAACGTTCATATATCAGCCAACACCTTCTGCAATTCTATTGATATTAAAATATTTTCATTTTTTGTTTTTGTTTATTTTTTGTTGTTTTTTTTTTGACAAAATATTTTTTCACGATTAAGTATGTTTTGTCGCTAAAATACATCAAGCTTTGATTGGATATTGAACTTCAATGAATTTTAGGATATGATAGTGAGATGTGTTTATTGTGTACTTGTTAACAATATCGATATCTTTTCATATCGAGGCACCCGATTTCTGTAGCAGAGTATGATATTAAATTGACGGGCATGTGATAAATATCTGTGTCTATACTGTTTACGTCACTATAATTGCACCCTGGTCACGTACAAACTATTTATATACAGGATATGTCGTATAACTATATTTTTTATGTTACAGCAACTCCGAGACCAACAACTCCGCGACCAACAACTCCGCGACCAACAACTCCGAAACCAACAACTCCGAAACCAACAACTCCGCGACCAACAACTCCGCGACCAACAACTCCGAGACCAACACCTCCAGCTAAAGCATTCGATCTTGTTGTTGTCATGGATTCTTCAGTTAGACCAGAGGTGTTCAGCAAGATGACTGACTATGTCAAAATGGTAGCTGGAGAGTTAAGTATAGATAACGAGAAGTTCCGAATGGGTCTTCTTCGATTTAGCACCTACCCAGACATTCAGTTCCAACTCAGCAACTATAAAACACAGGCAAGTATACAGCGGGCAATTGACCGAATACAATATCGTCCAGGCGCAACGAATACGGCGAAGGCTTTCGATATTGTCCGCACTCAGATGTTCAAACGACGAAGTGGTGACAGAAGTTTTGCCAGGAACTTTATTCTGTATCTCACCGGAAGTGACGAAAGCGAAAATAAATTCCAATCCTGGGCAGCAGCAGAAAGAGCAGAAGATGAAGGTGTCCAGATATTTACGGTGGGATTCGGACTTCAGGATACAGCGGAACTAAATGAAATTTCCTCTCACCCACTGTCCGACTTCCAACAACTCTTCCTGGAGGAAGAAGGTCCGAAGAACTTCAACGATGTGTTGGCTCTGCTGGAAGCAAGTAAGTTGAAACCTTTTTTTATGTATTTATGCATATATTCCTGGACCAGTGATTAAATTGTAGAAGGTAAGAGTGTGACGTTTCGATAACTACACGGTCGTCTTCATCTTATGACACAACCAGTAGAAGATTAGAGTGTGACGTCCCAATGACTTCACCGTCACTTTCATCTTACAACAAAACCAGTAGAAGATTAGAGTGTGACGTTTTGATGACTACACGGTCGCCTTATAGTCCTTACAACACAACCAGTAGAAGATTAGAGTGTGACGTTTCGATGACTACACAGTCACCTTCATCTTATAACACAGCCAGTAGAAGATTAGAGTGTGACGTTTCAATGACTACACGGTCACCTTCAACAGACTTATGACCTATGTGAAGCTCCACACTGGTCATAATTTAAGTAAGTTCGAATGTTTAGTGTAACATTTAGCCGGGACGAACGAAATGCTCCGAATTATACAGGGTCTTTGGGTTATAAAAGTTTGAGTTTACTAGGTTCAACTGTAGTTCGAATACGATTCAAGGACAAGGTATTTTTACATTTTACCGACTGGGTAAACATACACACGTTACATTTGCAGATTCGTTTCTACCAATAACTCTTTGGTTCATCCTCGATACTCAAAGGGCTACGATAACTTTAGCTCCTTGCACCCTTTGGAACATGGCATGGCAAAATTGAAGACACAAGCGAAGTAATTTGATTGGTTCTGAGAAAAAAAAACTGACTGATAACAGGCTGATATGCCCCTTTTGAAGATTACAAAAAACGACATCAAACTTCATCATTGTCATTACAAAATACGCCCTGAGATTCGTTTGATATACATCAAAGGAACAAACAATTCTTTTCGTCTTGTCCACGAGGTGTCGCACTTAGAACCTTCAAATTTGTAATGACATGTTCCAGGGGTGCAGAGAACGAACATGGTCGCAACCCTTGAAGTATCGAGGATGTTGTTGGTTAAAAACTTTTGTCTTTGAGTATCTGATTCCACGTCTGTGTTCGACGTCACCTGCAAATTTTGGAGCTAAGCGTTAATATGATTGATAATTACTAAGCCCAGAATAACAGATTTTATCTTTAAGTTGCCAATGTATGTACTTAACGATGATGGATTGCAATTTTAAACAGAAAGTTCTAGAAATATATAAAAAAAAGTCTTCAGACATCTACAGACTGTTGGAAATCACCTGAATCGCACTTTCGTTTCCAAGTTGTCTACATCGTAAACACTTTTCTTCTCGTCAACAATGTGATTAGATTCAGAAGTTGGCACGTTCCACGTGATTTTTGTTTTTGCCTGTCTATTTTTATCCCCTGGACTTTGAAGCAGTTGAACTTCGTTTATCATATTCTCCATGTAGTTAAACGATCATAGCAAACACTGTTTGCACATACATCATTGGAACCATTCAAAGTCTCCATGGCGGTAACAAAACAATAATTATACTCAAAAAGCAAGGTTAATATTTTTAAGTGTGTAAGTTACTGTCTAAGTTCACGCGGTGAACAGTTAGACGCACTATAAAACACGGAGAGGAACATGTGTTTTAACGGTTAGGATAAATAAGTGTTATATCTATTGTCTATATCAAATGTTGTTAATCAAAAGTTATCTTTCATCTAAAGAAAGTTTTAAAAGATGTAAAACTGTATTGTGTATTCTTATAACAGTCTCTGCTTTCTCGGTGTTTATATACATTCGAACTTAGAACTCGGCGGGGCCATGGGAGAACTTCGAGATAACCGAGTATTCGATTTAATTGAGTTCGAATGTATTTTGTAGGGACCGATGAAATGCTTCGAATTAAACGAGCTCTTCGAGTTACACGAGTTCGAGATAACGAGTTTCGACTGTAATTTTTGGGGGAAAATCTAGTCAAAACTTATTCATTTTAACATGATTAAGTTGATGGGTTTGCCTTAAGGTGTTATCTACTTCTGACGTCACAATGGGTCTTATTAATTGAGTTAATACATGGAGTACAAAACAGTTCAATGGTATATTCACTAAATAACAAGGCATGCGTGTTATAAAAATGACACTACCATCCTTATATATATGTAATATACCCAATATTGTATAACACTGTATCACACAACTTCGACTCTTCAGTAGTGATAGGAATAAAAATGTTGAAATCATAGAAACGCATTGAACACATGAATAGCTGGGCATGAAATATATCTAAAATATATCATTATCTATAGAACATAAATGTAAAAAATAAATCAAGAAAATACCAACATGTCAACACAATTATAATCCAACCTCAATGTCAATCAAACTAGGGCAAATACGAACAAAAGAAAGATTTACACAGACTCCTGAAAAAGTACAAGGAGAATAAGATCAGATATTCCGAAAGATTAAGCGTCCTTTTATCGCTTTCATCGACGACATCCACCATGTAAATCTTGGTCATTCCAAGTAAGTAATGTCACGTTCTCTAATGAGAACAACGGAACCAACAGGCAAACTAACTTCAAACAAATGAAATATTTCTAAATAATATCACTATGGCAAACATAGAACTCCCTATAATTCTCACCAACCTGCATGGAAGCGCATATTCTGGATGGTGCATTCCTGATTGTCCCAAAACCCAATTTTCAGGTAAATGTTTTTTGGGACAGTCAGGTATTGTGTATATAAGACAGTATTGACAAAGAAAACCACAGATAAGGTGATGATTACAAAATTTCTTTGAAGCACAGGTAAATCCAGGTAAGTAAACCAAAGCACTACAACAAATTATATTACATTGATGTAGTTACATACAATTCCTAAAGTCTTAAATCTTAGTATTTTAAAAATAAATTATTCCTAAACTTGATGAAATAAATCTAAGCCTTCTTGTGTTGACAATATATAATAGCACAACTCAATTTTCACACAATTACTTAAATACTTCAGTTAAATATTTTTGAATCCATTTCACAATCACTCCATGTGAAGGAGGTATGATGCTCGGTCTCCGTAGGCTATGTAGTAAATCTGGTCATTCTACAGAAGGGCTTTCAGGTGAGTCAGATGGTCATTCAGAATCCGGTAGCGGCGTTTCTTTGGATGATTTTCCTTCAGCACTCGGACAAACAGATATATATTCGGGTGTGCATGTGGGATCCTCTTCTTGAGTTTGCTGTGCCATCCATCCAAGCTGTTGGTAGTCCTGGGTCTGTTGTTGTCGAAGTGGTTCCAGATCTGTCTGTCTCCCTCTATACACTGGGTTGTCAAAGTCAGTGAAGGGTGTTGTATCTATAGGTAGGCCAACTTTTTCAAGGTCATCCAATGCATTGAACCAGTAGTCCTCAGTGTGGTGTAGTGGTAGGAGGGGAAGGACAGCTGCACGGCGAACAAGTCAGTGGATCTCTTCGTTGTCTCTGTAGCGCGTCTTGAGTCCTAGTTGTTGGGCCTTTCTCCAATTGCACTGGGTAAAGTGAAAGAAGCATCCTTTCACTGTAATCCCTGAGAATACGATTTTGGTGGCGTTCTGGACAGTAGTCCGTGAATATGACGGCCGGGTTGAATTGAAGATGCAGACCCTCCATTGCAGCTTTCAGATTCTCCAACAATCTGGTGTAGATGATCTGTGATTTCCATGGTAACAATGCAAACACAAGCGGATACATCTAGTTGTCGATCTCGGCATGGATGGTGTATAGTTGAGTGAAGAACCTTGGGCATGTGTAGAATGTACCATCACAATACAAAGTGCCAGTCGCTGACAAGATCTCCAGGCTATTGGTAGTTGCAAAGGCTAAAATTCTCGAACTGTCCCTGTTGTCGTCAAAGAGCGAAAATTGGGTACCTACACTGGGTTCTGTCCACTCGTCCTGTAGGGCGATATCTGTGGCTGAAGTTGGTAAACTTGGATGAAGTTTGGCTCTCTTGTGGTATAGGGATGTCGGTATCTGTTCCACCAATAGTTGTTTGTCAATTATCCTGTTAAGCGTCTGTAGCTTTCCGCGGTTTGGTTGGTGGTTGTGCTGGTGATCCATCTTCACTGGAATGTCGTTGGTAGTGTTGATTGTAGCAGGGCAAGTTCGAATGCAGCATCTCTAGTAGGTTGTTTCTCGGCAGTTCTTTTTACTATATAACTGTATCCGGCTTGATGAAGTGTCCGGCCTCCACGCTAGTTGGTTGTGAATTGAACTTGAACTTGCAAGTTAGCCATAGTTGGAATGATGATATTTCATTAAAACTTCAGTGATATATATATATTACACGAGCTTTGGTGTTAACCTCCATGTACTCGCCTCATCAGCGGCTTGATTACTCACAAGTTCTCACTCCAACCTCGGGTGTTCATATCACCATCTTTTTGGTGTAAATTGTTCATATTGACATCCATTAGTGATAATTTCTTCTTTACTCATTGAATAATAATTATAATAAGTGATAGTTTAAAACTTCTAAATTATGAGTTTACAGTAATTACAATTTTAAAATTAGAAACACATTTACAAATCTCCAAGTAACTTTGATTTTTGTTCAAAATATTTAGAGAAAAATATATTTATACCTATTTTTTCTTTAATCTCTGAATTACATTTTTCTATATAATATCACGTGTCACATCCTATTTACCTGTATTTTTGGGGACAAGTTGAAACAACACCTTGGGACACTAGCCACTATAACAACAAACGTACTTTTGGGACAGTTAAGAATTATAATCATTCAGTTTTAGGAAAGTCAGGATTAAGCATTCAATTAATTGTACTCCGTGTACACATGCCCATTATCGTTAAAGTGGCAAGTGTCATCGAAAACCATTCTATTGCTTGATTATAAGTTTTAAAGAATTCATAAATTACATTATCCGCCCACCATTTTACGGTTAGCCGCCCCACATTGCGTTCATATCCTTTAAGTAAACTGTATTATACCGAGAAAATAAGCATGGCGCTTTTGTTATTTTACTAAATAGTCATTGTTCACAAAGTGAAATATAAAACGTGTATTCAAACTTTAAAATGTATATTTAATATTGATATATACATTACGTAACAATATGCCATTTAAAAAATATCATATATAAGATATTTACAATATTGTATTTCATATAAATTGGAATTAGAATAATTTGATTTTTTAGTGATCACGAATATATCTGCTTTGGTTATCAAATTCTAAACTCAAGTTACATAAATGATATTTATCTTCTAAAAAATAATGAAGTTTACCAATGTACGATGTTTTGTGTATCGTATAATGTTGTTTTTATGTCTTTTATATAAATAGGAATATTTTCTTCAATGTTGATAAGATAAGTTTGCTGTGATAGGATATTGTCTGTATCATCAGCTGTTGGATACAACAGCATTTGTCGTCCGTGATATGTATAATAACCTACACTAATGTTATTCTCACAAGCAACCAAAACAAAAAAATACGCGCTTTTACCAGACAGACGTAAACACGTGCTGGGCGGGAATTTCTTCTCGACAGCATTCAAATAGAAATTCCAATCGAGTTAACATAGCATTTAAGACAGGAGTTATTATCACAAGATCAGTAAAGTATTCTTTTGTCTCATTAAGTCGCTATCAAACCTCAAAACACTTTTCAGCCGAGTTTATATCGCGAATGTATTCGAACATTAATTATAAAATCAAGAATTTTTTCTGACTTTTTTGTAGAATATCTATAGAGAATTCGAATAAATGGTGCGAATTTCTGGGATAAGCATCATGCAAAATACAGTATGACAGCCTGTGTTATAGTTATAATGATATTGTAAATCTTTTGTATATTCCACGCACCTGCCAACGTATGGCTAGGATTTACACAGTAGAAAGAAACACAATGATTATAGCACTTAACCTCTTAATACAAAACAAGAAAGGAACTAGTATTCCTATCAAAAGCTACAGGCGTGGTTAACAGTCTTACTACAGACAGCTCAAGGCCGTCTGAGAAAACGAAAACACGGGAAAAACTTGTATATATTCGTGTAAATCTAAAAATAGATCACTGGAGCTGTATCAACGCCCGCCCGTTTCTGACGTAACTGCTAAAGTACAGTGCAATGTAATGCCATTAGATAGGATGGAATTAAGCATTATCGGAGTGCGTTAGCATAGCGTGCAGTGTTCTTTTTATACTGTCAAAAATCCTCTTTATTATGTATAAATTACAGTTTCCATGTATACCATGTGTTGAAACTATAAGCCAAGCAGTCTTATCATCACACATCTTATTTTTTGTTAAATCGGAATAACCGAATTGCATTTCCCGGCATGCATTCTGTTACTTACTTTTTAGCTGCCGCGCTGTATAGTTGTTTAATTTCGCGGGTCTTAGTTATGCAAAGTTATGAAAAAGTTGGAGTATAAAATTTTGCGCATGTTCAGGAACTGATGTCTATAAACATCGGGGTATAACCGATATTTTACAAGTTTTTCATTCACTAAGGAAATGATGGCTAGCTTTATAATATCGTGCGATCTCGGTTGACCACGAACATAACGAAATACAATCCCAGCGAACATTATCAACTACACAAACATGTCAGATTCTTCGGAATAACGATTTACATTCGAACCACGTTACCTCGAACTCGTATAGCTCGAAGACATTGTTTAATTCGAAGCATTTGTTTCGCCCCTGTCTAACGTCACACAGAACATTCGAAATCTCTTATACCGAGTACTCAGTTATCTCGAAGTTTCCCCATTGTTCCATCGAGATAACGAGATTCGATTGTATAGAACATACAAACTTCAACAAAGTCTGCTCAAATTTTGTAGAGAATCGCGTAGGTCTACAAAATGCATTGAGGCAAACACTGGTCGTTTAAGGTTAAAAAATAATAAGGAATGTGTAAACGATGATAGTGTGAAGTCCTATCAGCGTTATCTGATTTACACAGATGTGTAGGCCGTGTATTTGTGAAGTAAGATAAACGTAAGTATTTAAGATTTTTTGTTTTGTAAGAAATAAAAACGAACAGTTTAGACTAAAAAGATTGCTAAGGTCTAAGAAAATATACATGATTTGCTAAGATATGCATGCCGCTTGGACCTGAATACGCATATGGTGATTAACACATAGATTTTAATCACTTAAAATGCAACAGGAATGAGTGTCCAACCATGGCGGGTCTCTACTAGCTATGAAAATGCCTTGGTAACTAGGGGTGTGTGACATCTGTTTGTCTCGAAATCTAGATTGAAAATACAGATCTGTATTTCTCTGTTCAGTTATCCATTAGGATAAACAACAACAAATACAAAATGTACAGAGGCAATGTTGGTGATCATTAAATAACGAAATTTGTATCTATATATATGCGCCTGTAAGATAAACTGCATAAACATATATTAATAGATCGACAATGAATATTATTTCAAACCATTCTCCGTATAACTATTCTTAAGAGGTTATTAACCATAAGTCCATTCAATTTAGAAAAATAAATTAGGGTATTAACATCAGTCTGTCGCTACCTGTGCACGTAACACATGGTATGAATTTGCACGTGTAAATCTCAGACCATCATCCCACCTATTGGCGATGCTTAATATAGAGAAGATAATTTCAGCCTAATCCCAACAAGCCGAACGGTTAAAATTCTATATCCAATGAACATAACAAGTGTTCAAGTATTCTACCGCGGAAGACGGGGATAAATATCGTTTAAGTAATACAACATGTACTTAATTAATAAAATGTTTATTTGAATTCATTTGAAATTTGTTTTTGTATCGATAAGTCTACAACATATCAAAACTTGGCGTTGCTTTTGAAATAACTGTTTGTAAATGACTGTTTCATATAACACAAGTTAATATACATTCACTGTTTACCAGTAATGTAAACAATTAAAACACCATTAAATCGTTACGAAGCCAAACAAGGAGGGACATTCAATTAAAGATCGACTCACATACATGATAATAATGATTAAAGCCTCTAAATGATTAGACTCTGATCCTCCAAACATTTTGGCAAAATAAATCGCGATTTGGAGAGAAATCACACAACGTCTGTAAATGAACAGTTTTATTAAGCTCATCAGTGAGATATGGTTAAAATAATGCTATTTGATGTACACACATATAATCCTAAAATTATTTTTTCGCGTTTGTTCATTCATATATGTCCTTCCAGATGGTGGGGACAACTGCAATTAATGCTAATCGGTCCAAATATGGCGCTCTCAGAAAATCTTTATTCAATTATTTTCCTGGCATCCATCAGTTGCTTTCAGGGTAGAATTTGAATATTGATATTGAGGAGCATGTGATATTAGGTCTTGAGGCGACGCCATTCGCTCCCTCGTGTTTTATCAGTAGATAATTTATCCGGTGTCAACTTTTTAAATGGATTCTAAATAGCTAAAAAAGTGATAGATTCTGAGCCGGTAACACGAAAGGGTGTAAAATGTTCAGAATTTTCAAGTAAATAACCATTTTGAAATATCAAAGGGGTCAAATATTTTGTAATGTCAACTTCTGAAATACGAAAAATGCTCAGACTCACGAGATTTTGTGCACTGGGTTGCTGAAATGACGCACTTTCTATTTTGTTTATACAAATTACCCTTTCCAATGGACACAGGACTAAATGATGTTTAAATTTATATAGATATATGCGAAATAGTAAATCAGACTACGGTTACTTCAGTATTAATGTTGGGGTATAGACCCAATCAGCAATAAACTCGATCATCAAAATAAATCCTTTATAACTGTGGAGCAGTTATTCCGTCTTTTTAGAAGACGGAGTTGTCTGCTCTTGTGAACAAGAATTGATTGTAACGTCATTTGTTTGTGAGAGAATAACGTCATTGATTTGGGAGGAAAACAAGATAATTTTCTCACACAAACTAATGACGTAACACCCAATACCTGTTTACAAGATTAGATAAAGGAATAGATTGTAACGATATTCTATTTTACTTTTATATCAGATTATCGCCCCTAGTAATTCCTTGGATGATAAACCTCTTACAGTACAACTCTATAAATTGTATGTTGTAGCACCTCCTAATAAGTCTCCCGCCGGGAACAAGGGGAACTAAAGCTTTCGCTGTATTCGTCCGCTCTTCTGTCCGTCTTCCCGTCCATCCTACCGTTATCTTGTCCTTGTTCTACCCGTTCTATTCACCTGAACTTCATACTGGGATAACAGGTCACCTCGGTTAGGCGGTGTGTCATATATCAAAAGAAGGTCACTCTGACCTACATTTTGACCTTAGACCTAAATCAAAGAAAAATATTATTCCTTCCCTATATACCGTTGATCACTTCTTCCTTAGGTTTTTGGTTATATTTGCTGTGTGTTTTTGGCCTATAATTTTCACATCTTGGGACTAATATAATAAATTTTCTACTTCCTATTTGTATGAGCTCTACACTCTGAAATGTAGTGGTTTGTGTATATTGCTGTAACATAGGTCATATGTTATACAACAAAATGATGATTCACTTGCCAAATATCAGTCGTATTATTACAGAAGATTTTGTTAATATTATCATGTATCCCACGTATGTCGCATTTATATCTCATAAATGTACACAAAGATCGTCTCAACATTTCTGTGGCTTTCGACAGTGATGAACTGTATTTTGCTATGCGTGGATAGACCTGTATAACGGTGTTTTAAAAAGACATTATTAATCATCTTTACAGTTCTTCAAGTTACAGAGTGAAAAAAAATCAAATACAATACTTTTTCTGAACCGTACGTATTTAATTGTCATGCGGTTAAAAATGCATTCTCCCTTTAATCATATATCAAAATTATCAAACATAATATTTTTTCTAATTGAGAGGAAACTCATGGTAGCGTGTAGGTTGTTTTTTTTTATTTTATCTTATATTACGTAACAAATTATGAAAGAAAAAAAATCGAGGTGAAACACGTGCTTCAGTCCGATTTGAATGGTTTTCATGTTTTTTGTTACAGTGCCCGATAAACCTCCTAAGGCTCGCAGGAGACCGCGCCCACCTCCAACAACACCACGACCAAGACCTGAAGGACGTAAGTTTTCATGCTCCTTATAGACAGCTAGAATTATAGTGTTAATGATATGTCTTATGTACAACTATTATACAACTTTGTACAACTTTTTACAACTTTGTACAACTTTTGTAAAACTTTGTACACGACTTTTGTATAACTTTGTACACAACTTTTGTACAACTTTTGTACAACTATTTACAACTTTTGTACAACTTTTGTACAACTTTGTACACATCTTTTGTACAACTTTGTACACAACTTTTGTATAACTTTTATACAAAATGGTACAACTTTTGTACAACTTTGTATACAACTTTTAACAACTAAAGAAAAACTTATACAATAATTCATATAATTCATCAAACTTTCTGCACATATTAAGTGGGTGCCCTATTTGTGCCTTTTGCTATTGCCGTCATTTCACTTTATATATATATATTTTTTCTGTTTCCATGGAAACATAGTCAGGTAACACAAAAAGAGGCTTTTCCAGGCTATATCTTCAAAACTGTTCCACTCAACTTCACAAAACTTTCTGCACATATTAACTTAGTGCCATAGTTGAACCTTTTGCTATTAACAACATTTCATTTTTTACTATATTTTTTTTCAGTTTTTGCAAAAATTTAGTTAAAAACCTCAAAAGAAGGCTTTTTCTGAGCTACAACTTCAAGGCATTGGCCCCTCAGATTGTGATCATTATCATTATTATTACATGTTTTACATCTCTTACATAGTAAATCTTTTGTTGCCTGAAGATAGCTGTTATGCCTGAAAACGTTACTGAAACACATTTGTTGTGTTGATTCTATATTTTCAATTATAACTCTATATATATATCTATAATGTTGAAGTTGAGGAGATGTGAGTTTATTATTTTCTACTAGTGCTTTCACTGTAATAGACCTTCACGTGCAAAGTACTGATACATAAGTGTGTGAAGTCTCAAATTATTACAGTGCTATATATAGCATATTTGGGTTCCATACCAACACCTATGCGCGGTGGATAATGCCACGCTTTGCGGCATCTTGTTAAAATTTCTAACCCATCCGATAGAAATACTTCCGGTGAAGGAAAGCCATCCTTCAAGCACAGGAAGTGACATTTCGGGATTGTATGATTGTTTATGACATCATTTCTATGACGTGTCGGGGTCAGATGGGGTCATTGACGTTATTTCCAATTGTCATCCGGGCCTCAAATGCAAATGACCTATGGCTATAATGTCACATGTATATTTATTTGCTTCTTAATTTTTAAGGGAAAAAAGGGATAGAAAAATATCATTTCCTACTTTGAGAGTATGGAAAGATCCTATTTGTCTTAAGGTCGGATGCTTAATTAAAACAAATAAATGATAGTTTGTTTGTTTATATATAACATCCAGTCAGCTGACCGATGTCATTGCTATATTAGAACATGGTTGCTCTCCCGGAAACACCTTCTCTCATTCTCCTTGTACTTTTTGCAAGAGATTCAAGGTCGTAAATCATTTAAATTTTTTATTGTTTGCCGTCGTTTTACTGATTTTTAGTTTAAACTACGATTTTTTTCTTTTTGATATTTCTGTTGTTGTTTTAATCATGTTTCATTCGGTACTTCTCTAATTCCATCTGTTTATATAGCATGCACTTCAACCGCTGATGTCGTCTTCATTCTGGACACCTCGGGTAGCGTTGGACGTGACAACTTCTATAGGATGTTGAACTTCACTTGGAGCACTGTCAATGAACTTGATGTAAACAGCGGAAACTACCGAATAGGCTTGATGACCTTCAGTGATCGAGCAAACAGAGAATTCAACCTCAACAGCTATGATACAAAGGAAGAAATAAAAAAAGCGATATCCCGAACAGCTTACATATACGGACGTACCAACACTGCCGATGCCTTTCTGATGGCCAGACGGGACATGTTTGTCCAACAGTTTGGTGACCGACTGGGTATGTTGTAATATCTGACAATCCGCACTATCCAGTAGTTTGGATTCCCTACAAACAAAATACACACATCTCTCTATAGAGTAAATTCAGATGACTCAGAATTTACCATTCAAAAGAAAATAAAGTATATTTTCTGCTACATCGACAGATTTTCAAATTCAATTTAAAACAAACAAAAAAATTTATTAAGAAATAATAATTGATAATTGTAGCATTTTAAACATGTAAGCATCGCTACTTTTTATTTATTTACTTATTTTTATTTATGTATTTATTTCCCATCCTCCATCTTAACCACGAAGTCATATCAAGTCATGTATCAATTTCCTCACACATCATCCTACTGTTCATTTGAATACTTCACCAATATGTGTCGTTGAGAATTTTTGTGTAATTCTGTTTGTTTCACATTACATATAAGCGATGCCCTTCAAACAACTGACTTGCTCAGATGGAAGTAACACATATATAGTTTCCTAGTGGTTTACTACAATATGACGTTGAAGTTGATGAGTATATTATTTTGTTGGTAGATGTCCCGAATGTTATCGTCATCATCACGGACGGGGAATCAAACATCAACAACATGAGAACCATACCGGAAGCTATGACCCTGAAACGCGCAGGAGTAACTATCATAACTGTTGCCGTTGGATACGCCGACAGCTCGGCTGAACTGTTTGGAATTACCTCTAATCCAGTTAGAGACAATTTGATCCGAGTTGAGAACTTCGATGCCCTTGAATTACTGAAGGACAAACTTATCACACCATTATGTACAGGTACATACAAACATTATATACAGGTAAATACATACATTATATACAGGTAAATACATACATTATATACATTGTGTACAGGTACATACATTATGTACAGGTGTGTAAATACATTGTGTACAGGTGTGTACATACATTGTGTACAGGTACATACATTATGTACAGGTGTGTAAATACATTGTGTACAGGTGTGTACATACATTGTGTACAGGTACATACATTGTGTACAGGTACATACATTATGTACAGGTGTGTAAATACATTATGTACAGGTGTTTACATACATTGTGTACAGGTACATACATTGTGTACAGGTATGTACATACATTATGTACAGGTATGTACATACATTGTTTACAGGTACAGGGTGTACATACATTGTGTACAGGTACATACATTGTGTACAGGTATGTACATACATTGTGTACAGGTACACACATTGTGTACAGGTATGTACATACATTATGTACATGTACAAACAAACATTATGTATAGATATATACATACATTATACACAGGTACAAACATACATTATGTATAGATATATACATACATTATATGTAGATCTCGTAGTTTACAATTGTCTCTCTCTCTCTTGGCAGATATCAATCTTTGTATGGAAAACCCTTGTCATAATGGTGGATTCTGTATTGACGGTCTTCGTAGCTATATGTGTGTTTGCACGGAGGGATTTTACGGAGACAATTGTCAGAACTGTAAGTACTTTACTAGGAATACCACGGAGACAACTGTTAGAACTATAACGCTATAACGGTGACAACAAGGAAAAAAGTTAAGTGCTTCTAAGTCAGCTCCACTGACGTCATCAAATTCTTCCTTATTCATTGTGTAACTTTACATATTGATTAATAACATTCTTCTGCCATCTTGAATTCATCAATAATTTGCGACAGATTTCATTTGATAAAGCATTAGATTATTGACATCACTGATGAGTCCTAGAAAGATGGCTGAGAATTACACAATGATCAATTGTATTAAAATTCCTAATTCATAAATGTCTTTTTTACATCCCTTGCGCGGTTATGCAAAATATGGTTCCCGAGACATGTCGACATGTACCTTCCAAAAATGGGCCTCCCTTGTAAGCTTCATTTTCCCCTCGACCGATTTCAGTCAATCTCATGCTTTCAGAAGCATGACATGTTAACACAATAGAGGAGCTTGCCTATTTTAGATCGCTACGTTTCTCGGTAAAGGTTTGTTACCAACATCTCCGATTAATTTAGTTCGGAAACGAGATGTTTATTTCTATTCCGAGAAAAGAGATGCCGGGATTAATGAAACTAAATATTTCAATAGATCTGTAATGTATGTGGTGCCAGTTTATGACGTTCGTTTTACAGTTAACCTCCCCCTCCCCCTCAATTACCAGCTTAATTGCGTGGAGTCAGAATCTCGAATGTGACGCCATGTAATTGATATGATGTTGTGATATATTTCTTATCTTTGTTTATGTTCTTCAAAATAAAACAGAGATTAAGAAAGTTTAGAGATGACATTGGATAAAAACATCTTTGCAAGTAAAGTAAGAGGCCTGGAGGGCCCGTATCAGTTCTTTAGATCAAGTCTCTTAGAAAATATGTTCAGTATGCACAGTGAAGTTACACATTTCGTTATGAACATCTGCTAAGTAGCATAACACACTTTTTACTTGTGTGAACCTCATTCCATTTGACTTTATTTCATTAGATATATCTGATAAATTTGTTGTTATACAAAAGAGAAACTGTAACCGGTAATACTATTTGTAATACATGGTCAGAGTCTGGAAATGTAAGCTGTATTTGAAAAAAAACTGCATCTTTTGACTGTCATATTTTCATGCATGAATATATGATCAGCTGTTGAAGTGAAAAAGGGTCGGAGAACATAACAATTACATGTCTGGCGGTTTAATGTACTCAGTGCCAAATATAGTTGCAATGTTTTCTACTAAAACCTTTGTTTTCTTTATTTTACAAAAGTAAAATAGAACATAAGAAAGACATTAAAACTGAAGGTTTATTAAAGATCTGAAGGTATGTATACAATTCCCTGTATAAATATTCAGTCAGAAAGTAGCTCCGACGCACGTACGGCCAGAATACAGCAAAAATATATGTAGCAGCTGTATTCCGTTTACGGAAGCCCATGCATTTGCAGGATAAAAATGGTTATACTGTTGAGTTGAAATCCATAAAATTGTGGAAAATGATTAATGATGTTAAGCAAATTGTCAAAAGTCTCCATGCTGAATTAGCAAAATAACATGTTTTCCCGGACACTTATTTTTTGATGATAAAAATCCTGTAAAAAGAGTTTGTAAAACTTAAACATTGAATTAATTGTGGGAAATGAATGCTTTAAGAAATAAGTATCAAAGTGGCAGTAATTACATGATACAGATAAGCCTCCTTGAAGAAACACCTCTGTAAAAATTAAATTAAGTCCAAAATTTGTCATTGTTGGCTGTCATAGTCATTATATGATTCTGTGTTTACAGGCAAACACCTTGCTATCTATATATCGCATTTGAATACTTGTAACATTTGAACCACTGAATTCTTGAATTTCTCCATTGATTTCGTGGCAAGTATGGGAGATGTATGCATAAATCCAAGCTGCAAGATTCGATTTAAGGATTGTAGTAAGGCTAGAAAATCATCAAAGAGCCTAGATTCCCCACAAAATCGTTGGCTGAAAAATGTCCTGAAAGATGGGGATGATTGTAGAAGTTTGCAGTAATATTTGTAAGAGATGTTACACACACTATCTAATGAAAAGACCCTATCCTGAGGAGGAGGAGAGTAGTCAGGAAACGCAGTCCAATAGTTGTTCAGTGAATAACGCAATTGATGCGAATTTGCAAAATTACACAAGTATATTTCCAATGCCATCATTCCTTAATATCACTGATATTAAGTATGCTTCTCTTCACATCGAAAATGTTCCACATGTTTCCAGTATAATGATTTATATGTTTCTATACCCAAGTCTGTCCGCCATATTTTGCTGATTGAAAAATGCCTATGGTGCCCTCCGGATCTGCCCGCAACACCTTACTGGCACTTACTTGCATCCGGATACTGAGGTATCTTTGAGTAGTCGAGAACCTCTACAAGCCAAACTAGGAGGTATTTCTGGCCAGGTCATTAATGATTTATTTGAAATAATACACAAGATAGGCAAAGATGGAATTGCACCAAATCTACAGTTCGCAAATCTATCAGATACCGACTGTATCGACTGGTTGGACCGTAGAACAGTTGAAGAAAATTCATGAATTGTGCAATTCCGATCTTTCAGTTTTGACTTTCTCTGCCAGTTCACTGGATGTTCTTCAGTTTTTCTGGGTTAAATGAAAAACTAACCTTTCATGGAAAACGTAGTTGATGTTTTGAACACAACACTTGTGCCAAAATATCTTGGAACAGGACATCTTTCTCGTGATTAAGCCATATCCCACCATACAGTTTTTGCAAAAACATCCTATGGTGCCAACGTAAATTTCATATTGGATAGAACATATATTTATCTAAACAAAAACAGCCATCATGAGTTTCAAAGGGCATCTTATGGGGGGCAAAAGAAAACCAATTATCTAAAATTCATGTCAGTTGTGTTACCTGATATATACGTGATAGACACAACAGGACCATACTGTGGCAGCAATAATGATGCAAGCATTACAAAAATGATCATGGGATAATTTTGATCTTCTAAGATCATGGTTACGTGAAAATGACAATATGATTGTAGACCGTGGTTTCAGGGATGTGCTTGATATCCTTGCCCAGTTGGGCTATGTTGCTAAAATGCCGTCTTTCCTGCCCTCTGGTAAGACTCAACTGGATTCTCAACAAGCTAACGATGATCGTTGCTGTACCAAGGTACGTTGGGTTGTGGAGTCTTACCATGGAAGATTGAAAAAATGGGTACTGTTTAAAGATACACTCACTTCAAATCATCTGATTATAATCATTGGGAAACTTGTACGTATAGTAATCGCAAGCCTGAATGGTTTCAGAGGGCCAATATACGTTTCAGATCCCCAGCGTAAGCAGCGAGACATATAAATTGCAACTCGCATGGTATCTCTTTTGCAAAGAGATAATGCTCTTGTGAAGCAGGTTGCGGAGGACCCAAACATGACTCGTATAGCCACAAATGTGTGACGAAAACTAGAAGCATCAAATGTTTCCTTTCCTCAGTTGAATCTTGAGTACCTTGAAACATTAGCATGTGGTATTTACCAGATCAAACTGTCCCCAGGTTATATTGTTGAGCACCAGTCAAATGAAGGTGACTATGAGATCTGGGTATACCAGCATGCGGATGATCTCATTCGAGGTCAGATTCATTCACGCCACCAGTCACAAACAAAGTACTATGTTTGGATCCAGTTTGAAACAACTGATTCAGATGATCCTATCAAGGCATATTACTGTGTTTGCCCTGCAGGGAAAAGAACGTCCGGCATGTGTGCACATGTTGCATCAATGTTATACTACCTTGGCTATTATAGCCATTAGACAAATCCTAAAATCCTCCAGTCTGCCAGTCGTAAATTCAATGAATCTAGATTGTAAATCAGCCATCCACTTGCGCCAGGTTATTATAGCATCATTCATGTGGTTAAACGTGGGTGATGCCGATGAAAATGGTGTATCTTAAAGAACTGATATGGGCTCTCCAGGCCTCTTACTTTACTTGCAAAGATGTTTTAATTTATCATCTCATTAATGTCATCTCTAAACTTTCTTTATCTCTGTTTCATATTTTGAAGAACAAAAACAAAGATAAGAAATATATCACAACATCATATCAATTACATGACGTCACTTTCGAGATTCTGACTCCACGTAATTAAGCTGCTGATTGACAAACTTATCGGTCACGATTTTTAAACAAAATTTTGGCCGAAAGAGTTTGAAACACTCCTCTTAGGATCAATTTCTGTTCTTAAAATCAAGAATAAATCCCATTTGTCTTTATTTAATTGATGATAACTTTTTTCTTATGCCAAATTTGACAAATAATGTTTGCTTAAAATGATAAATAGATTCCAATGAACAAAATAAGTGGTTATAAGAAGCCTTGCGATGAACCCTTGCCGTGTTATGGAGCCATTTCTGAACTTTACCTTATACCCTCAGTAAATGTCGCAAATTCTATAATAATTCAGGCCCTATGGACCTTTTGAAATCTTTAAGTGTTATTTCAGGGAAGTGGGGTGCTATAAATGCCACGTGGTCCTTTAGAGAAAGATATAGTAGGGCCAAATCAGTAATCTAAACTACACATTACATCACAGAACTCATCAGTGATGCTATGGGCCTAAATGTTGAAACCTGGGAAGCGATTTAGGTGTATTCAAAGTGATCAAAAAAGAAGTCTTAACATAGAAGGGGAGGTCATCAGACCCGTAAAACCTAGAAGAGGAGGTCACTAGCCCCGTAAAACCTAGAAGGGAAGGTCACTAACCCCGTAAAACCTAGAAGGGGAGGTCACTAGCCCCGTAAAATATAGAAGGGGAGGTCACTAGTCCCGTAAAACCTAGAAGGGGAGGTCACTAGCCCCGTAAAATCTAGAAGGGGAGGTCACTAGCCCCATAAAACCTCAAACCTAGAAGGGGAGGTCACTAGCCCCGTAAAACCTAGAAGGGAAGGTCACTAGCCCCGTAAAATCTAGAAGGGCAGGTCACTAGCCCCGTAAAACCTAGAAGGGCAGGTCACTAGCCCAGTAAAACCTAGAAGGGAAGGTCACTAGCCCCGTAAAATCTAGAAGGGGAGGTCACTAGCCCCGTAAAACCTCAAACCTAGAAGGGCAGGTCACTAGCCCCGTAAAACCTAGAAGGGCAGGTCACTAGCCCCGTAAAATCTAGAAGGGGAGGTCACTAGCCCCGTAAAACCTAGAAGGGAAGGTCACTAGTCCCGTAAAACGTTGAAGGGGAGGTCACTAGCCCCGTAAAACCTAGAAGGGGAGGTCACTAGCCCCGTAAAACCTAGAAGGAGAGGTCACTAGTCCCGTAAAACCTAGAAGGGGAGGTCACTAGCCCCGTAAAATCTAGAAGGGGAGGTCACTAGCCCCGTAAAACCTCAAACCTAGAAGGGCAGGTCACTAGCCCCGTAAAACCTAGAAGGGAAGGTCACTAGCAGCGTAAAACCTAGAAGGGAAGGTCACTAGCCCCGTAAAACCTAGAAGGGAAGGTCACTAGCCCCGTAAAACCTAGAAGGGAAGGTCACTAGCCCAGTAAAACCTAGAAGGGAAGGTCACTAGCCCCGTAAAACCTAGAAGGGAAGGTCACTAGCCCCGTAAAACCTAGAAGGGAAGGTCACTAGCCCAGTAAAACACGGGGAGGTCACTAGCCCCGTAAAACCTAGAAGGGGAGGTCACTAATCCCGTAAAACCTAGAAGGGGAGGTCACTAGCCCCGTAAAACCTAGAAGGGCAGGTCACTAGCCCCGTAAAATCTAGAAGGGCAGGTCACTAGCCCCGTGTTTCATAATTCTTAATCTTCAATGAATGTTCCTAATATTTTTCCGGCACTTCACATCGGTATTTCATAATCCTTAGTCATCAGTCATTTTTCTAAATGTTTTTACCGGCACTCCACCACGGTGTTGTCAAGGAGGAATTTGATTTCTGCCTAAATTACTGTCCCAGGAATCCTACACGTGTTTCCTTCATTTGAATATCTATTGTTTTTTTTACTATTAATAATTATCAAATATTATTAGGATTTAACTAATACAAATGTTCTTTAACATCAAAGCAATTCACATATCAATAACAGAATTGCTGAGAATACTCACTTCGAAACTGAAATCGTCGGAGTGCTAGAAAAGAAAGAAGAAAAGAACAATATCATAAAATACTTGTAGACGAACGTTTCTCTTGTGTAATTATTAATAAGTATGACTGATTGACAAGTCGATTTGGCACACCTGCCACGGAGAGATAAGAATGTTGCCGGTAAATACCCGAAAGACAGATGCAGATATTAAGACGTTGTGTTGTTCCTACATACGTTCACAAGATACGCCAATGTCTTTCTCAAGTGCTGATCAAAGAATATCTTTCCTGCAAATGCCAATCTATATCACATGTATAATGTGTTTATGTCCATAGTAATCATTTCAAAGAGAAAGGCACGTGTCTAATAGAGCGGTAACAGAGCGATACATATAGATAATTAGAAATTAAATAATTATGACTGAAGACAACAGTTGGATTTGAATGGAGGTGCCTGTGAGTTGATGTTGTCATTCATTCCAACAATCTATTAGAACACGTGGGATTTTTTCCTCATGAACCAAACCAGAGATAAGACAAATCTAAAGTAAAAGACATATGTTGAGCATTTAAATTACTTCTACAAACGAACTATAAACTTAAAGTAGACTACTTTCATTTTTAACTTACTAAGATGAAGCGTTATTGGATAAGTATGTAATTTTCAAACTCATTTTTGTCAAAATGTGTTAAAATCGCCTAAAAGTTGATACAAATATCCTCTCTATACAATGAAACGTTTCACCCAGAAACAGAGAAATCGTTTAGATATGCGATATTTTTTATATCAAAATGATCCTACAAATTCCTCATTTTCCTAGTAAAATTCATATGAACAAATTTCCTATTTCTGTCTTGAGGAATACGTTAAGTAGAGAAGGCGTGAAGAGTAACTTGTAATGAATTTAAACCTACATGTACGATGCTCTAAAACGTGATTAGAAAACATGACCGCGATACGATTCCGATGTCACGTGTGTAACTATAATGTCACGTGTGTAATTATAATGTAACATTATAATATCACGTGTGTGACTATATTGTAACATTATAATGTCACGCGTGTAATTATAATGTAGCATTACAATGTCACGTGTGTAACTATAATGTAACAATTGACAGGTACACTACACAGATTAGCTTGCCAAATAAGAAGATTTTGATACTGACTTTAAAACAACATTCCACAGCAAATAATGCTATCAGTAATTGTATAATACTAACGCATTTGTATAACTATGTATCTGAAACCTTCATATGTATGACATAAACAACATATATCTTGTTCAGAATTGTTTGTTGGAATAGATTGTTCTCACAGGAGAGTTCCCAAAGTTCTGACATAAGCAATAGATATCTTGTAATACAATCGTCCAAACTTGTTTGTTTTAATCAAAATTTCACACAGGAGAGTTCCCAAAGTTCTGACATCAACAACAGATATCAATTTAAGTTATTGTTTCTCTGATCATGTGTTGAGCCATATAAAATACTATTGTGTAAACGTGTAAATAAAACCATTAACTCCAGAGATGCAATATGTTTATTGTCGTTCCAGACATTGCTCATATTAGAGACTTTGTTTATCAAAGCTGTTGAGCTTACATCCAGATATTCTCGTGAACAAAACAAACTCAGAATTACACTGTTGTACACAATAAAGACTTATTTTTTTCGAAGGCTCTGATTTCACGAGAATGAAATAAAATCGCAAAAATAGCTACCTCCCAAAAAAACAAGCTTAGAAAAACGTTCAATGGCTTATTTCTTAATAACCTAAAAATGATATATATCTATATATATATATAGTATATATTAGTATAACTATAACACCGTTTCTGTTGTGTTTCAGCCTGTGGTCAGTCCGCAGATGTGGTGTTTATGCTGGACTCATCCACGAGTATCGGACAGAGTACTTTCCAGAGAATGAAAACGTATGCAGAAGAGCTCGTGCGTAAGATGAATATCGAGTCATGTGACATCCAAGTCGGTGTCATGAAGTACAGCTCAGCGTCCATGGTGCAATTTAACATAGGAGCATTTAGGTAAACATAATGTAAAAATATTCAAGTGGTCGATTTTTCTGAACAGCAGCATTCTAATTCAATGACACATCTTACTTATGATATGCATTAATTTGATCTAAAGCTGTTAAATGTTCCATTATTTTGATTAAGCATAGGCAGACTAGCTTTCTCCAATAGGTGTTTGTTCTTTTCTTTTAAGTATTGTTTTGTATAAGATAGAAATTAGGAACGTGTCACTTGATAACAAAAAAGATAAATGGTTTATTTTAAACTCCATCGTGATGATTTTTCTTAAGCTGGAAACCATAACATTGACACAAAAATGCCTTTTCATCAATTTTTTGTTCTTTGATACTAAACTTTTAACAGGGACACGGAGACAATTGTCCGCGCTATTGACGCTATACATTATACCAGAGGCCAAGCAAATATGGCGTCTGCCTTCGAAACAGTGCGCGTGAATATGTTCAATACCGGAAATGACAGACCGGATGTGCGCAATATTGCGTATCTACTGACAGACGGCTCGGTGGAGATAAATGCTGACACTACAATGCAGGAAGCTGAATTAGCCATTAATTCCGGCATCAGGATCGTCCCTATCGGAATCGACTTAAGAGTAAAGACAGATGTGGAAAACATCGCCAACGTACAAGGCTCAAACACAATTGAAATCAACGGTGCAGATGGATTACGTAACGGACTGGCGGACCAGGTCTTAAGACCCGTGTTTGAAGGCAAGCATATGCGGATAATATAAATGAATTCAAAGATAAATGTGCTTTAACATCCAGAAAGAAACAAGTTCGATACATTTGTTAATGGGAATTACCATACCGGTTCTCCATGGGTGTAAGAGTGTCTGAATTTTTTTTTACGAATCATAAGTTTTTTCGCTAATTATATTATTATGGTGAACAAGATATCAACAATGTTAGTGTTTTGACAAAAGAGGTAAGTTGGTGACCTCAACCATTTTAGGACTCTGTGACTCATTAATGATTTGCAAAAGATACGCCGTCGTATGATCAATTAATCAAAATTTTCCAATACGTCTAAGTACACGTATCGATGTTGGGTACGGACATCCCATATTGGAAAGTTTACATAGCATGCTAGTTGTTTATCCCATTTGAATTTATAACGTGTTTCCCACGACCACAGAACTTAATGAACCTGTTTTAGCCGACAGTTGCCGTATCATGAATTATGGACAGTATAGGGGAATTGCACATTATAAATTGAGGTTTGTACGAGGAACTCGCCAGTAGTCCATGTTATCTAGGAGATACAGATTTGATTAAGTCGGCGGGCGGCAGCCTTTTCATAGGTTTTTATACGCATTATCATATGTCGCAATACCCCGGCTAAATTGCTAATACGTTACAGGCCTGTTACATCCAATTTATTTTCATTATCTGCAGAGGGCGAATTTTAATGGCCAAATTCTAAGAGTTTAACTATTGTAACAATGGTGCACGGTTTCTCTTGGTTCATGGTTTGTAGAGACTATGCAGAGATTCTCAGTTTCCAAATATAGACAGAATAAGAAGTATACTTAACAATTTTTCCAATTATCTGTTCCAGATGAAAGCTATTGTGACGTGAATCCTTGCAGTAATGGAGGACAGTGTCGTGAAAATGGAAACGGATTTGTGTGTGAATGTGTTCCTGGCTATACTGGTGACACTTGCGAGAAAAGTAGGTATTCAGGCATCCGAACAATTAGAGATTTTTTTCAATTCTACGAACATATTTGTGCTTTTTTTTTTTTTTTTTTTTTGTCATTTGACAAATAATATATTTTTTTTAATCTGATAGTACATTCCTGAAACCAAAAATAAACAGAAAATAAAAGAATGGTAAATATTACATTCTATTTCCATAACAAGCCATACAGATTACTCATCATCGTGTCGCAAATTTCTGTTCTAAAATTTTAATTCTAAGAAATGTTTCAAGCTAGATATAGACAATTCGTCATTTCACAAGGGAGATCTTTTGACACAGGATGTGATGCGGCAGCGGATGTGGTATTTGTGGTGGATACATCCCGCTACGTCAGCCGGAAGGAACTCCGCAGCGTGAAACGATTCCTGCGCAGCGTCATCAAAAGGATGCAGTTCAAACGACACAAGTTCAGAGCAGGCATTGTCAGTTTCGCCAAATACTCCAGAGTCAAACTGACATTAAGTAGGACGTCCAAAAAGAAATCGATCCTGTCTGTGGTGTCTGGTCTAAAGTAATTACTATTAATTTCTTGTCAAATGTTCACGTTTCAGATAGACTCTGTCCACGGCGTCTTGCCTGAAGTAATTTTAAAAATTTACGTTGTATCCTATCAAATGAAGTATTTACGTGTCTAACGGAATACATACAATTTAATTTAATTATGAACAGTACGCAATATTCCGATACTTATGTTAATTTTGTTTTGTGAACATTTAAGTTAATTTCGTTGATTTTATTATTGCTAATTTTCTACGTTATACAAAGTATAATGTCAATGCATCAATATCTACCAATCAACCAATCAATCAATCAATGGTTATCAATAGTGTATTGATATATAGCGTCAACTGCCGTAGTCTTTTAAACGGTAACGTTAAGTACTATAATTGGTCACGTCATGATTAAGCTTATAACCTGAACGGTAAAGTCTTGTTGTTAACTGAAACGTCAGGGTGTTGCCGATAAGGACGGGGTGGTGATGGTTAGGTCGGGCTGTGATGGTTAGGTCGGGGTGATGGTAAGTTCGCAGTGGTGATGGTAAGGTCGGGGTGGTGATGGTAAGGTCGGGGTAGTGATGGTAAGGTCGGGGTGGTGACAGTAAGGTCGGGGTAGTGATGGTAAGGTCGGGGTGGTGACAGTAAGGTCGAGTGTTGATGGTAAAGTCGGAGTGGTGATGGTAAGGTCGGGGTAGTGATGGTAAGGTCGGGATGGTGATAGTAAGGACGGAGGTGGTGATGGTAAAGACGGAGGTGGTGATAGTAAGGTCGGGATGGTGATCGTAAGGCCGGAGTGTCGACGATAATGTCAAGTGGTGACCGTAAGTTCAGGGTGATGATTGTAAGGTCGTGTGGTATTGGTAAGGTCGGGGTGGTGATGTAAGGTCGGGGTGGTGATAGTAAGGTCGGGATAGTGATAGTAAGGCCGGGTTGTTGACGATAAGGTCGAATGGTGACCGTAATGTCAGGGTGGTGATGGTAAGATCGGGTGGTGATGGTATGGTCGGTTGGTGACAGTAAGGTCAATGTGGTGATGGTAAGGTCAGGTGGTGATGGTAAGGACAGGGTGGTGATGGTAAGGTCGGGGTGGTGATAGTAAGGTCAGGTGGTGATGGTTATGTCGGGTGGTGATGCTGAGGTCGGGGTGGTGATGGTAAAATCGGGGTGATGATGGTCAGGTGGTGATGGTTATGTCGGGGTGGTGATGCCGATACACAATGGAAAGGTCCGACCAGCCTGAAGGTCCGTAGTGTTGACCGTAAGGTCGATGGTGATTGTTAGGTCCAGCCCGGCCTGAACCGTACCCACTACCGACCGGCCTGAACCGTACCCACTACCGACCAGCCTGAACCGTACCCACTACCGACCGGCCTGAACCGTACACAATACCGACCAGCCTGAACCGTACCCACTACCGACCAGCCTGAGCCGTACCCACTACCGACCGGCCTGAACCGTACCCACTACCGACCAGCCTGAACCGTACACACTACCGACCGGCCTGAACCGTACACACTACCGACCGGCCTGAACCGTACACAATACCGACCGGCCTAAAACAGTGTAACAGATTTAAAAAAAAAAAGATATAACTTGTTTTAAAGTGTTGTAAATATTATACTTCTTTTTAAGAGTTTTGGTGATGGCTCACAATCAAGGAAATTAATTATTGACGCTTTTTAAAATCTGCATTTTTAAAAATGATTTAAACAAGTTTCCCAACTTGATATTGTATCCTGAGGCAGACCCCACACCGAGGGGCAGAATCAGTTATTATCGTCATATGTTTTCATATAAATCTGTGACCCAAATTAAAAACCAGAGTAAGCTGTTCATCCTGAAATTTTACCTAAGACACGAAGTTTGTAATCTAACACCATTACAATTTGTATATCATTTAAACATGAATGGAAGATGGGACAAGACCTCTGTGAGATGTTAAACACAGCTGAGCGACTCGTGTCACAGAACACAAACAGATTCATTTCTCATTCAAATTGAAAATCACTCATTCATGACTATAAATCTTATCTCCGCTTTCACTGCTATCCATTCAGCGGTAATGTCAATGTTTGAAACCCTGTGGAAGTATATAACCATACATAGTGTTGAATGATAGTCGATGATAATGAAATCTATATATAGATATTCCATTCACAGATATGTACTTTTTTTACACAATTATGCAAAAATTTTACCGGCCAATAATAACTTGGATCGTGGACGCAAATAGAAGCCCGTTTAGGGGTCTTCCTGTCGGTGGAAATGGAGAACGCGCGCGAACGCAGGTGAACCTATATCCTAATGTCTTGCTCGAACACCTGTATTATCCGTGAAGAGGAAAATGACCTATTGACAATCGTGTTAGGACATTGAACTGGACTTTCTTTATTAGTGTAAGGAGTTATAAATAGCATAGTCTCTACAAACCATGAACCAATCAACAGTGTAAAGTGTTTAAATGAATAAAACCGCATTTTTATTTTTAATTAAATATATATAGACTTAAATTTCATTTAAATATGTATTGTACAAAGATCCAAATTTGTCTCTCTGTTGACCCGACATAAAGAACGGGCATGGAATTGATAACCATAAAGAACGGGCATGGAATTGATAGCCATAAAGAACGGGCATGGAATTGATTGCCCCTCCCCCCACCCGCCCTGTGTTTTGAGGAACTGTAAGAAAGAAAATACCGACGCCTTAACATTCTTTTTTCAATTAAAAGTCAAAATTGATGCAATGACACTGCCTAAAGATTTACATGAAAATAAAAACAAAGCGATTTCGATAAATGACTGTCATGACGACATTATGACGTCATTACAATAATTGCATCAGTGAATTTTGTTTTGATAAAGCTTAATGTCGTATTTAGATTATTGCACATCGCATTCATTCTACCTTTATTTTCATATAAAACCATTTCCTTGTGTTTTATTTTTTCATTCTTCAACTTTTTTACGTCAACGTTTACTTAACCAGGAGTAAGGGAGCATATGATCCTAATCCAGCTGAGGCTTTGAGAAAAGCGAACTTGCGCCTACTTCCTAACTCCAGGACACGTATCCCAAGATATGTGGTATTCATTACAAAGAGCATGCGCGACGAGAGCAACGTCATCAAGCAAGCCAACAAGATCAAGATGAGAGGCGTCAGAGTAATGGGAATCGGTACGTGAACTTTCACGCCGTTTCTAAGGCAGTGTAAAATTTGTTACACTTGAACTTCACGTTCTTTGGAAATTATCAGATAAAATATTACATTTATTGAAGTAGGGCGTTATCGTATTAGCTCTATTTTAACTGATTTTCTTCAATCGTTTCCTAGGCTTCAAAGGTTAGGCCCTTGACATCCTAAAAGGACGTAAACGTAATTCACTTGTGTCTATCAAAATACATTAAGTTTTGAAAGAAGTTTAATGATTTCATTTCAATTCTTGTGTTTAAATGACATTACTAGTGATACCTTTTTAAATTTTGAGGAATAGAATATTAAAGAACGTCGAGAAGTTATCGGCTCTGAATTTTCAGCGCTATATTATGACGTCAAAATCATTTAGTCATACTGATATGGTTATTTTATCTCACGGATGACATTCTAAGACTTATATACGTAGCGGCCATGTGAAATAGCTTTATATTCTATCATCTGCTTAATAATTAATGAATCAATGACAACTAAGCAAAAATGACGTCACAATGGGTCTGACATCATAATCATCTATCAACAATAATTGGGTCATATTTCAAGGAAAAGGTAATCGGTAATCAAAAGAAAAAATAAATGAAAGTCTACGGAATATTTATTTTGAAATGATAAAATCGTGCAAAACATAACGTACCTTAATAAAACACTGAAATAAGTTTACGTACAAGAACCTCTGTGTTGATATATGTAATTTCATTTTTTGTTGTCAGGAATTGATCTGAGTACCTCTGATCAGGATTTTATGAAATCTGCTGTCTCCATGCCGCCAAACAAATTCCTACACCTGACAGACAGTGTTGAAGGTCTCACCGACATTTCTGATAGGTTGATGAGTTTCTTGTGTAATGGTATGTACTGGATATCCGATTTACGTCAGCTAATCTATCATAACTTCTCGGTTAAGAGATGTAAAACAAATCGTATATTTCATATGTCTTCAGGTTTTCACCCCGTGAAAAAGTAATTCTGTCTATATCAACCTATTAAAATTAGATCACAGACTCCTTTCATAGAAAAAATCGGATTATGTCATAATGAAATGACGTCATTTTTTGGGTGCTTGCTGCATTTATAAATACCCTATAAACTGGGTCACATTTATAAATACCCTATAAACTGGGTCACATTTATAAATACCCTATAAACTGGGTCACATTTATAAATACCCTATAAACTGGGTCACATTTATAAATACCCTATAAACTGGGTCACATTTATAAATACCCTATAAACTGGGTCACATTTATAAATACCCTATAAACTGGGTCACATTTATAAATACCCTATAAACTGGGTCACATTATAAATACCCTATAAACTGGGTCACATTTATAAATACCCTATAAACTGGGTCACATTTATAAATACCCTATAAACTGGGTCACATTTATAAATACCCTATAAACTGGGATCACATTTATAAATACCCTATAAACTGGGTCACATTTATAAATACCCTATAAACTGGGTCACATTTATAAATACCCTATAAACTGGGTCACATTTATAAATACCCTATAAACTGGGTCACATTTATAAATACCCTATAAACTGGGTCACATTTATAAATACCCTATAAACTGGGTCACATTTATAAATACCCTATAAACTGGGTCACATTATAAATACCCTATAAACTGGGTCACATTTATAAATACCCTATAAACTGGGTCACATTTATAAATACCCTATAAACTGGGTCACATTTATAAATACCCTATAAACTGGGTCACATTTATAAATACCCTATAAACTGGGTCACATTTATAAATACCCTATAAACTGGGTCACATTTATAAATACCCTATAAACTGGGTCACATTCATAAATACCCTATAAACTGGGTCACATTTATAAATACCCTATAAACTGGGTCACATTTATAAATACCCTATAAATTGGGATCACAATTATGACTTGTAATATGCTTCATTGCGAGTAAATATAAGAGAATGTTAAGCATTCCATTGAAAAAGCCAAAAACCAACATGTCCGAGGAGATTATGAATTTTAAAGTCGCCATACACTGCACTTTAACCAAAAACATATTGTCTTGGGGAACAGTTGACTTAAAACATTCGGTTATCTCGCTTTTCAATAGATAGGTCATTAAACATTTCTTGCAAGGTTTTTTTTTCACAATTCAAAGTTTTTTATCATGAGTTATCATATCACTTTGTTATTTCGAACTATTATAACTCGACGACCCTGTATAATTCGAACTATTTTGTCTGTCCCGACCAAAGTTTTTACTAAACATTCTATATTATTGAAATCAAATAATCGAATAACTCGAAGTTTACCCATGGCACCGCCGACATCGAGATAACGAGATTCGACTGCATATTATTTGGTGAAAGGATCATTGCATATATGGAACACGTTCATGTAAGATACATGTTAAGAATTACAGAAAAAAATATTCAACATCTTTATAGACTTGTCCACGTGTATTGCATTAATTCAAACGGTTCATTGACATATTGATCACGTGATTCTGTCGGAAGTGATGCGTTGATATGAACATTTACCCTTATGGTGCTCAACCGGTCAAACTAAATCAATAATATTATATGTTGTGACACCGAGTAAACCATCTTTTGATTTCTGACACAAATGATATAAACTCGTTTATTTCAGTTCCTATTTATATGAGAAAGACCACTGATAATTACTGTGAATATCCTCTCCACAGATTTCAGTTTGAAAATTCACCAAGCCAGCTTATCACATTCTGTGCCCCTTTCGTACATCCTCAATCTCCGGCTGTAGCGCCAGATGACGTTCGAACCAAAATTATCATACAGAAAATAAATATATATATGTTGGTTTTGGTAAATATGTCGCCCAAAACGGTTTCTTCTGTTGAACGACGATGGGTTTGACTTACTGTCTATAAACATGGGCAACGTGCACTCGAAAAGGTTAAAGTTGACAGGAAGTGGAAGAAAGCGCGGGACACAGAGATTTTAAGTTGACCGGAAGTCTCCAGAGGAGGAAAGCAGGGGACATAGGTTTTTTTTAAATTGACGGGAAGTCTCCAGAGGCGGACAGCGGGGGACATATAGAGATTTCTTTTAAAGTTGACGGGAAGTCTCCACGGGTTAGAGTTAGGGAAGGAAATCTGATTTAGGACATTTTTATTGGTATACGGAATGTTTTTTGTTTATCTCATGATACGATTTCAATAAACATATTCCATATCTGAAATAAAACATAACTTTTCATTCTAGAAAACGATCCTTGTTCCGACAACCCATGTCAGCACCGAGGTGAATGCGTAAGCGCCCATGGAGAATACTATTGTAAATGCCCAAGAGGGTATGCCGGCAAACACTGTGACATATGTAAGTTACTGTTATGATTATTCAAATGTAATGGGGATAATCATGATAGTCAAACCACAATTCACTTGAGTACTGTTATGAAACCAGAACGAATAATAGATACATATTATTATATCAATGGGTTATCATACTTCGAAAGTTCTTTTTTAATATTTGAAATCTCTTAAGAATCTGACTGTATGAACATTCCACTTCCCTTTAAAAAATATTTTCTGCTGTCTCACGTTCTCGTTATATCATATGCGCTTATTACTCGTTACAGCTTGTCCAGCGAAGGCAGACATCGCTTTCGTCCTTGATGCATCCGGAAGTGTTGGTGCACAGAACTTCCGGCGAGTGAAGCATTTCGTCACTAAGGTGATCGACGAGCTGGCGATTGGATATGACGTCGCGCGAGTTGGCGCGGTTTCCTACAGTTCAAAAAGCTACATGGGATTCTACATGGACCAGTACAATAGTAAAGAGGATATTAGCAACGCTATCGCAGCTCTGGGTTATGAGTATGGAAACACAAACACTGCGGCAGGTCTCCGTATGGCTAGAACTCGTATATTGACGGAAAAGCGAGGAGATCGACCAAACGTCAGAAATTATGGTTTGTTAATCAGTTTATAATAATTTATTGTTAACAATCGATATCTGTATATTTATTTTGACTGATTAAGAATTTAACATTTAGACCCCTAGCATCACGGAAAAGTTCTCCTGTGACAAGCGGCTGGAGAATGCCTGCATGCTCCGCATATAAACCTACTATATTTTGTCGGGCCGTATTTGTTTCTTTTGCCATTTAGTACAGATAGTCAATATTTAAATTAGTAAATGTCTTTGAAACAGTGATTTCCACCTATTTCAATAAATTTCCGTTTCTCTTTTTCACTCTTAAGCCAGATGAGTCCACATTGAAATTATCTTATTTCTTTTCCGCATCTTGGCGAAGCGAGACTAACCTTTGTAGTGATATTAAAACAAAGGGTTCATTGAAAAGCGTCTTCATGATAAGCATATTTTAGAGATGGTCGCTTCGAATTGAGCAGAATTCCTAAAAAAATATTTTTGTGTTACAGTTGTCGTGGTTACAGACAGCATTTCTAATGTGAATCAGGAGAAGACTCTACCGGAAGCAAAGAAATTGAAGGACGCTGGTGCGCATGTCTTTAGTGTGGGTATCGGGAGCTTTGACCAGTACGAACTCAGAGCTATGGCATCCGAGCCCGCAGACTCTAATACTTTCGTCTTCAACGATTTTGTTAGTTTAGCTAACTTCTCTCAGACGTTCGTCCGGGCAACCTGTGTGTCAGGTATGTATTAATAACACAGTCTCGGTTTAACTTATCTTAAGACAGTTATTCTCACTGGTTTTTTTTTTATTATTTATTTATTTATCATTATTTTTTATTGCTATTTCCAATGATTTAGAACATTAACTACAACTAAAAAGCTGAAATCACAGCGAATGATAGAGACCCGTAAGATCAATCTAGCTTCAAACTTTTGTGAAAATCAAACAATGTTCTCGTTTGGGTATCTTTTTTTAGTTGACTTTCCTATCGCCTAGAGAGAAAAATTTTAATTATGTTAAACAGTTGTTAACTAAAGCGCTTTACGTTATATATTAACAATGATGAAATTGATTTATTTATTTATTTATGTATTATCGCCATGAAAATAACATTTCAATCTGTTTAAAAGTTTTTAATCAAAAAACGTTCCGTTAGAGATTAATAATAATGATATAATTATCATATTCTCTTCCAATACACATTTAATTGATCTGTGTGACGTAATGAGCTGCCTACAGAATCCGTCTGTGTGACGTCATGGGATATTTACAGAATCTGTCTGTGTGACGTAATGAGCTGCTTACAGAATTCGTCTGTGTGACGTCATGAGAAGTTTACAGAATCTGTATGTGTGACGTCATGAGTTGCCTACAGAGTCTGTTTTTGTGACGTTTCGAATGGTTTATTTTTGCCTTATTTTGTCTAATTATTTCCTGAATCTGTCTTTGTGACGTTTCTTCGTCTAATGTTACGTATTATTTTTAGAATCTGAGCTGTGTGACGTCACGAGTTCTTTTTGTCTAATGTAACGTCTTTTTTTCAGAATCCGTATTGTGTAACGTCAACAAATGTAAAAATGGAGGAGTGTGTGTACCAGGAGTAAATTCATTTTCCTGTAAATGTCCTCGTGGATTTAACGGACCGACTTGTGAGATGGGTAAGTACAATAAGATGTAATTAAAAACCATGTATACTTTTTAGTTGTGCTGTAAGTTTCTGTAACTCGATGTCTAATTAAGTACAAGAAATATATCTCTTACCAGATAAACTTACTGTAAAATAACTTATTTTCGTGGGGATCAAACTTTATGGTTTTAAAATATATACAATTTTGTTGACATTTGATTTCTTTGATAAATCGAAACATCCGTTAGTGTTATAATACATGTAACATTCCGTAGACATATAAATCCGCCTATCAAGAGTGGCTACGAGTTCAACGAAAATAAAACCCTTATGAAAAATAATGTTTTTGCATTAATTCAAAACATTCATATTTTCGCGTCGATATTTATATGGTGTTCCAAATTTCAATAAAGTGATAGAAATGAATTAGATTTTCAACATTCTGGCATCGTGAGATATTTTTATTTTGATAGGACAGTTATTTATAAATTTAAATGCATTTGACTTGTTTTCCATATCTTGTCCTTTAATTTGACCATTCAGATTGCCCTACGTTCTTGGTCTGACGTTCGTCCGTATTTGACCATTCAGATTGCCCTACGTTCTTGGTCTGACGTTCGTCCGTATTTGACCATTCAGATTGCCCTACGTTCTTGGTCTGACGTTCGTCCGTATTTGACCATTCAGATTGCCCTACGTTCTTGGTCTGACGTTCGTCCGTATTTGACCATTCAGATTGCCCTACGTTCTTGGTCTGACGTTCGTCCGTATTTGACCATTCAGATTGCCCTACGTTCTTGGTCTGACGTTCGTCCGTATTTGACCATTCAGATTGCCCGACGTTCTTGGTCTGACGTTCGTCCGTATTTGACCATTCAGATTGCCCTACGTTCTTGGTCTGACGTTCGTCCGTATTTGACCATTCAGATTGCCCTACGTTCTTGGTCTGACGTTCGTCCGTATTTGACCATTCAGATTGCCCTACGTTCTTGGTCTGACGTTCGTCCGTATTTGACCATTCAGATTGCCTTACGTTCTTGGTCTGACGTTCGTCCGTATTTGACCATTCAGATTGCCCTACGTTCTTGGTCTGACGTCCGTCCGTATTTGACCATTCAGATTGCCCTACGTTCTTGGTCTGACGTTCGTCCGTATTTGCTATTGCAATTTTTTGAGAAGCGGCGAATAGATCAAATGATTCAAATCCAATACGTCGATTCCTCTTGGCCCCCTAAATGTGTCCGTTTGAATTTTAGACTGATCAGAAAAAGAAAATGGCTGACAGGTGGTCATATTGTATTTTGACGATGAACGTTTGTTATCACTATTTCTTAAGTAGTCGGATCTTTCTCAAATGTGTAGGTTCCCCTTGATCCTTCGTTATGCCCGTTTAATCCTAGGGCCGATAACAAGTTGGCTGATTGGATTTTGACGACAGTTTGTTGTCGCTATGTTATAAAGTAATAGATGGATCGTTTTCAGATTCATTTATAGGTTTTCCTAGGTCCCAGGTTTTGCCCCTTTAATTTGAGATTGATTAGCAAAACAAAATGGCTAAAAGGTGGCCATATTGGATTTTGACAATGAAATATTGTTATCACTATTTCCTGAGAAGAACTGGAGGGATCTGTCTTAAATTTCATATGCATATTCTTCTTGATCCCTTTTAGTTTATTTTTTTTATTATGGAACTGATTAGAAAAACAAAAATGGCTGAAACGCTACCATCTCAGGTTTGACAGTCAGAGATTTTCGCTGTTTCTTAAAAGGTATTTTATATTTTCATATAAGTAAGAGGAGGACAGAAAGGATGAGAAAGATTGATTCAACTTTTAAAGAGCCAGTAAAGATCAAACTACGATGTGCGCCAAGATCCCTCTGGGATCTCTAGTAATTATTTTTTGACATTTGACTTATCTTCTGTAATATTTACTTATATATCATTACCTATTTCAGAATGCATCACGAAGAAGGATGTGGTGTTTGTTCTGGACTCGTCATCAAGTGTCGGAAAAGCAAACTATCAGACCATGTTGGACTTCGTCAAGGCCTTGGTAGAGGAACTGGCTGGTGCTTCATTCAACAACCGCTTCGGTATGATCGTTTATAGCACTGATGTCCGTCTTATCTTCAGTCTTGGTAGATATAAAGATGCTGCAACAATAGGAAACTCCGTCGGGGGGACTCGGTATTATCCGGGATCTACGAATACCGCCGGTGGCCTCCGAACGGCATTGGAGATCCTGACGAATGCCTATGGAGCTAGACGAGACGCCGACGATATCGTTATTCTAATCACGGATGGCCAGTCAAATGTTAACTCTCATGATACCATCCCGGCTGCTGAAGAGCTAAAGGGCACAGGCGCACGTGTACTGACCATCGGAATAGGGCTAACAGATTATAGTGAGATAGCCCAGATTGCTTCTACACCAGAAGATGTCTTCAAGGTGTCAAACTACAACGTGCTACATGATATTAAGTCTGATATTCTGGACAGTTCATGTAGCAACAACGGCTACAGTGGTAAATGATTGCGTCTGATCTGTTAAACTGATCTGTCAAATCTGATCTGTTACACTGATCTGTCAAATTTGATCTGTCACATTTGATCTGTTAAATGTGATCTGTCTAACCTGATCTGTTAAATCACGGTTATACGTGTAGATAAATGACAATGTTATATTGGTTTTATAGTATCGCTTGATTGATCATGAATGGAATGTGACAGAGAGTAATTAATGTTTCCAAAGTACATACTGTTTGCTAGTATAATCCGGTGCTACGTTAGCTGAGTTGTCGTTCTTAGTTCGTTATAAAATTGTCCTTTACAGACTTGAACCATAGTTAAAATGTTGCTATTCAATCAGGTTTTCTAAGAAACAAAAAGTTGACTATCAGATGACTATACTAATTGGATGTTAAAACTAAAGTGAACGTTTTCTTTTTGTATACAAATAATGCGTTAAACTGGATCTGTTTTTATAATTGAAATATCAATTTTTCAAACCAATTTCGAATTAATTGCTTGAAATATCTAAGAAGATGTGATATTTTTAACTTGTGTACGAAATCCACTATAGACTTATTTGGACACTCGCTCGTGCTGTTGTTCGTATGTGGATGTGATTTTTTAAATATGCAATGTTTTGTTTTGCCAGTATAATACCAATCAAAATATCATTTTTTCATTATATTTTAGCACATATTACGTATGATAGATAATGTGAATTCCATGAAATATATAAATACTAAATATTACTTTACTATTTAACCGGAAATGACGTCATGTCACTTCCGGTGATGTGTATATTGACATGTGTTTATACAAGCGGTGTACTATAGGATTTTGTAAGATTGCAAATCCACTTCAAATATATATGTTGAGAGTATGTTTTACTTATATAATATATAGATATATATATAATATTTAATACTCTTACTAGTACTGATATTAATTACACTGTAGATATAGGTATATCATCGGCACCCCCAAATGATTTCCACGCGGTATTAGATTTCATATAAATCAAAAAGGGCCCATTTGTCCAAATAGATGTTAACGCCGAGACAATAAAAACACACACAAAATAAACAAACAAATAAATTCAAATAGAAATCACTTTTCGGATAATAAATTTATCAATGTGACGCTCAAAAATATATCTGCATGAAAATAATTGCAAATTGGAATTATAATGTCATTTCCGTTTTTAAAAAAATACATTGATCGATGAAATACAAGGATATGTGCAGGTTTGATGACGTCATATCTGTATTGAAAGAATCATCTGTTAAGATAGAATAAATCATGGCTCCTTTACAAATGTAATTAAAAAAAAAACGTCAGCCATCGTTTTGATATTTCAGTGTTCTGTTAAATATTATTTGAACAGCTTGGCCCTATTTTAAGTATTGCTCATTGTAAGAGATGTATGAATACTTACAACCAAACATTCCTAGTTCAGTAGTTTTATAGTTAAAATCAATAGCATGCGAATCATATCAGCTATAATTAATTCTTAAAAGATAATGACAAAACAAAATTATTAAGATTCCGCAAAAACGTTTTCTACGCAAATAATAGTTACTGTTGTCTACCTTAAATACTAGTAATGAATCACATGACGTGAAAAGAAATCATATGACCTGGGTAACGTGACCAGGGTGCAGATGGATGATGTGTAGTGTATGCTTTCTAATCAATTTCTAACACTGATAAACGACTATAGCTAACCAGAACGAAACATGAATCATTTTACTGGTTTGTAATAAAAACATAACTTTTTATAATCATATTTGCGTTGTCTTTTCATATTCTGTCTCTCTCTCTCTCTCTCTCTCTCTCTCTCTCTCTCTCTCTCTCTCTCTCTCTCTCTCTCTCTCTCTCTCTCTCTCTCTCTCTCTCTCTCTCTCTCTCTCAAAATTGTAAAAAAAAAAAACCGTGTGGAAGACACCTGCAATTGATAGTCAACTCAAATCTTCCCCGACCACCTCCCTAAGAATTACAAACATATAGTTCAATGATCAATGTCGGAGTCACCAAAACTCTAGAGAAAAACGAACAAACTCTGGCGAAAAAAAACCCTGAACATTTGACCGGAATTTAACTAAAATCTGTAAAGCCATAGATTGAACCCAAACATCAAGCTTCAACCTCCGAACATACCAGGTTGTGGACAAAATATATAATTGAATGTCAAGCAGTGATTCAAACTTCATCTGTTTCCCTACAGGATGAAGTCTAACGTCAAATTGAAATCATATCACCATTAAATACAAACAGTGTACATACCACATATATAAACATAGACAATCAACTACAGTGTACATACCACATATATAAACATAGACAATCAACTACAGTGTACATACCACATATATAAACACGGACAATCAACTACAGTGTACAAACTACTGTGTACATACCACATATATAAACACGGACAATAAACTACAGTGTACATACCACATATATAAACACGGACAATAAACTACAGTGTACATACCACATATATAAACACGGACAATAAACTACAGTGTACATACCACATATATAAACACGGACAATAAACTACAGTGTACATACCACATATATATACAATGACAATAAACTACAGTGTACATACCACATATATAAACACGGACAATAAACTACAGTGTATATACCACATATATAAACAGAGTCAATAAACTACATTGTACATACCACATATATAAACAGGGACAATCAACTACAGTGTACAAACTACTGTGTACATACCACATATATAAACACGGACAATCAACTACAGTGTACAAACTACTGTGTACATACCACATATATAAACACGGACAATCAACTACAGTGTACAAACTACTGTGTACATACCACATATATAAACAGAGACAATAAACTACAGTGTACATACCACATATATAAACACGGACAATAAACTACAGTGTACATACCACATATATATACATAGACAATCAACTACGGTGTACATACCACATATATAAACACGGACAATAAACTACAGTGTACATACCACATATATAAACATAGACAATCAACTACAGTATATAAACAGAGACAATAAACTACAGTACATACCACATATATAAACATAGTGTACAATATATATACAACTACTGTGTACATACCACATATATAAACACGGACAATAAACTACAGTGTACATACCACATATATAAACAGAGACAATAAACTACAGTGTACATACCACATATATAAACACGGACAATAAACTACAGTGTACAAACTACAGTGTACATACCACATATATAAACACGGACATTAAACTACAGTGTACAAACTACTGTGTACATACCACATATATAAACACGGACAATCAACTACAGTGTACATACCACATATATAAACAGAGACAATAAACTACAGTGTACATACCACATATATAAACACGGACAATAAACTACAGTGTACATACCACATATATATACATAGACAATCAACTACGGTGTACATACCACATATATAAACACGGACAATAAACTACAGTGTACATACCACATATATAAACATAGACAATCAACTACAGTGTACATACCACATATATAAACACGGACAATAAACTACAGTGTACATACCACATATATATACATAGACAATCAACTACGGTGTACATACCACATATATAAACACGGACAATCAACTACGGTGTACATACCACATATATAAACACGGACAATAAACTACAGTGTACAAACTACAGTGTACATACCACATATATAAACAGAGACAATAAACTACAGTGTACATACCACATATATAAACACGGACATTAAACTACACTGTACAAACTACAGTGTACATACCACATATATAAACATAGACAATCAACTACAGTGTACATACCACATATATAAACATAGACAATCAACTACGGTGTACATACCACATATATAAACACGGACAATAAACTACAGTGTACATACCACTACAGTGTACATACCACATATATAAACACGGACAATAAACTACAGTGTACATACCACATATATAAACATAGACAATCAACTACGGTGTACATACCACATATATAAACACGGACAATAAACTACAGTGTACATACCACATATATATACATAGACAATCAACTACGGTGTACATACCACATATATAAACACGGACAATAAACTACAGTGTACATACCACATATATAAACACGGACAATAAACTACAGTGTACATACCACATATATAAACAGAGACAATCAACTACGGTGTACATACCACATATATAAACATAGACAATCAACTACAGTGTACATACCACATATATAAACACGGACAATAAACTACAGTGTACATACCACATATATAAACATAGACAATCAACTACAGTGTACATACCACATATATAAACATAGACAATCAACTACGGTGTACATACCACATATATAAACAGAGACAATCAACTACAGTGTACATACCACATATATAAACACGGACAATAAACAGTACAGTATATAAACATAGACAATCAACTACATACCACATATATAAACACGGACAATACATACCACATATATATAAACACGGACAATAAACTACAGTGTACATACCACATATATAAACACGGACAATAAACTACAGTGTACATACCACATATATAAACACGGACAATAAACTACAGTGTACATACCACATATATATACAATGACAATAAACTACAGTGTACATACCACATATATAAACACGGACAATAAACTACAGTGTACATACCACATATATAAACACGGACAATAAACTACAGTGTACATACCACATATATAAACACGGACAATAAACTACAGTGTACAAACTGCTGTGTACATACCATATATATAAACACGGACAATCAACTACAGTGTACATACCACATATATAAACACGGACAGTAAACTACAGTGTACAAACTACAGTGTATATACCACATATATAAACAGAGACAATAAACTACAGTGTACATACCACATATATAAACACGGACAATAAACTACAGTGTACAAACTACAGTGTATATACCACATATATAAACAGAGACAATAAACTACAGTGTACATACCACATATATAAACACGGACAATCAACTACAGTGTACAAACTACTGTGTACATACCACATATATAAACACGGACAATCAACTACAGTGTACATACCACATATATAAACACGGACAATCAACTACAGTGTACATACCACATATATAAACACGGACAATAAACTACTGTGTACATACCACATATATAAACACGGACAATAAACTACAGTGTACAAACTACAGTGTACATACACATATATAAACAGAGACAATCAACTACAGTGTACATACCACATATATAAACACGGACAATAAACTACAGTGTACATACCACATATATAAACATAGACAATCAACTACGGTGTACATACCACATATATAAACACGGACAATAAACTACAGTGTACAAACTACTGTGTACATACCATATATATAAACACGGACAATCAACTACAGTGTACATACCACATATATAAACACAGTGTACATACCACATATATAAACACGGACAATCAACTACAGTGTACAAACTACTGTGTACATACCACATATATAAACACGGACAATAAACTACAGTGTACATACCACATATATAAACACGGACAATAAACTACAGTGTACATACCACATATATAAACACGGACAATAAACTACAGTGTACATACCACATATATAAACATAGACAATCAACTACAGTGTACAAACTACTGTGTACATACCACATATATAAACACGGACATTCAACTACGGTGTACATACCACATATATAAACACGGACGATAAACTACAGTGTACATACCACATATATAAACATAGACAATCAACTACAGTGTACATATCACATATACAAACACGGACAATAAACTACAGTGTACATACCACATATATAAACATAGACAATCAACTACAGTGTACATATCACATATATAAACACGGACAGTAAACTACAGTGTACATACCACATATATAAACACGGACAAAAAACTACAGTGTACATACCACATATATAAACACGGACAATAAACTACAGTGTACATACCACATATATAAACACGGACAACCAACTACAGTGTACATACCACATATATAAACACGGACAATAAACTACAGTGTACATACCACATATATAAACACGGACAATCAACTACAGTGTACATACCACATATATAAACACGGACAATAAACTACAGTGTGCATACCACATATTTAAACACGTTCAAAATATTTTCATTCCTACAAGTAGAGTAGGACTTTATATAACTTGATCTCTTTCCCCCAGTGAGTTTACATTAAACAATGTCATGCTCAAAAATGGGATTTTTCTATCAAAATCATCGTAAAGTTTATATCCTCCCATAGAGAAATGCCAAATCTATTTTGGTAAAGCACCTCAAGACTCTTCCATCCATTGGGCTCCACCCCTACGTGTCAGTTAGGATCGGGCATACCATCAAGGTGTCCTCCTTCGCTTGTAATTTAAACCAAGTTTGAAATATTTACAATGAAAATTAAACACATGTTGCTCAAAATCCTACTTTGCACTATAGGGAATATAGGGAACTACCCCCTCCCCACAGGGAAATTTGAGACCCTGGGGTCATGAAATTCACAATTATAGTACAGAACCTACAAACGCTTCCATGCATGAAGAGCAGTTGATTTTACCATGTCTGGGTGTGGAGAAGAATTTTGTTTTATCTGAGTCAACTTTACTCCTTTTGGCCCTGCCTTTTAGTCTATAGGGGTCAGCCACGATCAATATGTGCATACCATCAAACCGTCACCCTTTGCTCATAATTCTAATCAAGTATGAAATATTCTCAATGAAAATTGAACAAACTATGCTCAAAAAATTATTTTTCCTCAATAAACAATAGTAAACTTTGCCCCCTTCTCAAGGGTAAATGCGAGACCCTGGGGCCATGAAATTTACAAGTTTGATAAAGCACCTTACGAGGCTTCCAACCATGAAGAGCAGTTGATTCTACCATACCTGGGTGGTGAGACACTTTTGGCCCCGATCATCAGGCCCGTGTGAGTTGGTGACTCGTTGCTGGAGTCCTTATGTGGAACCTTAAACAATACCTGGAGTCCTGATGTGGAACCCTTACCAATACCTGGAGTCCTGATGTGGAACCCTAAACAAAACCTGGAGTCCTGGCGTGGAACCCTAAACAATGCCAGGAGTCCTGGTGTAGAACCCTTAACAAAACCCGAGGTCCTGGTGTGGAACCCTAAACAAAACCCGGAGTCCTTATGTGGAATCCTAAACAAGAGGCCCAAGGGGTCTTAACGGTTACCTGAGGAATATATGTCAATAATCTGGGGATTTTAAAATGTTGCAAAAATGTAACACTTGTGCAGGACCATGTGTAAAACATGTGTACCAAGTTTGAACATGACCCACCCAATGGTTCTTGAGAGGAAATCAATAATGTCTTAGCCAAACAGAGGCCAGTGTGGCCATCTTGGATTTTGAATCGCCCCAAAAAGTTAAAACACTTGCCAGGACCTTGTGTAGAACATTCGTACCAAGTTTCCCCTTTTCCCCCCTCCTGGGGCCACACCCTTTTTCTTCGCAAACTTTAAGCGGTTTCCCATGGGGATGCTTTGTGCCAAGTTTGGTCAAAATCAATCCACTGGTTCTTGAAAAGTGGTCATTTAATGAAGGTTTTTACATATGGCCCCTTTTACACCCCTTATGGGCCCCAAAGGTGACATTATCACTTTTTTCAACATAATTTCATATGTCCTTCACTAAGGGATGCTGTCTACCAAATTTCGTTAAAATCGGTTAAAGTTGAATTTTCGACCCTTTTAAGCGCCCCCTAGTTGGGTCGTTTTTGACCCGTTTTTTTTTTTCATTCTTAAACTTTGTAGACCTTGCCATAAGGACCCTATATATCAAATAGGAACTTAATCTGACAGTTCATGAGAAGATTTTTAAAGATTAACCTAATTTTACCCCCTTTTTTTCCCCCTCCTCCGGCCCCTATTGGGGCTACACCCTTTTTCTTCGCAAACTTGAAGCGGCTTTCCATGGGGATGCTTTGTGCCAAGTTTGGTCAAAATCCATTCAGTGGTTCTTGAGAAGAAGTCGAATATGTGAAAAGTTAACGACGCACGACGACAGACAAATCATGATGGCTCAGGCGACCTAACAAAACCTGGAGTCCTCATGTGGAACCCTAACCAATACCTGGAGTACTGATGTAATATCTAAAACAAAACCAGGAGTCCTAGGGTGGTACCCTAACACTATCAGGAGTCGTGGGGTGTTACCCTAACATTATCTGGAGTCATGGGGTGGTACCCTAACACTATCAGGAGTCCTGTGGTTGTACCCTAACACTATCTGGAGTCGTGGGGTGGTACCCCAACACTATGAGGAGTCGTGGGGTGTTACCCTAACACTATCTGGAGTCATGGGGTGGTACTCTTAACACTATCTGGAGTCCTGGGGTGGTACCCTAACACTATCTGGAGTCCTGTGGTGGTACCCTAACACTACCTGGAGTCCTGTGGTGGTACCCTAACACTATCTGGAGTCCTGGGGTGGTACCCTAACACTACCTGGAGTCCTGTGGTGGTACCCTAACACTATCTGGAGTCCTGGGGTGTTACCCTAACACTATCTGGAGTCATGGGGTGGTACTCTTAACACTATCTGGAGTCCTGGGGTGGTACCCTAACACTATCTGGAGTCCTGGGGTGGTACCCTAACACTACCTGGAGTCCTGTGGTGGTACCCTAACACTACCTGGAGTCCTGTGGTGGTACCCTAACACTACCTGGAGTCCTGTGGTGGTACCCTAACACTATCTGGAGTCCTGGGGAAGGGTTTTACTGGAATAGCCCATACCAAGTGCATCGCTCCTGACAGATAACTACACACAAAGTTTCATTGTCTTGACATTTATTTATAATCTGTCGAGTTTAACGTGGTCCAGCTGGAGCACCGCCACCGCTGCCACCACCACCGCCGCCACTTCCTCCGCCGCCACCACCGGCAGCTCCACCTGGTCTTGGGGCATTCCCGTCCTGTCAAGTAAAGGGAAACAACTCATATACTAGGAACAGAGTAAACTTAGCTTCATTGGCTGCAGTCATGTAAAAGCTGGATAAGTATCTCAGCCACCTGTCTGCCTTTTTGTTTATGATCAGTCTATAAATAGAGCGAGGGCCGCTAATGACCAAGGAAACTCTAATGATAAAATTTGCTATTGATCCAGTACTTCATAAGAAATAATGATAAAAATTTACAACGGCCAAAATCAAATAAAAATGAAACACTAGGAATTTATCAGGAACCTCACTATAATTTTTCAGAAACAGACGTAAACTTTTTGTGTGTCCTCATGCTCCTCAACGACAACCAAGAAGTTTGAAACTTTCCAGTGTTTTGGTCTTTGTTAAGAAGTGTACTCATGAATGTGAAACTTTTTAGTCAAAATCCTAAAGTGAAAATTGCCATCACCCTGGAAAATGCCATTGGCTATTACCAATTGATGAGAATTTGATCTGCATAATATACAACTGCACACCAAATTAGTTTTATATTGGTATCCCTTAAAAAATATGAATGGTAATGATTCTATTACAGAATGATGGCAACACACTAGGTACAAGTACAAAATGGGAGGGCATGAAATTCAGCATCAGTGTCAAAGATGTCAAAAATGGTGACTTACAGCTGCTACAATTTTTAAAATCTAAGTGTAAAACGTTTTGAGGAAGATTATATCTTATCACACGTTTAAGAATGGACGAAAACCAATAATCCAGTATCTCAAGCTGAAACATCCCGTTGTTAACTGTCATAGTGTGAAGTACACACAATATAAGGTTTTAAGAATACTCTTTGGTATCTAACTGCACTTTATTGTGGTTTTAGGATGGTACACCATCCAATCTGTACTTTATTGTGGTTTTAGGATGGTACACCAACCAATCTGTATTTTATTGTGGTTTTAGGATGGTACACCAACCAATCTTACTTTGTGGTTTTAGGATGGTACACCAACCAATCTGTATTTTATTGTGGTTTTAGGATGGTACACCAACCAATCTGTATTTTATTGTGGTTTTAGGATGGTACACCATCCAATCTGTACTTTATTGTGGTTTTAGGATGGTACACCAACCAATCTGTATTTTATTGTGGTTTTAGGATGGTACACCAACCAATCTGTATTTTATTGTGGTTTTAGGATGGTAAACCAACCAATCTTACTTTATTGCGGTTTTAGGATGGTACACACTCCAATTTGCACTTTAGTGTGGTTTATGATTGCAATCCACCCAATTTATATTTAAGTGTGGCATACCATCCTATCTTTACTTTAGTGTGGTTTTAGTGTGGTGACCCATCAAATCTATACTTTAGTGTGGTTTTAGTGTGGTGACCCATCCAATCTATACTTTAGTATGGCATACCATCCAATCTTTACTTTAGTATGGTGACCCATCCAATCTATACTTTAGTGTGGTTTTAGTGTGGCATACCATCCAATCTTTACTTTAGTGTGGTGACCCATCCAATCTATACTTTAGTGTGGCATACCATCCAATCTTTACTTTAGTGTGGTGACCCATCCAATCTATACTTTAGTATGGCATACCATCCAATCTTTACTTTAGTGTGGTGACCCATCCAATCTATACTTTAGTGTGGTATACCATCCAATCTTTACTTTAGTATGGCATACCATCCAATCTTTACTTTAGTGTGGTTTTAGTGTGGTGACCCATCCAATCTATACTTTAGTGTGGTTTTAGTGTGGTGACCCATCTAATCTATACTTTAGTGTGGTGACCCATCCAATCTATACTTTAGTGTGGCATACCATCCAATCTTTACTTTAGTATGGCGTACCATCCAATCTTTACTTTAGTGTGGTTTTAGTGTGGTGACCCATCCAATCTATACTTCAGTGTGGTGACCCATCCAATCTATACTTTAGTGTGGTTTTAGTGTGGTGACCCATCTAATCTATACTTTAGTGTGACGTACCATCCAATCTATACTTCAGTGTGGTGACCCATCCAATCTATACTTTAGTGTGAATTTAGTGTGGCGTACCATCCAATCTATACTTTAGTGTGACGTACCATCCAATCTATACTTCAGTGTGGTGACCCATCCAATCTATATTTTAGTGTGAATTTAGTGTGGCGTACCATCCAATCTATACTTTAGTGTGGTGACCCATCTAATCTATAGTGTGTGACGACCCATCCAATCTATACTTTAGTGTGATGACCCATCCCATCTATACTTTTGCGTGGTTTTAGTGTGGTGACCCATCAAATTTATACTTTAGTATGGCGAACCATCCAATCTATACTTTAGTGTGGTGACCCATCCAATCTATACTTTAGTGTGGTGACCCATCCAATCTATACTTTAGTGTGGTTTTAGTGTGATGACCCATCTAATCTATATTTTAGTGTGTGGCGATCCACCCAGTCTGTACATCATTAACAAGTCCTTCAAATCTTTTTTAGAAAATGGATGCGAATGGCTTTGGTACTAATCTGTTAAAATTCTTACCCTCATGGGCCTGAAGCGAAGTGGAGGTGTCCTGTCTTTACGGGCCTCACGGGACCTGTTCCTCACCACCTTGGAGTGGATGGCGCATGACACACAGTACAGTAGCTTAGCGTACAGCTTGGGAAGGGCATACACTGGAACGAACAAAAATATTATATATAATGATAGTTTGTTCAATGAATAGCAGATCTGGAAAGTTAAACAATTAAACTTACATAGACATTTTAAATGTTTTTGTAGACAAAAATCCCTGTAATTGTAGCATTGTCTGCTGGGTTTAACATCCCAAGAATTGTAATGGTCATTTTTAGGTGCAAACTCCTTGTGATAGCTTGAAGTTGCCTCACCGACCATACAACAGGCCTGTCACATGACATACAGGTAACCCAAGGCCAGTCATGTCAGTACAGACCAGTCCATCTCTTAACTTCCTGAGAAACACAAACCAATACAGGTGCAACTCTATATATTTCAGAACATTTTCTTCAGGTTGCAAATGTCAGCAGAAAGAAGTTCTTAAAACACAACCTGTAGAAGATTAGAGTGTGACGTTTTAATGACTATATAGTCACATTAATCTTAAAACACAACCTGTAGAAGATTAGAGTGTGACGTTTTAATGACTATATAGTCACATTCATCTTAAAACACAACCAGTAGAAGATTAGAGTGTGACGTTTTAATGACTATATAGTCACATTCATCTTAAAACACAACCTGTAGAAGATTAGAGTGTGACGTTTTAATGACTATATAGTCACATTCATCTTAAAACACAACCTGTAGAAGATTAGAGTGTGACGTTTTAATGACTATATAGTCACATTCATCTTAAAACACAACCTGTAGAAGATTAGAGTGTGACGTTTTAATGACTATATAGTCACATTCATCTTAAAACACAACCTGTAGAAGATTAGAGTGTGACGTTTTAATGACTATATAGTCACATTCATCTTAAAACACAACCTGTAGAAGATTAGAGTGTGACGTTTTAATGACTATATAGTCACATTCATCTTAAAACACAACCTGTAGAAGATTAGAGAGTGACATTTTGATGACTACACAGTCACCTTCATTTTATAACTCAACCAGCAGAAGATTAGAGTGCAATCTGAAGACATACTCAGTTTCATCAAACAAATGACAAGTGTGAAACATACTAACTACATAGGGTATGAGATGGAATCCGCCAACATTTTTTTACTGTACCATCTTCTACATTCTAATGGCTGTGTTATAAGAATTGCTATTCTCTCAAACTAAAAACAAAGCGACTCAGATCTTCACCTGGAGTTTAGTTTGGTCCAGGATCTAACCACCAAAACTATCATAAACCCATGAACAAAAACTGATTTTACCTGGTAACATAACAACTTGTGTTTCACAAATCACCAAAAATTTTTTATGCAAAAATCACAAAAGTATGACACCAAAAAGAAAGTTAACTAAATTTAAAATAATATCGTCTATTTATAAAGCACATTAACAGTGGTTAAATTATGTTTTTTTTTATAAATTAAAAATAATATTGTGTCTATTTATATAGTACATTAACAGTGGTTAAACTATGTTTTTTTTGTAAATTTAAAATAATATTGAGTCTACTTATATAGTACATTAACAGTGGTTAAACTATGTTTTTTGTAAATTTAAAATAATATTGTGTCTATTTATAAAGTACATTAACAGTGGTTAAACTATGTTTTTTGTAAATCTAAAATAATATTGTGTCTATTTATATAGTACATTAACAGTGGTTAAACTATGTTTTTTGTAAATCTAAAATAATATTGTGTCTATTTATAAAGTACATTAACAGTGGTTAAACTATGTTTTTTGTAAATTTAAAATAATATTGTGTCTATTTATAAAGTACATTAACTGTGCTTTACTTCTGTTTCTTGTCAATTAAAATGGATACTGTGGTGATTTATCATTCATAACTAAAACCAGTGTATTATTCCTAGTTGATCCTACCTAGTTTTCAGTCAACATCACTTCTAAGGAGCAGAGCCAAGTCACCAACCTTAAATTGGTACTAATTTTCCATTCTTGATTTTTTCAAAATTTTAAATATATACAATCTACTTATAGATGCATAAAGAAAAAGAAACAAAAATATCAAAGAATGTTTTTTGTTCTACAAGGAGAAAGATTCTATTAAATCTCATATCGTAGAAGTGTGGATACACATGTCTAGGTTAAAATATGCATCCATCTCCAACATTCACAGGTAATAGATTTTATTACATCATATCTTATTACCATCATATACGCTTGCATCTGAGATATCACGGACAGCAGCTGCCTCCACGATATTCCTGATCACAAATTTCTTGATGGCCTTATCCTTGGGGACACATCTCGCACAGTTTGTACATCGGACATGTTTGGTGTGTCCACGACCCTTCTTACTACGTCCGTTGTTTCGCCTTTTTGACGTCTGAAATGAAAGAGAACACTTCATACAAATGTTTCCAATAAACCTGCAGAAAAAGAGCACCTGCTAAATACTAACAGCCTACCAATTCTCCATTTACATAAGTAACATTCATATATTATATATATATAAAACAGTGTAGTATCATTTATATATTATGTATATAAAACAGTGTAGCAGTCTTCACGAAAGGCGCCAGACCGCCAGTGATGTCCGGCAAAATTCTCTCCAGTCCGGCACTTTTGTAAAGATGTCGGTCCGGTCGACAGGCAAGTTTCTTAGTCAATATCTATTTTTGTTGGCATTTTTCATACAAAAGAGATGAGTTTCCAGTATAATAACTTTGTAATGTATCGATGTTTTTGATTGGTAAAGCAATGATTGCCTATCAAATCGATTTGCTTGTATCATAGCCCATTTGTAAATGCTGTCAGCAAAGTTCCCAGACAGAACAAGAAGAAAATTTCGATTATTGGAAACATTTTCAATACATTTCGGCTTTTGAACATCATGTAATGTATAAACATATTGTCATTACAAGTATTATGTCATTTCTAAGATATTGTGAAGATGCAAAACCTGGCCAGAAAGAAAACAAACAGAAAGTGAAAAAAAAATAAAAGGCCAAAGAATATGAATCTAAAAGACCACCACGCTCGTTTCAAGAAAGTTGGAAGACCGAAAGAGATTGACTAGAGTATGACACAGAACAAAATAAAATGTTCTGTAAAGTGTGTAGGGCTATGACACCAGAAAATGATCCAAAGGCATCATTAAACACTTTTGTTAAAGGTACTAACAATTGCTGCACCTCAACGATTACGGATCACGAAAAGTCCAAACCACACCAGCATGCTTCCCTTATGGGGCAGAATAAGCCAAAAACAGAATCGGCCCATGTCAGATTATGTTTGGTTAAATATGCTTGTTTTTTGGGAAAATATTGGTGTTTCTTTTTCGGTCTGGCAGATTTTTTTCCCAGTCTGACAGAAAAATATTTTCACCAGTCCGGATGACTGGCAATTTTTCAGCCCTTTCGCGAAAACTGGTGTAGCATCATATATACATAAGGACAAAAAAAAAAATTGTGTTTCTGGTTTCACCTCCTCATAAAGTTAAGATATGTAGGTAGGTAAATAAAAGGGTTTTTTTTATCAAATGTTTTTAATGGTTTCATTCATTTGTATTGAAATCACAATAGATATTTTTTGTACAGCGCCTCGCTCAATTCGACAAATGTGCTATCAGGAGATATCCTCCCCATTGCCATGCACGTTGTATCTGCGCCGCGGTATTGGCGAAAAACATCATGGACTTTAGTCCCGTTTGTAATAGCTGCCATCACCTGTCTTTCTGGTGAATGGCAACATTTCTCCATTTTAATAGTGACTACCATTGAAGTTGCACTCAAGTTGGCAGCCATGTTGCCCCCCCTTTCTGAAAGGAATGGAAACCCCAGAATCGGGGTCTTTTGATGCTTTTTAATCCATGGTGATTTAGTGCATAAATGCAAATGTCTTCGTGATTACAGTTCCTCGTATAAAAACCAAATCAGGCATTGGAGGAAAATCCAGAAAAAAAATGCTGGGTGGAAGTTATAAAAATCTTTTGATTTCGTGACGAAATATTAGTCAGTCGGTTTTTTTGGAGCCTTATTTATAAAACAGTGAAGTATCTTATACATATTATATAAAAAAGCAGCGTATTAAAGCAATAACTTATCAATAACAGGATAAGGTTGGATTTATTTCATTCAACAGGAGTTGGACCAGCAGACAAAAATTGAGTGGTTCTATCATGGCGTCTGGGATAATGGGATCACTTGACAGATAAATCTACAACAGGACCAGCAGACAGATAAATCTACGACAAATCTACAACAGGACCAACAGACAGATAAATCTACAACAGGACCAGCAGACAGATAAATCTACAACAGGACCAGCAGACAGATAAATCTACAACAGGACCAACAGACAAATAAATCTACAACAGGACCAACAGACAGATAAATCTACAACAGGACCAGCAGACAGATATATCTACAACAGGACCAGCAGATATATCTACAACAGGACCAGCAGACAGATAAATCTACAACAGGACCAACAGACAGATAAATCTACAACAGGACCAGCAGACAGATATATCTACAACAGGACCAGCAGACAGATAAATCTACAACAGGACCAGCTGACAGATAAATCTACAACAGGACCAACAGACAGATAAATCTACAACCAGGACCAACAGACAGACAAATCTACAACAGGACCAGCAGACAGATAAATCTACAACAGGACCAGCAGACAGATAAATCTACAACGGGACCAGCAGACAGACAAATCTACAACCAGGACCAACAGACAGACAAATCTACAACAGGACCAGCAGACAGACAAATCTACAACAGGACCAGCAGACAGATAAATCTACAACAGGACCAGCAGATATATCAACAACAGGACCAGCAGACCGACAAAATCTACAACAGGCCCAGCAGACAGATAAACTACCACAAAACCAGTAGACAACCATTTCATTTTTCTTATCAGTCCCTATCTCAAACAAGCACAACTACATACTAAAAGAAACCTATACAAGAAATTTGATAAAGGTCTTTACAGTAGTTCTTGGAGAATTTTCCTCATGTTTCAGTACATTTTCTTGTTTTTGTTTATATTCAGAGGGTAAATATTCCATTTGTAGAACGTTACCCTATTATGCTTGTAAAATTAAGGTTAATCCCTGGTAACAAATCCTTAATAACACAAAACTGATCTATTGAGGAATGGTTTATACTGAACTGTACGGATATCTCTATTTTGATACCCAGCTATTTCTTACTCTCCTTTATACATAAGCTGATAGGAGCGAGTCCCACACGGGAGGTTCATTTTACCCAAAGGTAATGACAGTGTTGCTTTCCTGTAGAGACTGGAGGGCGAGCCATCATGAAAGTAATCAGAAAGTCTGCTGACTGCTTGCCCTCAAGTGGAAAGATGTAAACAACACCGTCATTCAACTGGCAAAAAAAGAACCTTCTGTGTTGGACCCACTCCATTCACCTTTATTATAAAAGTGTTCATAAAAGTGGTAACACATCAATCATTGATGCGCTGAATTATTCCTACAACACACCCTGAAATCTTCAAGTTAATTTACAAACAAAACCATTGTAATGTCTCTAAAATGAGCATAGGCAATAACAATGTAGATATCAATAACAGCATAATTAATGTGAATATTAACATTAAAATATCATTTCGAGACAGAATTTTTCAGTCTATGCAATGATAAATCCATGATCATTTTCATGGCTTTTTCAATGGCTAATATTAATAGTTTCTTGGATTACTTCATCCATAATCAGGGTTTTCCGTAATTTTGCTAGTAGTGGGCTGTGTAGTGAAGGTAAGAGGCTGGCCTGCCGTGTACGTGTAGTCGTGTACGGAACATTATTACAGAACTGGATTGGTGTAGGCGGCCAAATGATCAAAGTAGCCGGTCAAATTAGCTGGCGACCGGCTCTTATGGAAAACCCTGCATAATGCTCTTTACTTTCAGAATCCCCCCTCTCTTGTTTTTTCAAACATATACATCACATTTATTACTTCAGAAATGACAACTTAAAAAAGAAACGAGCATCAATTTTGTATACAAGATCACTACCACAATCTATACAACGTAATTTTCTCATCAAACTCAGAAATCCTTTGGAACCGTGTCAACAGGTTTATTAGATACATTCCTGATGTACATATTTTGCGCTAAAAAAATTAAATATAATGGCATGTAAATTTGGCTAGTGTTCTAGTGCCCTTGTTTGTTGTGTTTCCATTTCAAATGGTCCCGTCTTTGTGTGATTACTATGAGCGGTTACTATCCCCCCAAAAATGCAAGACTATTACCAATGTGTCCAATCTTGAATATACCCAATACATCCGCGCTGCATCGACAGTTTCATATTACAAGTCACCATCGATTGTCTCAGATCACAGGGTCTCGTCCAGGTAATCTGATGTATATCCTGACCATAGTAAATAAGTAACTGAATTATTTCATCTGGACAAAACCCTATGACCGGACGCGACGAAGTGGTACAGTATGACTTTATAGTCGTTCTTCTGACCGAGATATATACAGCAAAATGCAGTGCCATTTAGTGCTTTTCGTATCTGATATAGAACCCGGCCGCTTTGTAAAGTTGTTTATATATATCAGAAGTGACGAGTGTCTCAGTGCCCCGACATCAGTGCATTATACACCAGGAAAATGTCGAATACTGGCCCACGTGTCTATCACATTCCTAACAACTAGGTACTCATCGGGTCTATTTCTGTATTGGAACAGACCTTGTTCGCACTAATGATCATGCAGACTTTAAATATTTGCCTGCAAACCTGTAGATAATCTATTTATTGCTATTTTTACTGTATGTGAATCGATTTCGTTACAATTTCTTCAGAGTGCACATGGTGTACCACTCACCATCTTGACAATTTCGGCGGAAGAGGGCGATATTCTTGCACCAGAATATTACTACGCGAAATTATGTATGTCAATACGAAACTAATACATCTTTATAAATGCTTTATCAAAACACTCAAATACCATTTATTTAATATGTAAAATTGATGAAAAACTCAACAGGAGACTTAAAATACATTTTTGATTCCGGACTATATTTTATACCGCAGCGACACCTAGGTCATCTATGGTAGACAACTCTCAGAAATGTAGGTGTCATGCCACTGTTTCTATTAACAAATATTTTAATACTTGGGACAAATAAAGTTTATAAATATAAAAATAAAGCCAAACATTGGATGAAACAAAAAGAGGAAAATTATTTTAAAATATCATATATAATTTTAAAAGAAAGGAACTACATTAAAACTGCCACGTTATTAAAACGTTTAATAGCAGTATATGTAACCAGGGTTTTGTTTTTGATTTTCATGTAAAAAATTCAACTGAATGGCATTGTTGAATTGACGGTCACTATGACCAAACATCGATATATAAAATAATAAATGACTAACGAGCTCACATCTTCATGCACAAAGTTAATCATATTTATCAGCATATGTACACATATATATTTCACTCTGATACATGGTTTTTCCGTTACAGAAAATGTTACAAGAAAGCTTGTTGGCACCAATTTCTGTGGAATAAAGTTCACAATAACAAAAGTTATCTAGGCCTTGGTATTAAATTTGTAAACCTGTAATTTTTTCATCTTTAAAGTTTGTCCTCGGTTTAAATAAATGACTATACATGTAAGTATCAACATCAGTAATGTTTTGCCATTTTATTAACTGTAAGTGAATCGGTCAGCATATATTGACACCAACGGTTACCAATGTTAGTCGTAAACTGTACATTTGCCTTTGAATTTTATATATGTAACGGAGGTCGTTTGTCATATCAATAAACCTCCGCTAGGAATCGAACCCGAGACCCCTGGCTTATTCGTCTGACGCTCAACCAATCAAGCTAAAGAGAAGTTCTCTCTAGCAGAGTGGTATATTGCAGTTAGTATTTCACCAGGGTTACATACATAACGAAACGTATAGAGTGATAACATGACGCGAAATAGTTGTTATTCGCATGGATTATCTCCCCTAAAGCACGTGATAACACACAAAAAATGATGGGAGTCTTTGAAGCGCGAGGACTTGGAAGAGGGCCGTAGTCAAAGTAAGCGTGAAATAGTCACCAAGGAAGGTCGACAGGTCAGTACATACAAGTAAGTTTCATTGCATTGCAACCAATGATATTATTATGTAACAAGTATATATCTTAAATTCTGATTTGATTAATAATGTGGCTTGTTATTCCGACTGGTGTAGTCCATGTGAATTTCGTACCCTAGGAAATCCAGACCGACATGTCTGTCAAGTATACAATATGTATTATCACAGGTCCTCATAATATTAGGTCATTATATGTAATCGAGTTCCCCTAAGGTGTGGTTTGGAAATTGGAAACATCCAGACGCGGAGGGGCATTTAGATCAAAAGAGAATGATTTTGAATACACTAACGTATCAACCATTGATTGATCATATTTTGTGTAATGTTCCAGAAAAAGTCTTGTCAAGCTGGAGTGATCCCTATTGGTTTAAGTGATCACTTCATCACCTTTTGCACAAGAAAAATTAGAAAGTCTACTTTTCACGAACATAATAACATAAAACTAAGATCTACTAAATGCTATGATAAAGATGCTTTCAAGCAATTACTAATTAATGCAAATTGGGAACATTTCTTTCACGCAAAAGATGTTAACGAATGTTGGAAAGAGTTTCATTCTGTCTTCTCCAATATATTAAACAAAGTAGCACCATTCAAAGAAGTTCGTTTGAAACAAAAAACGAAACCTTGGATAACAAATAAAATCTTAGAAAACATTAAATTGCGAGATAAGATAAGAAAATCATTTAAAAAGTTTGGCAAAGAAGAAGATTTAAACATGTACAAAAAACTCCGAAATCGTGTTCAAACATTATGTAAAATAGCTAGATCCGAATTTTTCAACAAGAAAGTTGAAGAGAATAAAAATAATTCAAAAGAACTATGGAGACAATTCAAACTAATGGGCTATCAACAAAATGCCAAATCAAACTCTAATATAGTTCTGAAAGTAAACGGTGAAATGTGCCATGATAATAGTCAAACAGCAAATCATTTTAATCAGTTTTTCTCAAATGTAGCTGCCTCTTTAGTTGAAAAGTTGCCCCCAGGAAAGGGAAAGTTTGTTGCATCATCAGACATGGTGAAATCATTTTACAGAAAGAGAAGCTGTAACAAATTTCATTTAAAACATGTTGATGAAAATTTTGTATTAAAAGAATTATTTAAATTAAACACATCCAAGAGTACAGGACTGGATGGATTACCAACTGGGTTTCTTAAAGATGCTGCCTCAATCATTAAAATCCATCTCACCTTTCTGATCAACATGTCTATTTCGGAGGGTGTTGTTCCCGATGAATTAAAAATAGCTAAGGTTAAACCACTTTATAAGAAGAAAGATAGATTAATGCTGAAAACTATCGTCCTGTTAGTATTCTAAGTATTGTATCTAAAATTCTAGAACGTGCTGTATATAGCCAGTTAGAGACATTCCTAGTCAGAAATAACTTACTTTATGAATTCCAGTCAGGATTCAGAAGCAAATACTCAACAGATACATGTTTAATACATCTGATTGATCATATTAAGTCTCAGAATGCTAAAGGTCTTTTTACAGGTATGGTTTTACTTGATTTGCAGAAAGCATTTGATACGGTAGACCATAAAATCTTATGTGACAAACTCTCTGTTCTTGGTGTAAAATCGCTAGACTGGTTTCAGTCTTATCTCACTGGAAGGAAACAAATTGTGTTTGTAAACGGAACAGTTTCAGAGTCTTGTAACATAGGTTGCGGTGTGCCCCAAGGCAGTTTACTAGGGCCTTTACTATTTCTGATATATGTAAATGACATGCAAGTGTGTATTAATCCAAGCTGCAAGATAATATTGTACGCTGACGACTCTGCAATATTATTCTCCCACAGAGACCCAGCAGTTATTTCTCAAACTTTGTCTTTGATGTTGAAGTCCTGTCAAGATTGGTTAGTAGATAACAAACTTTCATTGCATTTAGGTGAAACAGAAAGCATTCTATTTGGTCCAAAAAGGAAATTAGATCCAGTGTAATTGTAATTGAAGTCAAAAGATGTGTGAAATATCTTGGCATAGACATCAACGATTCATTATCGGGTGAAGAAATTGTAGATTCAATTGTCAAAAAGGTCAACCAACGTCTCAAAATTTTGTATAGAAATGAACAGTGTTTATCTTTTAGGTCAAGAAAAACTCTATGTTCTTCTTTGATTTTATGTCACTTTGACTACGCATGTACTAGTTGGTACGAAGGTTTATCGAAAAAACTTAAAAAGATTTTACAAGTAGCACAAAACAAAGTAATTAGATTTATTTTGAATGTTCACAAAAGGTACAGTCTGACACATAATGATTTTCTTCGGGTAAACATGCTTGATGTTGTTTCAAGAGTAAGTCAGCTCAGAATGAATCGTATGTTTAATATTTTCCATGAAAAAGCTCCGAATTATATGTATGCATCTTTTGAAAAAAATCCACGTCTGCAAAATACTCGTTCATCAACATATAATTTTACTCTGCCAATGATTCATGGAGCTGAATATACATCCTTTTGTTTTGTCGGAGCTAAAGAATGGAATCTACTTCCAGAAAATACAAAAACAATACCCAAAAAAGTTAGATTCAAATCTCAAGTAAAACGTCACTTTCAAGACAAAATGAAAGAGAAACATAACAGTGATTATGTTTACTATTGAGACAGATAATGTTTTTTTTTATCTACATTTTGAAGGACCCCAACGGAAATAAGCGTATATTATTACGCTTTTTGGGCTATCCTTGGATAGATTTGTTTAACATATATATCAGTTGTCTTTATTGTGATCTTATGTTGCATGTTTTATTTATATCAATTTTTCATCTTATGTACTATGTAACATGTATTCAATTTATCATGCTTTGTATACATTTGTGCAAATCTTTCCTGAATAAATTTATTATTATTATTATCATAACATAGTTTTTTTTTACACTACAGTGAGCTTGCAAACTCTTCCCAACCAGCTGTCCATCGCAGAACTAGTAGTCCCTGCTATAGGCCTAGACTGGCTAGACACAACAATTATGGCAGGTCACAATAGAGGATGAAATCAAAGAAAAAGTGAAAATCCATTACATTGGTAATTATTTCAATAAGTTTGTTCTATGCAGTCACCAAATTAAGATGGATACAGGCATCAAATTGTTTGTATCATTATGGTTTAGAAAAATTAATATTAAAAAGAAAAAAAGTAAATAATTATATGTATATGTACATTAATATTTTTTATTCTCATGATCAGAGGTTGCAGTTATTGTAAGGCTCATTATCATAATGTTGATATAAATCATAACAATATAAGTAAAGTTCACCACAAAAACACATTGTGAATTTGTCCCTTTGATGTTTATGTTTAAAACAAGATGCCCATTCCAATATGTTTTGTTCCATTCCAATGTCATGATTGCTCCAAGTTACATGTATAAACTTGTGAAATATGTTATTGTAGGCTGGCCTAGGTACTATAATGAGTGGAGAAGGAAGGAGGACCTGGTATCAATAGCTTCTACAATTGAAAATTCTCTTTGCAAACAACTTGCAGTAAGTGTATACTAAAAATAATTTACTTTTGTAAAAGCATTTTACATTGCTGCGGGTTAACAGGAATTGACCATGATGAAACGTTCAAAAAAGAAAATCAACAGTCATTGACATGTTATTGTTTATATGTGATACACTTTGTATTGCAGGTCCAGATAAAAGATCACTTATCACTGAGCCTAATAGATTCAAGAATCATGATTAGAATTCTTGTTATCGAAATGGAAGATTTGAAGTCAATACAAAATAATGCAAGAATATACAAG